GGCCGACTGAATCGTTGAGAAATTTTCGGCCCGATTTAAAAATGTTAACCCCCCCCCCCTTTGAAAAAATCATGCCTAAAATTAGGGGCACGTTTAATGATGAGAGGAAAAGGGGACACTTATAGAAATGGTTAAGACACTTATTAGAAAAGAAAAGGAGCACATGTCAATGTACAAAGGCTAATTATCAGAGGCGAAAATGGGGCACTTCTTCTTACACCTAAAAAAAGAGGCACGCACCAGAGATGAACTGAAAGGGATTTTATGAGAATGGAAAATGGGCATTTGTCGACGGAAAAGAGGCACCCATCATATTGATGGGGCATTTATGAAAAAGGGATAGGTCCCTTATTAGAAAGAGAAAAGGGACACAAACCATACATGAAAAGAGGCACTTATGAGAATGAAAAAGGGGCACTAAGGATAAAGGGAAATGTGCATTTGTTGAAAGAAAAGGGACGCTGATCAGATTTTAATAGGGGCATTTATTGGAGGTGAAAGGGGGCTTTTATGGGAAGTGGCTCTTATTAAAAAGAAAAAGAGGTACATGTTAAAATAAACGGGGAACGTATCAAAGATGAAAAGGTGTAATTATGAGAAGGGGCACTCATAAAAAGAACAAAAATATTAGGAAGGAAAAGGGGGGACGTGTCAAAATAAAAGGGGAATTTATAACAGATGAAAAGAGCACTTATCAGAAGGGGAAGGGGCACTTGTCAAAGTAAAACGAGTATCTCTCAGCTCAGAATTGAATAGGGTCATTTACAAGAGATGAAAAAGGACAATTATGAGAATGAAAAGGAATTATTTTCATAGATTAAAAGGGGCATTTATGAGAAGGGAAATGGGCTCTTTTTAATGGGGGCACTTATCCTAAGGAAAAGTGGCGCTTATTAAAAAGGAAATGGGGCACATGTGAAAATATAAGGTGCGCTAATCCGAGTTTCATCCGGATTCATTCACGCGATATGTGCACCATCTTCACTGCTAAATATGATTCTTCACCAATTTCAAGTAAGATGGGGATGGGGACTCTTAATCCTGCATGTGTGTATAGCTTTCATTCCACGTATATATATATATATATATATATATAATAATCAAAACAATTGAAATAAAAATCCTTCAGAGAGTTCTCTTTTTCATTTCAATTGTTTTGATTATTATTTGTATATCGTCGTGACGGAGGATTATCAACATTAAATAATATATACTGTATTTTGTCATAGCTACGAAAACAAAAATTACGTTGTTTACATACCTTGGAAATATTGGACGCCGCCGGTGGCCATCTCGATTTGGGTAATTAAGGTTGTGGTCCGTTGGAATAAGAATCAAGCACGAAACTTCGAATGAACATAGCACCAATTTGAATCTAATAAGCCAAAAAATATGAAAAATCGTCAATTTATCCGTCAAACTTATAAAAAAAATCTCCCTTTACCAGAAGAATAGATGAATTTGGTTATTTGAGCATTACTGTAGATTGTAATAAAAACGCAAATGTAATCTGAATGAATTTGATGTCGTATTCGACTCCCCTCCCACCTTATTTAATTATCTTCTCTCATTGGGGTTAGAGAAAGTGAAAATAGTTATAGTTTTATATTCTTAAGTAGTCCGTGAATCTTAAAAAATATCTGTAAAACATATTTCCAAATTTGAAGTAAACTAATAAGTGATTACTAGTGATTGAAAACGGCTTAGAATGGACAAAATTGTTTCAAAAAGTTTTTGTTTTTTACTCACTCAGAGTTTAGAATATACTGACATTGTCTTTAACATCGTTTGTACATATTTTAAACTCAAACGTAATCTACAACTCACCTAATTTTCCCAAACTTCTAATCAGTAGGCTATCTCAAAATTGCTGCTCGGGTGTGAAATATAAAGCGTCATATGTAACCATGTTAACAAGGTTGACATTGATTCGATTGGTCACAATTGCGTCACGTGCCATGACTTCAATTTTTCCAACTTTGTTTCAATAATTTTTCTAATCAATATACTCATAGAGTGATAATTTCACCATCAGCTGCATAATTATTGATGAGTAGATCATACATTTATTTTAGGAAATGGAGAGAAGTGGGAAGGTGAGGAAGAATTTTAAGGTGGCACCTTCTTGAAAGGTAAATGTTCAAACACAGAATTTACCCCCGTACTAGCCCCCTTATTTATATTCATCCATGACGTACATCGTATTAATAGTTTGGATTCACCCCCTTCTATTCACATGATTTATTTTGTTTGTATGTGTATAGAAACTAGAAGCCCCCCAGTGAGCTATGAACGTATAAATACCCCGGTCATACCAAGAGAATAACCACAAACCGTCAAAACCGTTGCCATTCGATATAATGTAATTTGTCGTTCGGGTTATTGACGGTCTGGCTTGATTTCCACCGGTGTGTACGGGGCATCAGACAACGTTTTTTAGTTTACGTTCCTTTCTAATGGCAAGGAAATACACCCTGTATTGAATTTGATAATCACCTAAGTTTCTTTCTGTTTTTCACCACCATCATCAAGTTCAAGGGCAAGTTTATTTCTTCGCTATTTTCAAACATACGTAACATAAAGAACAAAACAAAATACATTTCTGGTAACAATGATGTTTTACGTGGGTCTCAATAAGACAGTAGTAATTGAACATTATTCACATGATATGACCTTTAAGATAATCGATTTTTCTTTTTTTAAAGATTTTTTTTTAGGGGGGTGGGGGAGAGTAGGGCATGTTAAAAAGATGTGCCCGTATATTACATGCCCCCAAATTGAGTTAAAGTAGTCAATAATGGGTGAAAGAAAATGAAAGATCAAAACAACAACCAAGATGTTGACACCAAAAAACACATCGGCCTAAAACATTTTCCCTTTTGTCGAACACGGGACCGCTCGGGTCAAGAGCATTAATACGAACACAAAGTCATGTATACCGCGGTGAACCCAATTATAACAAATTTTGCACCCACAAAAGTAACCTATAGGTTATATTATGTATTAGTTATTAAGTTGTTTACAAATATTGAGACAACCTGTCCAGCATTGGTTAATCAGTAGAGCGCCAACATGCGTGCAGAATACACGAAAGCCTGGTCCTCGATTAACTTCCTTTTTACCTCTAGCGTTCTTTCTATCTCCTGTCTCATATTTCTGTTTCCGCCAATTGGTTGGCCAGGCGTGCCTCTCCCCTCCCACTTTTCCTCGTTGCTACGCTACTGGTATCCACTGCCATGCATGTCATTTATTAGCTAATGAACATTGAAGATGTAAACCTGAATTGAAAAGGGCGCGACCATCGATAAGTCTTGTTTCATGTTCACAAAAACTTGAGATTGTGTCTGTTTGAAGCAAGATATTCGAAGGGCGTCAACTCACATACTTCAACAAAGACTGGTATATTAACGACCTTCTGGTTCCAAACACAATTAGGTGGAAGTGGATATAAAAAGGGAGATGTTGGTCGTGATAATAAATGGGATATAAATTCACTTTATAGAGCATATGCTAAGGATAGTTTTGAAAGTGTCTCTACATAATTATGGGTCCCTTCGATCAATACCCCTTTTTAGGGTGGGGCGAAAATGTGGACCAAGGTATAATGAGAATTAGGAAGACGGTAGAAACCCCAGTGTTCTTACATAAGATGTGTTGTGTCAGAGAGGTGAGACTTTAACTCACATGCCCTGGTTGTGTCTGTGTTCTCGATAGTTGTTGAAATACACCGGTATATAATTACTGGTGAGTTTTCATTGCAATTCCTAACTTGTAGAGAAGGCCTTATCTTAATTATTACAGGTTCGCAATAATTATCAAATTGATTCCTGCCTTCTTGGGCCGGAGAGTAGGCATAATTACACAATTTGAATGAAAACCTACATAACTACTCAACGATGTAACCGTAGTCTAGCATCAGGTGTAGTCTATACAGGCCCCAGTCGGAGATTGTCGTTTCGGTCATAGAGATCGATCTTGACGTCGGTTCTTTCAGATTGTGACGTCATAAAAGACTGTTCCTGTTAGGTATATATCTCTATGTTCCTGTTATATCTCTCAAGACGTAAATTATCAAATCTGATTGGCTGATAGTATTTCGCACCTGTCGCTATAATACTTTGGCCTATTTTTATGAGATGGCGTAGTTTCTATAATTATAGGAGCAAAGAGATTCGATCATGCACATTTGCCCGAATTCACATAGGAAGTTTAAACCCATGGTTTAGACGAATGTCTTAATATTTACTTAGTTTTTTTTTAAAGGGGATTTTCAGGACTAAATGCCCCCTTTCTATTTCGTTGAGAATTCTGGATCCAACCCTACATAAGGGTATTTCTAACTCTAAAGGACATGAACAAAGATATAAACTGATAACTAGTGCATGCATTATACAAGGTATTATGCTAGTGCATGAGCAAAATTATGGATACTTACGAAAAGAGCACCTCTCCGATTTTTATATAATGGTAAATAACGTTTTCAGATAATTTTTTTTTTGGGGGGGGGGGGGGGGGGGGGGGGTGGGGGGAATCGCATAAAATGATGTTCTAAACTTAAAATAGCGATGTCAATTAGACCTAATCCGAATTCCATTAAAATAGGTTTCAAAATGTAGATACTTTTTTTTCATATGACACCAAAATCATGATGTTTCCAGAATTCATTTATATAGGGCCACTTTCTGGACGCCCCCTCTTTTGATTTTGTTCAAACTTATAGTAGATCTAGGCAACCATTTGAAAATAAAATTGTCCCTCCCTCGCTCGATCGGCCTTCTCCCCTCTCCATCTTTCGCTCTTTCTCTCTTCTCACTATTTTTCTCTCTCTCTCTCTCTCTCTCTCTCTCTCTCTCTCTCTCTCTAAATGTTTAATGTCTCTTCCTCTCTCTTTACGGTTTCTCTACCTTCTCCCTCTCCTTCTTCTAGTTCTCTCTCCCACTTCGACCCCTCTATACTCTAGCAGACGACACTGGTCCACACGGTCATGGGTCATGGCCTCTCGTAGCATGCAGTCGATAATGTTGACATTTGGGAGTGACGTCATCTTACTAGGACCAGCTCACAAAAGCACCATCGATTTCCAGTGATTGTAGGAACTGTCAGATAAACGAATGCACATTGATAACATTCAAGTGAGATTGCGAGCTGAGCTGAATGCCCGGTACCACTACCAGTTAAGCCCATATTAATATCATTGATAATCGAGTGTTCGATGCCTCACGTGTGTGTGAGTGAGTGAGATGAGCTCGAGTTCCTGTGTGCACATGCATCCCATTCGCAGGGTTGAGAGTACCAGCGCTAGCTAGCCTAGTCCCGGTTATTGATTTGCACAGTGCTTAGATACCGGTACGCGTTACTGTTGACTCAAGTGATTAGAAATAGAGCTAAAGTAATGTTCCTTGGGTGAATGATTGAAGCTGTGCATTGAGCTGTAACTAGCAAACGGTTGCGCTACACAACTACAACGTGCTGAAGTTGTTGAAGTTGAAGTGGACTCGAGCTCGAAAGAGGAATCAGTTATCAAGCTCACTCAAACATTGACAAGTCACAGTTACAAGTTCATCTTGGTAACAGATGGCCTCATTTTGTGCTTCGAAATTCTTGCCAGGCCTTCTGCTCATGTTAGGTCTTGGACTAGCGGTTGCCCTTGCCAGCAGCACCCCAACGCTCTCGCTACTCAAGGATAACCTGAAAGTCATGAACATGCCGCTCGGGGACTGGCTTCACATCCTCGCGACCAATTTCACCAATTTCGTAGCATCTCAGACGCTCCTAACGCTAACCATATTCGGCGTCGCCGCCTTCGTTCTTCGTTATCTTTACCAACTCTTTCTAAAACCTTTAAACCTTGATAGGGCATTGGGAGATGTGGGGTATATTTTAGACGGAAAGAAGAAGAGAGATGTGGTGAATGACATCAGGAGGAGAAGGAAATCCGGCGATCTCCCTCCTATCTATCCCAATGGGTGGATTCCTTTGGTTGCTTCGCAGGATTTGGTCAAAGGAGACGTCAAGTACATAAGTGCAGTTGGTAAGTTTTTTTCTTTCTCCTCCACTTTTTTTTCTGTCCCCACCCCCTATCTTCTTCATCCTCTTGCTTCTTCCATTGTCTTTTCTTTCTCTGTTGACAACTCAATTTCTTCACCAGCCAGGAATGGCAACCGATGCAGGAACAGTTCTAGAATTATTTGGAGGGGGAAGTGTGGGGCTCTTGCATTCACTTGCCTCCCGGTAAGAAGATTTACGGCATTTCTTTTTAGCATCAGTGCCCCCCTCCCCCTCAGTGCCCCCCTCCCCCTCAGTGCTCCCCTCCCCCTCAGTGCCCCCCTCCCCCTCAGTGCCCCCCTCCCCCTCAGTGCCCCCTCCCCCTCTAGAGAATAATTCAGCATTTTAGCTGGCCTACTAAGTATGGGAAGTTTTTTCAAGAGCCCTAAAAAGGATTTCTCCTGATAGTATAGGGTTGTTAACGTCAATATAAATAGATGACCTGGTCATTAAATTGCAAATGTTTGCTTTTATTGTGACTGTATGATGTAACCAGTATTGACATTCTTTGTTGGTATGGAAATAGAGACATGCAGCCAGTAGGCCTTTTGTCATAATTTAAAGGGATAGTTGATTTTTGTTGCAGAGGGTGCTACACAAAATAATTTTTTGTGAGATAATGAAAAACTGAATATACTGTATAACGTATGAACATACCGAAATGTCCTCGTCCAAGAATATACAATTTAAATGACAAAATCATCTTTGTTTGATCAAAATCGGTTCAGAGAGAGCTGAAATATCCATAACCATTGTGATGCCCCACAAATATTCAGTAATTTTGAACCAGCCATTGAAAAAAGGATATGGCGCCTTATACGTTATATTCCAGCCAATGCCAATACTGCTTTTTGTTGGCTTTATTCCTGTTGGTTATACTGTATTATACAACTCACTCCCAGATCCTAATCAAATGATACATGTACATGTACATGTAGGTCTTGCGACATGCGCTGTCACGTGTGATTCATTTACTGAGCCTATTGCACTCGTTTTCATGAAAAGGAGTGCAATATTTTCCAGTACTATTGAACTCGTTTTCAGAGTGCAGTAGTGCGCGTAGAGGTTAGAGCGCTTAATACTGAGCATGAGCCTATTCTTGCACAGCACTATGCGTAAATGGGTATAGAGGTAATAAGTGCGCTTGTTGTATCTTTGGCTATGTGTGCGCACTAAATTGAGCCTTATTAAACTTGAGATTTATTTGTCAGCCATAAACTGTCACAAAACAATCTTGAATGAATTCTTTTACATAAAAAACAAGGGTCTAGGAGTTTTGTTGTGTAAAACAAATGATGCATGTTTTCATTTGTACATTATACGATCTATCCGCCCTCGTTGATGCTGGGTGTATCTATCGCACTCAGCCCAAGGGCTTCGTGCGATAGATACACACAGCCTCAACTCGAGTGCGGATAGATCGTATAATGAACTCATGCGCATGCATCATTTGTATAATATATGCACAACCAGCCGGCCTGTATACGTTTCTTATTGATTATATAATTAATCAATACGGTCACCGTATTGTTTTAAAAGTGGAGCTGAATTGGTATGATAGTATTCAATCTAATTTCATATATTTTGGGGTCTAAACTTACTTTCATAGCAATTTTAGGTTTCTAAAAGGGCACTAGAAATGTCAGTATAAGAATAAGAGCAATAACCATGCACTTTGAAGGCATTTAAAGATGAAGTTGAGTTCTGGTCAGGCGATTGCATTGTGAAAGAAACGGTGTGGAATCGACCAGAAAAGGTTGATCATCTAGCATATAAGAATTTGTGTGTATTGCAAGGTTCTGGAATTATCAAAATGATAAGAAATTTGGCCAAGTCTTGGTAAAGTTACAAACACTGTACACAGAAAGATGTATTTGGGACTACACGAACACGTGGCGTAAAAATCCTACCCCCGAGTTTTACAATGTTACATGACATACATGTATTTAGAATATGAAGGCATTTGAAGAGCCATGCTTTTCAGGGAACATGTCTTATCTGATGTTCTCCACACTTGCATAATAAGAATGATATCGCTCACAAATTATATTTCACCTCTTCCCAGAACTCGACCTTCTCTTTAAGCGATATTAAACAAGAACTTAACTATCCCTTTAATGTAACCAAATTTAACACGAAGTGTCTTGATACTAATTATTTCATTCACCTGTTACAAATAATTGTATTTCAAAAGCCAAATTGCTTACATTAGTTATCGCTATGTAAAAAAAACATTTCTTGACACTTACATGTATAAGTTATAACAGACCCCAACCTAACAAAATATCTTAAATTAATAATGTATGCAATTGCATAATTGCATTCTGACTATTGAAATACAAGTTTTTTTGTTACAGGTGAATGAATAATGAATGCCTATTGAGGCACTACAATTGGAGTTATCATGCTTGCATTAATTTTAGTTACATTACAAAAATTGCCTATTACACGTATGGAACATCTCCAATCAAATAAATTGGTAAGTTGATGTACACATACTGTTTGTCCAGGGTTGCCAATTTTGATTACTTTTTTTTTCTTTTCAAGGGCTAGGATGACTACAAAGGCTGCAAATGTTAATTGATTTTCCCTTACCTCTCGAGGCCAAAATTTTCCCAGAGCCCCCTGTTGATATTAAAGGTAAAGACCAGTATTGGAAACGCCCCCAATTTCAAAAAATGAAATGGAAGCTCTCATTACCAATCATGTGAAAGAATATGTTTTGACTAATACATGATGATAAAAAAATTGCCGGGAAACCGCCTACTAATTCATATATTTGGTAAATTTGTTTCTCTCATGGTCTGTGAGAGATATAGGGTAGTTCCATATACATCTTTCTGTGTATAGTGCTTGTAACTTTACGAAGAATGGGCCAAATTTCTTATCATTTTGATGATTCCAGAACCTTGCAGATGCTAGATGCTAGATGATCAACCTTTTCTGATCGATTCCACAACGTTTCTTTCACAATGCAATCGCATGACCATAACTGGTCTTTACCTTTAAGGGCTGATAACATACTGTAGATTACATTATTGAATCTGTACTGTACATAGTCCAGTGGCAGTGCAAATATCTCTACCGAGTATGATACATTATCACATTTAACTGTTCTTTCCTTCCAGGCACAATACAATTTATGCCTACACTGTACATGAGTTAATGCTGGCCTATAGATGTCAGTTATTCTTTTGACAATGGTCTGGGTAGTCCACTACCTGGTCTTTTTCCGTGTCCTGCGCCTAATCGGCTGAGAAAATAACACCCGTTACACCCCTCAACAATAAAACAGAGACAGTCCTTGCCTTTCTTATGTTTCTTCCTTTTCTTCAAAGGGTGTATTTTCAGGGGTCGAGCAAACGTTTTGTTTCAGGTCCAATAATTAAAATGTTTTACATAAACTTTTGACCATAAGTGGTTTCTTTCTGAAAAAGAAACAAATTCATGTGTTCTAGGTTGCTTAGTTGCTTACATGTACAGTGCGTGTAAGATATGAAGAGCCAAAGTGTACAATAGTTCGTAAAAGAATTAAAACCTAAATTTGGTTATTTGAACATACAGTACATTGTAAGTTCATTTGTATGATAATTCTTCATAAAATGACCGGCACAGAAAGACATTAAGGGTTGGTTAGTTCATAAAAGAATTAAAACCTAAATTTGGTTATTTGAACATACAGTACATTGTAAGTTCATTTGTATGATAATTCTTCATAAAATGACCGGCACAGAAAGACATTAGGGGTTGGTTGCAAGGTCGGGATAACTTGCCTCTTGTGTGGAAGATGTAATGGAATGATTGTACAGTACCTGTGAACAAAATATTGATTTTTATACAGACTTTTGATGAATTAAGAGAAGAAATATATATAGCTAATAATTAATATAACATATAGCTTATGAATTGACAAAGCAGGAAAAACAAAGGCACCAACCCACCTAAAAAAGAAGAAGAAGTAAGTTTTACATAAAATCCTATACAGTGTAGATTCATTGGAAAATGATGGGAGGGGGGGGGGGGGGGGGGGGGGGGAGGGGGAGGGGGAGGGGTGGGGGGGGGGTTGTCATTCTCATGTGATAAACAGATAGGGATGACTTGGCTAGGTACATGCAAAGTGAAAGGCACGGGAGGTTGATGCCCTTTGTGAGAGGAGAGACCGTGCCAGATTTTATTTCAAAGAAAATGTAATTTACATGTACATCACAGTGATATCATGAATGTGGTTTAGACAAATTACTGGCTACTTTGCTGAGTCATGGTCTGCGTCCTACTACATGATCTATGTTCTACTTTCATTTCTCTTTTCTAAGAAGAATTTTCCGGTTCTATCATCATATGATCTACCAATCGTTCTTTTAGCCAAATAAATTTGTTGTTTTGTGTCCCCTGACGCTTTCCTGTTTCTGCCCCCCCCCCCCCCCTTCTCTCGTTTTCTCTGTCTTTCTCTTTCTTTCTGACATTGTTGGTGAACATGAAAGGAAGAAGCATCTGAGGAAATCTATGCAATTTAGAAACAAAATCATTAACATCCTGTTTTAAGCATACATGTAGATGTACAGTATTGACTTTTTAATAGACTAATGAAATTTTATTTTCAAAATCTTGTGTGGAAATTTGACCCATAGCATTTGTACGAGTGGTAAGAACCATAACTACAGTGTATCAACCAACATGAAACACCCTCCTTCTCTTTGTCCACAAATCCCAGACATAGGAATCTACACATGGCCTTATCTATTCTCAATAGATAAAGAATCTTTATCTCTCTTTTATTTTCTTCTTCTCCCTTTATGTCCCTTAATTTTATCTCCCAGTCATTACCACACCCAAAAGTTAAGATGTGCTAGCACTCATATCTGGCCTATTTACATACCGGTAGTAGATAAACCAATTTGAAAAATCATCATTATTTTTAACTGCCATTACCATTAGTGTTTGATAAATTCTTTTAAGTTTTTCGTTTTTCTGGGTGTTTGTGTGAATTGTGCCCATGTTCTGCTTGTTGCTGCTCTGAATGGTGTTACATGTATGAGATTGAGAGTGAGCATTTGCACTGCAAAACTGGTGGAGTTTTCGGCCGGCATTATTTTAAAAAAAATGCACTCCAGAACCTGAAAGGTGGGTTTTTAGATTCAGGTTCTTTGTCATGTTTATGTGTAGTTGCCTAGCAAATTCCAACTTAACTCCTGGGACCTGTTTCACAAAGTCTTTTTTCAATGACAAATGACTAAAATCAGTGACATATCTGCTGATAACCAATAAGAAGCGAGGATTTCAGTAGCTTATAACAAAATCTGTCATTTGTCACTGATGACAAGTTTTGTGAAACACCCCCCAGAATGTGAGAAAAACTGACGGTTTTTGCTTGCAGTGTGAATGCCCCTATTATGGAAGTTTGGGTAATATTCGGATTACTGTTTAACCAGACGAGAGGAAAGGTTGATTTGAATTAAAGGGATCAGGTAACTTTATCTCAGATTCTGAAACAAAATCCTGGATTTACTGTAGCTCATGCTGCAATGATAATTATAAACCTTTAGGTCAGCCAGGAACCCCATGACTTATGAAGCCGATCGCCTGTCTGATTATCAAGATATTTATGATTGAAAATCAAAATCAAATTTTGTGTTTGCCAAATGGTTTTCATAACACTACAGTCTATTGGGGAAAACGAGTATGGTAAAACCGGTCACTCAAAGGTTTTTACTTTTTTGAGGCACTTCTTGATCATTTTGAAGCGCAATTTTTTTAGGGCTTCAATATACACTGTAACACCATATCACACATAGGGCCGTGCATCTCACATTTAACATTGTTAAACGATCTCTTTAAAGAAGGATGCAATGCAGGAGAGTTTATTACGTGGTCACGGTGGTCACCGGGTTATCTACCTCACGTAGGCATAAGTTAATGGTTAGCCACAGTTGTGTGTAACCTGTCATCTTTATGCTTGATGACCCATTTGCTTGCAATGTTTGCTATTTCGTTTGAATTGATAATATCCTGGGTGGGTTCGGTTTTCACCCAGCTCTAGTGACTCTTGCGAGAATTGCTTGGTGTCTCTGGCATTTATGATTGATGACAGTCAATTATGTCTTCAGACCTATTCCTTTTGCATGTTTGTCTTACTTAATTGCCTGTAATATTCTTCCTTTAACCCTTTGGATGCTGCCGTTATTACATTTATGTGATGTAACAAAGACTGGTAGAGATGCATGTTATAAGAAAACATCATGTGAAAAGGGTTAACCTATGTATATGACTATGTCTCTGTTCTTTTATTTTTGATATTTACTGTCTTTTTGCCATGTCCTGATTGATTTCTTAATTTCTCCTTAAGTCTCCCTTTTCTAAATGTTACAGAGGGTCCCTAAAATTGTCACTCTGTCCTCTCTTGAAAATAAAAAGAGGATTGAAGCCTTTTAATGAGTTTAATTATATATCTATCAGTTGTCAGACACATACTCCTGCAACAATTTCTCTATAATAATCAAATTCAAAACTTCAACCCTGGATCCAACATGATAGTCTATACCTTACCCCAACCCTAACCCTAACTCTAACCCTAAACCTACAGTTGTACCCCTAAGCCTACATGTAGACCTAACCTGCAACCCAATTCAACCCTTTAACCCTACATGTATAGGGCCTGCTGTAATAGCTGTACCTTTTGATGAAATAAACTTTTGACTACATGTACATGTAGGAGACTCTGGAGCACTCGTCACTTCAGCATTGTTTTGATCATCCCTGGAAAATATGACAATGCCCTCTATTTGTAGTACCGGTATGCCAAAATGAAGTAGAGTGAGTCTGTGTGACATTTATACCTAGCACCTACAATTTTTTTGTCTGAAGGGTTTTCATCTTGTTTGGAAAGTTGTGTAACCACTTTTCCCCCTCACTTCTGGCATAATTATTGTGTTGTACATCTGCCTGGTCTCTATAGCAACCATGAATCTACATGCATGTATTCTAAGGGCGCGTTTATCGTACCCCACTATCATACCCCACTATAGGATCGTGATTTGCGGGTTATCGCATTTATCGACTCTTCACGATTCACAATAAAGGCCTTGTCTCTTCGCACCTGCTTAGCGCTATTTCTCCGAACCGGAAACTAGCCTGGGAATTCCTATTTGTATGTGAGGTTCAAAACAGCTTTGCATTTATCAATCTCTCAGAAACGTGATTCTGGCTGTATGTCACATTCAAAACACACTTTTTTGCGTCTTTAGATATGCCCATATCTAAAGCCCTTTAAAAAAAGCCTTTGCGTTTATCACCTTCTAAATTTGCCTGAAAGACGTTTGAGAAACCTGATTCTAGCCAAAAATTTGGTCGATAAATGCAACCAGAAAAAAAAAATTCCCCAGCTTATGGTTAATAACTTTAAATACTTGTTGTTTTTATCCCTTTAATAATATAATAACCATTAGTTGATTATTTTATTAATCAATCAATCAATCAATGTAGGACTTGATTAATGCATTAATCCAGTGATGAATTGATGCATCTTATTAATTAATTGATTAATGCATCTTATTAATTAGTTGATTAATGCCAGTGGAAATGACCTTGCTGTTAAACCAGTAAGTGCTTTATGTCCCATCTTTGGTATGTTAGGGTAATTCAATTTGCTGTAAATTTGATATGGCTTTATGTAAAGATGAAGAGACCTGTGTAGATCTGTTAATTATGATAGTCATCTGGCCAGCCTTGAGAGAATCATTACAAAAATAATGAGGTAATTATGGAACCTGGGGGTGTTTCACAAAGATCCTAAGTTGAAAACAGATGAATAAATACATTTAAAAACAGATGAATAAATACATTTAAAAACAGATGAATAAATACATTTAAAAACAGATAAATAAATACATTTAAAAACAGATGAATAAATACATTTAAAAACAGATGAATAAATACATTTAAAAACAGATGAATAAATACATTTAAAAACAGATGAATAAATACATTTAAAAACAGATGAATAAATACATTTAAAAACAGATGAATTAATACATCTAAAAACAGATGAATAAATACATTTAAAAACAGATGAATGAAGGATGCCTCTGGAGAGAAGGGAGAGAGAGAGAGGGAGAGAGAGAGAGAGAGAGAAAGAGAGAGAGAGAGAGAGGGGGGGAGGGGGGGGGGGATGTCCATACCTTTTATAGCAAAGACTTGCCCTCTGAACATGTACATCTATTGTCTGTACAATAAGAGTTGTGCATTTGTTTAATCTTGTTTCTAAAGGCATACATGTAAATTAGTGTAGTGCTTCAGCTTCAGTGCATGTTTGTGATGCACAATGAGCCAATTACACTGCAGAATACTTACGCAAGGAAGGTAAATTTACTAAACAGAGGACAAACAATTGTTTCATTCATAAACTAAAGTTTCAGTTTGAATAGAGAATTAACGTACTGCATTGACTGTGTACATGTAGAAGCAATAAGTTAGAGAAGGTACAAATGTATTGTTTCATTCATAAACTAAATTTCCAGTTTGAAAAGAGAATTAACGTACTACATTGACCACTTAGTAAGATGCAGGCTTTATAAGTAAGAAAAGGTACAATGTACATGTACATGCAATGAAACAACATCTGCTGTTCACTTTACATGTTTCTATTACCGGTATATATTTTACATTGTCATTGTATTTAATCTTGAATAAAAAGTGGGGCTTAAAAATTTGTCTGGACATTTGTTTAGGACATCATCGACTTTTCATTTTTACATGTATGCTTTGATATCACATTGTCTTTGTATTTCATCTTGTCTTTGTATTTCATCTTGAATCAAAATGTAGCTTTAAAATTTGTCAGATTTAAGAATTAAGATATAAAAGAAATTGAATTTTAACTGGTTTCCATTGAGAAAAGAGTGACAAAAGCCATTTCAAAAACTGGATATCAATAATAAGCCCTTTAAATAAGCAGAACTTTGTCAATACAGTCCAGTAATATTGCCAAACTGCTATTTTATGGAATCATAATTTTTATATCAGACAATTCTTGAACTGAAATGAAGTATTTTATTCAACTCATTAGTTAAGTGTGGCAGCAAGGAAATGAAAGTATAACATGTAACCTCTATTACATGGCCCACTGCACTACTGTTGACATGTTAACATTTTTGGAGTTCAAAGTAGGGGCTTTAGTGTTCCAGGCACTTGTTTATGTTAAAGGCCCACTCCACTACTTATAGCTACTTGCGCCCTCTATATAACAAACAATGCATAATCGGTGACCATTGGTCCCCCATGATCCTCTTCTTCTTATGCTACTTGGGAGCTGATTTGATGAGATTACCACCTGTCCAGTGACCTTGCAGGGTGGTCTAATCCCTCCTGTACACTTGTACAAATGGGCTTTAAGCCCTGTGGATCATAGATTTTCTTGAATACGACTTAAAATTTGATATGAATTTCATTTTCATCTTTTCCTACAGGGAACGAATTTGCCGTTTATCGAGGCCAGGATGGTGAAGCGTACGCTGTCGATGCCTATTGCCCCCATCTTGGGGCTAACATGGCCATTGGAGGAACGGTGAAGGGCAACTGTCTGACTTGCCCCTTTCATGGATGGTCCTTCGAGGGCAAGGAGGGCAAATGTGTGGACATTCCATACCAGGAGAAAGGGAGTAAGTTACCATATCTTTAAAGTCTGCATCTTCTAATCTTGAAAGCTTAAAGGTAAAGTTTTGGTATGGGGTCATGAATTTGGTTCAAATGAACATATTGGAAGCATATTTCATAGTGCTTATAATACATTCACAGGGGCATCTAAATATATCAAAATTGTAATGAATCACTATCCAGCAAATTTTCAAAATTTACAATAACTTTGTATTACCTTTAAATATTTAGAGAGAAAAAAAATTATGATACTCTGCAAAAAAAATTATATGGAGGGTAGATTCTTTCTGGCTACTGATTGAAGATTTTGTTTTATTTTGAAGAATATGAATACTGTCTGCAACTCTCTTCTGGCTTTGAACAAACAATATGATCTCCTTTTGATCTCTGAGCTACAATAATTTCCCAAGCATATTGGTGATAAAACCTGCTTATATTGCATCTTCACTGTGAATAAGTGGCCCATGAGAATAAGCAGAATATTTTGAAATCTCTTGCCAGAAATAATGCACACAATCTTCTGATTCTCTTGGAAAGCTTCATGAGCTGCTAAAATCTGACAAAAACTACGACACTGGTTTAAGTTCGATTGAGAAAAAGGCAGCTGGAGAATCAGTATTTATTTCTGAACACTCTATTTCAAGAATCTATTCCTATGCAAGTGTTCAAGTAAAAGTCTTGGTGATCATATATTTTTTGTCTAAAGACTGATTACAGATATTCATTGAACTCATTACTTTCCCCAAATTTATTTACAGAATCGGTTCCTGCACAAGCTAAGGTGAAGTCGTGGCCCGTGATTGAACAGAACGGTTTCGTCCTGGTGTGGCATGATGTAGAGGGAAGGGAGCCCTCGTGGTTCCCAGAAAACATTGAAGAAAAAAATGGGGCAAGATGTACTATCACGGGACCACCAAGCACACAGTATGCGCACATGTGGAAGTGAGTATAGCAAGCCTGATCATGACCCGATTTAAATCAGTTTCCCGGTTTAAACAAATATTTTTTCCTGATTTTTTTTTCTCCAGATTTTCCTGCTATTTTCCAGATTTTTCCAGATTTTTCCAGACCCCCCCCCCCTTTTTTTTCTTCCTCAAGTGGGGGGTGGTATAGGAACTCTCCCTACAGCCCCATTGTAAATACGATGCTGTAAACTGATGTATAAAGTAATGCTGATTACATTTGAGAGTGTCTATTTCTGACAAAACCAAGAATTGTTGACCTAAAAAAAAAAAACATTTAAAAACATGTGAAATATAACCTGAATGACTTGTGAGATGATAAAAAAAGTAACTTCATGTATGTGCAATAAAATAATGGTGGGTGAAAATGAGGGGCCATGCTTCTTGTTCACCTCTTACCCCGATACCACCTGTCATATTAACTGCACACTAATATAAGCTTTTGATGACTGCGTATCAAAACGATACACCTGCCGATAATCAAGGCCTCCAAAATACTTGACTTTATAAGCGTGCTAGGGAGCTGTCTTGAATTAAACTTAACGTAAAATACTCTGCCAAAAGATTTAACTGAATACTGATGTTGGCTAACGGTTTTTATCCGAGCAAAAAAACTGAGTAAAATACTATTTGTTTCTTTAGTACATCAGCACTTAATAGAATACATTTCTGGCATTACTATTGTATGGAATACTGGCCCATAACTCTACTTTACCTTTAAAGCTACCATACTATAGATAGATGTTTAACCAGGTATGCTTATTCTGAAGTCCAAAGTACTCATACCCCCAAAATGAATTATATAATGTCGGCTTGAATAGGATTTGCAAACTCATTGCATCAAAATTGTGCCTGTCTTTTTCATAGTGTCAATTGTCTACCCTTGGAATGCAATGTTTGTGTAAATATTTTTGCTCATTTACATGTATGCCTCTGAAGGTGCAAATATACATGTTCAATAAAGGCATTTTTGCAGTCGATAGGAATTAGCGAGATTATAAGAGTTTTAACAGCTGCATGGAATTCCTTTGATATCTCTCACCTATTAAAGGGGATATCTGTGATTTAAGACTGATGTCATATTTAAATAATTGTCAGTTTTAGATAGTTATGGTTGATACAGGAAATAATAATAATGCACATCATGCCAAACTGTAGTACCCTTAAGCCCTTAAATGTAAATATGATTTCTCTGGTAGCGGGTTTATTTGATGGGATATCCTCATTATTTGCTCTTGTAGCATGTAGCTATGTGACTTTGAACTGTCCTTTATTATGCCATGTGAATTATGTAAAATATACAATGATATCATTATTATGATGTTAGTGAATATGGTACTAATATTTCCACTTGAGAAAATGGAAATTAATTCACCGAATATATGTCCAACTAAATTATTTTTAAGTTGTCTAATATTCTCATTGTGAAAATTTTCAGTGTTGATATTTTAATTATATTTGAATTGAGATAGAATTAGGGAGAGTTATAAAATGTGTGAAAATATGCGATGAGACTCGAATTTGCTCATTAGATCGATAGATATTGATATACATGTAGATGTGTTATTAATTATTTTATTTGTTTTGTAGGAAATATCGGAGAATGGCGCGGACTGTGCTCATTTGACCTTTGTTCATGGAGCTTTTATGGGTAGTGGGAATGATCTCAGATATATGGGAAGCAAGTGAGTATAAAACTGTCATATACATTATACATTTTTTTTAAATCCATTTTTAATCATTTTTATTGTACATTTATATGATCATTCCTGTTTTTATGCACATTTTATGTAAACATTGCATTATTGGTCCCTGGACTACTGCACTGTACATTGTATGTGTTGATATTAATTATCCAAAATTGAATTGAATTGAAATGAAAATTGAATAGTATGAACATTATTGTTATACAGTAGGCTTGCGGTTGCACCATTGTTATTGTTGTAACCATCAATCTTCATATAGTGGTAGCCATCATTTTTATAATCCTTTGTTCACTATGATAGCATCCTCATAAATATACGCCATTGATTTTACAGGTAAATGTCTATACTCATTATTCATCATGAGGAAATTTATTTGCATTGGAAACAATTGCGGTTATATGGGAAGTGAATGGATATGTAACTATATTAAAGGTACTATGTCCCATTTGCAGCCAACATCAAATTCTATAGAACTTTGCAGGAATTACGAATACTGTATGTCACGTACAGTATGTCGCTCTCATATTCAAAATATGACAGGAACCAGCTGAAGGGTTAAGACCAAACTCTCTTGCTATATTGTAGTCCCATATATCCATTTCTGTGTGCAGTGCATTTGCTTTTCATCGAAATTGAGTCAAATCTGTATCAATTTGATGATTCAAAAACTAATTCTTTCCAAGTTTGATTCCAGACAGCTTGTTTTGCATTCCGACGGCTTCTTTTGTATTCCGACGGCATGACCAGGAACTCCACTTCATCCATAACCTCTGCTTGTATTGTTGTTTGTAGATTGTGGAGCTGGGCTTCTCACTCTTGGGGAGGCAAATGGGAGCAGGATCCGGACCACAAGCACATCGGTGTGATGACCGTCTACCATGCCTTCAGCTTGTTTGGAATGCCAATAGAGGTCACGAGGTCAGAGAGCACTGCTAGACAGGTGAGTTGGAGGAATAGAAGGATAGCAGACAGGGTGTGGTAGAGAGAACGATTGAAGATAGAAGATTGATGGAGTGGAAGAAAAAATTATGATAAGGTTGAGCGGAAATGGGAAAGGAGGGGTGTGAAAAAAAATACATGGGGGCTCAGGGCGAATTAGCCCCTGAAATGCCAAAAAGAGCCCCCGAGAGTCATAAAAGAGCCCCAGAAATTTGCATAGAGTTCAATGCAAAACGAATTAAAAAGTGTTATTTTCAAGCAAGCAAGCTTGAAAAGTAGCCCCTGAAAATTCTGAGTGAGTGTAAGATGAAAGGATAGGAGAATGAGGAAGGGGAATGTAATAGAGGAAACATGGATGATGGAAGGTTTAAGGAGAAGAGGGTATGGCAGAAGAGTCTGCTCAGCTTTGTGGTAGGATATTGGAGCAGCATGCTAGAACATGTAGGGGTTACGATAACAGAGAGTACCACTAGATGGGTGAGATAGAAGGAAAGGATGAAGATTTTTTTTAATGGTGGATTTAGATGGACGAAGGTTTTGGCAGAATTGATGGATATACATAGAACACTTTTGATAGCATCTGTATTGACTTTCAAGGTTATTTTCTAATGTTTTATCTGTCCTTTTACACTTCTTTTCTTCCAACCTCCTTTCTTCCAGAATGGACCAGCCCATGTACTTCTTTCCTTCTCTCTGCCCTTTGGCAAGGCCACCATAGCAATCGGGGTCACACCCATCGAGCCACTTACTCAAATCGTAACTCAGCATGTTTACGCCTCCAGGTTTTTCCCCCGCTGGTTGGCAAAGAGTTTTCTCTACGCCGAGTATGTCCAGGTATGTATCCCCAAAAGAGAAAAGTACCGGTCAAAGTATAATGTATTAAACTTAAACTACAATATAATATAATCAGAAATATGGAAAAACAGCCATCTTTAGTTAATGTTGCCATTTCAAGAATTTCTATACTTATTTTCCCTTAATAAATTTCCTGTAACAAATGCATAGTATGTACAGTCAAACCTGTCTATAGCGACCACCCAAAGGAAACACCAAAAGAGGTCTTTGTAGACAGGTTCCTTTAGTACATGTTTCAATTAGAAACCATTTTAAAGGGAAAACAAAAAATGTGGTCTATATAGACAGGTGGTCTTTGTAGACAGGTGGTCACTAAAGCAGGTTTGACTGTATCATGGTTAGAATTGACAGTGTGTGTCGAAATATTGACTCTTTCTGCTCATGCCTTGGGTTTAGGGCTCTTGAGCCCTACAACAAGGTGTCCTGAATATTTTTTTTTAATTCCTGTTCTTTTGATTCTTTGTTGCCATTTTGCAGTTTGAGAGGGACATCATGGTGTGGAACTACAAGACCTACCAGAGGAAACCTCTCCTGGTCTTTGAAGACCGCCTCATCTCCAAACACCGAAGATGGTACTCGCAGTTCTTCTCCGAAAACAGTCCCAAGTTTGAAGATATGAAGAAGACCCTGGACTGGTGATCTAAACCTGTAATAGTTGAGTGGATTAGAAGATGACATCGTTGAGTCACGTTCACATATGCTGCAGTAAACGGTTTCCTGAGCTATGTGTGAACGAGCCTTCAGTGGTCCTACACTATCCTAATATAGTGCATCCTTTTAATAGTATTATGGAGAAATGATTCCTATTTGTGGCTTTCATACCAATGTAATGTACCCTAGTTTCCTCCTTCAGTGGTCCTACACTATCCTAATAAAGTGCATCCTTTTAATAGTATTATGGAGAAATGATTCTTATTTTTGGCTTTCATACCCATGTAATGTGCCCTAGTTTCCCCCTTTTATGAAATACATGTGTAAAAAGGTACCAAGTATGCTGCCTTGAGGGACACCTAATCCATGCCATGGACAGTTGGCAGTTATGACCGGTACTGTAGTCGAGTCTATACTTGGGGCCACGAAATGAGTCCAGTTGGTCAAAATTTTTATTCCTGTTTTTAAGTATTATATGAATCTACATTAAGTAAGCTTTAAATTAAGGGGTCACACATTAAAATTGATAAATTATATCCAGAAATATGAACAAAAACCTAATTGGACTTTATAAACAATGGGATTACCCAGTTTTGAGATAATTAGGTGTAAAGTTAATGATGTGTAACATAGCCTATATTATTTGCCAAAAATGTTAGAAGGAGATATTTTCGTGACCTAAGCTCTGGGGACATAAACTACAAGACATTAATAAGTCGATTTTTGGAAAAATCTTAAATGTGGTAGGTGGGTCAATTTTCAGTACATATACACTATACATCGCTCTTACTACGATTGAGCCTAATGCAGCACTGGACTCATTTCGTGGTGACTGGCCCCACTTCAGGCCACATTTGAGTGGCCTTGGTCTCTGGTTGAGTCCCATATACAAGATCAATGGAAGGTAATATTTTTCAGCGGCCTTCTTACTCAGAAGTGCTGGTCACGACTCCACCACTGATGACGTTATTCAGCATTAGGGAGGGATTGGTATTAAAGTCAGGGTTACCCTAAACCTTTTCCCAAATTCGTAATATGGAAATATTTTGTAAGCAAGGGCCAATGTGGTGTTATTATTTAGAACAGTAGGTATAGATGAGCTTATTTATGTAATATTGGATGGCCTTGATGTTTATACAAGGATGTTTGTACAAACTAATGACAAGCGCAATATATTTGCATATCAATTGTATTTTCTGTAATTACCAATAACCATTATGACATGTAGATATTAAAATCATAAATCCTATTTTGCAAAGCACTATTGACGCATTTGAACTTGATAGAATGTACAGATTTAGCCAAAGCATTTTTAGAGTCGTAGAAATGTCAGTATCTGATCAATGCTATTTTTCATTGCTTTGCAAAAGTTTATATTTGAGAAGGGCAGTTCAGTGCAACATTTGACATTTATATATATTTAATTAGTAATTACCAACAAAGATTTTCAGATTTTGAACTTGTGGTTGTACATGTAGTACGGTACTGTTAATGAATTATGTGAAATTATAGTAAAAAGTGCCAGTTTATACAAAAATTATTTATTTCAACTATCAACAAATATAATAGATAATTTTATCTTAATATATGTAATTCAAAACAGTAAGAGATCAAAATTGTATTCAATAGAATGGTATGGAAATCGGTAAGTGCTAAATACATCCTTATGTAAATGTATTGTTATACAGAGCAAGTATAGTTCAAAGTTCGTTTTGAAATATTTGCAGCGTTAGCAAAAGTTGAAACTTCAGCATTATATGTACTTAAATTTTTGGGTGTGTTAGATTTTTGGTTAATATTTGATGACTATCCCATTTTTTTTTCAGCTTCCCTGAAAATTGGGTCAAATATCATGTACGTGCAGAAACCAGAGTAGAAATAGGAAACATTATGTATCTTTCAGTCATATGCATCTTTCAGTCATATGCATACTGTACAGTAATCCTTTAATTGCCGTCTAATTAATGATTTGCAAAGTTTCTGAAAGGTTGTTTCAATTTCTAATATCATTAGAGTAATAAATGGGAAATTCTTTTCAATGAAAGACAGAAATTGGTATCATGGAGTACTTCAGGTTACGGTACTACCACAAATCAATGACTCCAAGCTCTTCTGGCTGGTTATTTATTAAAAGATACTTGCCGATGATAGGTGTGGTGTCTGAAAGTCCATTATTACAAAATGAAATGTCTTGGTTTAGAATATAAGATGTTATCAAGCTTCAAATATGCCACACCTGTTTCCTGATAAGGGGTAGAAAGATAAAAGGTAGGCAGTGGCGTAGCTACAGGTACAGGGGACACTGGGCAATGGGGCATGTACCACCCCCCCCCCCCCCCCCCCCCTCCCATTCCATTGACTGGCAAAATGTAGAGAAAGGAAAAAGCAAGGAAAATAAAGAGGGGGAAGGGAAGAGAGAAGAAAATGATTAGACTCTCTGCCTCATTGACCTCCTAACAAGCGACCTTGCTACTTTGCATTTCAGTCAATGTGTAAGATTGTGCCCCCCCCCCCCCTTTTCATAATGCCAGTGCCCCTATCAATGGCGAGACTTGTCCTACGCCACTGATTGTAGCAATATCAAAATCAAGATTTAGACTGACGTGGTACGACCCATAATTTAGCAATAATTCTGTGTCGCACAGAGTATCAGCAGTACCTAGTAAGGTCATCTCCTAATATCTGGGTCATTTGGTAATGACGTTCAGTGAATGGCTACCTTATCTTTCAAGTGGTTCAATGAATTTGTTTATCCATCTAATATTAAAAAAGGGGCAGGCATGTGGTAGAAAAATTGAAAGAAAAAGAAAGAAAGAGCCTGAAGAAAGGAAACACAATTATTGACTACGTGCAACTGTTCACGCTTGCAAATTGATGCACCTGAATTGAAAGTAAACATTGAAACTCTTCCAAAGGAAAACTTCTGTACTTCCTTTTTTCTTCCAATGTGCATGTTTATTTAACTTTATTTATAATTAATCATGAGATTGTATTATTGTATTTTGATGAAATGTAGAAATCCCCAATCTTCTGCTTTAAGAACTAACTTGACTTCATTCCATTCAATATTGCATGTTCATGTTTGTCTATTGTTAGCTTGAAGCACATCTTTTTCTCATTGTCTCATTAAGTATGATCATTTTAACAGTAACATTTGACATTTTAAGTCTTAGGGCAGTTTAATTGTGCATAAATCTATTTCAACATTCTTGGAAATTTCAAGCAAATAGGTTTTTTGTTTTTGGGGTCATTCTTTTATATCATTTATTTGGCGAAGGCAAAAGTTAGAATCTTACCGGTATACAAAACTTTGTGCAGTTCATATTCAATTGTGCATAAATCTATTTCAAGGTTTGAAAACGATCTGGGAACATTTCCGTGGTTTCTGTCACTCTTGTATTCTTATATCCATTTGGTAACTTCAGGCATGAATCTAGTTATATTTATCTGCTATTCCATGATATAACTATTTACTTTGTCATTTGTCTGGTGAGCTATCGGTCTGCCCATAATACTTTGGACTCCTTTTTTTGTTTTGTGCTTTATCAAAACGATAAAGCATTTGTACAACATATGAACTGCCCTGTATAAGCTATCTACAGACTATTTACTTCATGGATTAGATTGTCCTGTGCTCATCTCAATTCTATGTCTGTAGAAGAATTTCTTTACCTCCATAATGCCCCTGAAATGACTACCCCCCCCCCCCTTTACCTATTTCAGTTAGGTATCATTTCATGAAATCAGCGATATGTGTGCAATGTAAGATTGTGCAATGTCAGGCAGGCGCAGATCCACAGGGGGGGGGGGGTACGGGCCTGCCCCCACCCCCTCCCCCAATTGTTTTAAAAGATAGTAACGTAAACTTTACCTTTTTTAAACAAAAAATGAAAACTGATTTGGTGTTCTCATTTGTAAATATGTGAAACCCTTTTTTGCAACATTCTGTTTAACCAATTTCTTTGCTAAGATGAAAAAGATATTGTAATATTTTGTAGATTTAGAGTGCTTTCATTTGGACAATCTTTGATTTGTAGACCTATGAAATATGATGCAATTTGATATTTATAACCCATAGCCTACAGGAACTGCACGGTCATTGTATAAAGCCTATGGGAAGTAGATAATTTAGAACTTAACAGGTTGATTCAAATGAAATGTGAAAATGTCTGGCAATTCTTGAGATATGACAATTTTTTAATCTGTTCCAATCAATAATGTGTAGTGCAATCATGATTGAAAAGAATTCATCTTTTATTTTTCCTAATGATAATGTTCGATGAAATTGATGGCTTGGTGTTTATTCTTAAATTCCAATATAACAATGTTATATAAATCATGTACCACAATCAGAATGGTTTTTTTTTTAAATAATTAAATCATTTTTAAAACATGTTGTCAAAGTCTCAAGATAATTCAAAGATAATATTTGAAATTTTGTGAGTGAGTGTAGGTGATTTTGATAATACTACTGTAGGAAAAGGATAATGGTTGCAATTGAAAACATCATCATGCCAAGAGCCATCTATATGCAGAGTTTAGCCAACTTGGTTTCATTTGGTCACAACATGACATATATTCTTTTGTTTTGTGCTTTCCCAACAAAGCAGTAATCGCCATTATGTAACCAACTAAAACTGGGATGGCCAAACTCTGTATACCGATGGCTATGGTCATGTCTTAGATACATACCCTAAGTGCACTTTTAGCTTGTAAAAGGTCAAACTGCTTTTCACTTAGAAAACACTTTCAATTTGTAGTAGAGTGAGAGACAATATTTGATTGTTACGTCACTTTTTATAAGTGTGATCGTGTTCTATGTTCCAGCTTGACAATATTTCTATTTTTTCTCTATCGTTTGCAGTTGAATATTTTGTATACTAACTTTGAATTACAAACTTTTACATCGTCAATGACATAGTAGATAATTTGAAGGATTTGAAATAATTTATCACCTCTAAGAAAATGGGTTGATGACAATACAAGGTCATTATCATCCTTTTTAACGGGAATAGCAAATTACTATTTTGTTGTGTTTTATGTAGATTTACATGGTTTAATTTATTGAAAATTCATCAGGCTTGAGAGAATTAAAAGAATAGAGATATGCACCCCTCATCATTGTTCTTTCATAATTTTTACTCGTAATTTCTGTTTGAAAGGGGGAGCGGTCTTAATTTGTGTACATTCCATATAAAGGCCGTCTGCACTAGTTGGGCCAGAAGGGATTAGACCACCCAGTGAGGTCACTGACATGTGGCTTTATCATCAACTCAGCTCTCAATTAACATAAGAAAAAGGGGATCATGGGGGACCAACAGGCACCGATTGGGGAAGTTTTCTATATAGAGGGAGCAAGTAGCTACAAGTAGTACAGTGGGGCTTGAAGATACATATGATATCATCTGTATGAACAAGGAGGGCATCAACTCATCTGCTTAACACAAAGTTAACGCCTTTCTGCTTCTGAAAAGAAGATATTACGGTTCTCTTTGCTGGTCTGTGAAAAGAACTATCCATTATTTTAGGGCTCTTTGAAAATTGTTGTATATTTGGGGAATTTAAGATCATAATTATGCTGGTAAATACAAGTTAATGTCAATCTTTACGAGCACAGCTCTGAGTCTCCCCTTCTGCTTTTTTTTTTTTTTTTTTTTTTTTTTTTTTAATCAAAGACAGACTAAACAATGAATTACAACTTGGACTGCACACCACACGATCACACTGTTATTGATTTTTTTTTGCAGAAATCACAATTACATTAGATTGTGAATTTCATGTTCTGAATATTGAAAGAAATACAATAAAGTGACATCTTTGTGCATTGTAAGCCTTCTAGCCAGTGTAAAGTCCAAACCGGCTACGGATTGAAGACAATCAGAGAACATATCTAAATTGAGTAAATTCACTGTGCTTTGGAGCCCATTTGGCATTTCCTTGTTCAAGGAGGCTGCATTACCTCAAAATAAAAATTGTATGATTCATAAACACAATCGCAACTACTTTTGAAAGATCAAATCGAGGTCAATTTCATGACCTTATTGTATATCCTTTTAGAAATCATGTTCGAATTACATTGGAATGTTAGCACACTTCTAAAGGTGATGGAAGGTGATGGTGATTGAAATTGCCTTAAGTTGACATTTTGAATGTATAGTTGCGATCGTGCTCTATTCAGAACCTCTATCATTGGATGTTCATTTCCAATGCTAATTGCAAAATTATTACAAAGTCGGACCGCTGTCAGATCCTCTGGTGTGAAGTGGCTTTAAGACATAAGAAGGGACAAGGATTCCATGTAATATATAAACACTGGTCTTGTGGAGTCTCACCCTTGTTCAATGTGATGGGTTTCATATATACCCCCCCCCCCCCCATATGCAAGTCTATCGTGTTTGCCACTGTTATGTGCCTCATTCTGACACGAAGATGACTTTTATTTGAGGGACCATTGCTTACTTTAATAGTGAGACTTAATTAAAATGTTTGTTTTATAATGATCAGAATTATTTTTCTTTGTTTTATTTTTTGCTAGTTTTTTGTGTGGAAATTGAATAGGCATAAGTGAAATGAAGACAGGGAGAGAGAGAAAGAGAGAGATAGGGGTGGGGGCACTGAGAGCTAAGACGTAAAGAGGAAAACATAGTGAAATTGGGGAAGAACAGAGGGGTTATGCAAAGGAGAGAGAGGAAGGATGGGAGATGGGGAGAGATATCGAGAGGGTAGAGGAAGATGTGGAAAAGGGTGAGGGGGTGAAGAATTAGAGAGCGCGATGGGTTGACGAGGGGGGGGGGGGGTAGAGGGAGGACAAAGTCGAGCGGGGAGATAATTTAGGAGAAATGAGAGAATAAGAGGCTGAGAAAGATAGGGGATAGGGAAGATGAGGAGAGCGAGAGAGAAAGAGGGAATACGAGCGGGAGGTGAAATGGTAAACGGAGCGTGAAGACAAGAGTGCATATTCTCTCGTTTCTCTGATCTCTTCTCTTTTCTTCTTTCTCTCTTCATCCTCTCTTTTCCCTTCTCTTTTTTGCCTCTTCTTCTCGCAACTCCGTCACGATATCTCAATCCAAATTTATATATTCACCACATCCACTGTCTTCCCTCTCTTTATATTGCACTGCTGACATTATCTTAACTTTGTTTTTAAATAATTCCTTTCTGCCAGTTTATACGATTCCACTCATCGAATATTCTGTATACAGGTATATCTGTTTCTGTCGGGACAATAACAATTATACATTTATTCCCATGGCCAGTGGAGAGACTTTTACGGTGGTCATATACAACCCTTGTCAATGTTTAGTTCAACCCGAGATTCAACTCACCCGTTCTTGTACTCGACAGAGTATTCATATTTATTTTCACCCTAACAATACAATATCACACTTGACTGATTTGATATAGATGACATATATTATTGCATTGTACAAGAATCTTTCGAATATGTGTAGAATCGTTTCACAAAAAAACTGGCCCTGGATTCGTTTAGGCATACAGAAGCGCTAACAGTACTGTATGAGTCAACAGCAAAGCAGCGAATATTTCTCATAACGCCGTGTACACCTATATGTGATTGAATATTGGGCAAAAGCAGCAATGATAGACGAAAAGAGAGTTATATTTATACGTTTTGGATGGCAAATGTGATCATTTATCAATGAATTGGGTAAGTACAACATCGTGCTATTTTGTGCACACTTTTGTTTCAAACACCTACACGTGTAGAAAATTAGTTTCATATAGGTCGATCAAAAGAATGGTAAATATACTTGATTACGTGGTGTTCTATTTTGGGGGTTGATGTATATACCTTGATCTCTTTTTGACCATTTGACGTACATGCTGTTAATCTATTGACAAAGATGAAACAAAAACTATTCATGATCCATTGAAATGTCAATTTGTGCAGTTTATCATAGGTCATATTGATGATTGAATGTAATTTCTTATGTGGGGTTTATTAATTGACCGGTATATGTGTGGAGACCGGAGAACGGCAGTATTTATAGGCAAACATCAACTGTATCAAGGTATAAAAAGTCATTACTGACTCAGTTTGCCCATAAATTTCATATTTAGTCATTCGCGCACACTCTCTCTCTCTCTCTCTAATAATAATAATAATACATAACATTTATTAGGCGCTTAATACTGATGTTTCTAAGCGCACAGTGTTCTGATTAAGAGAAGACTATAACCCGTAGAATTAAATTAGAAGAAAAAGCAAAAATACAAAAGTAACATAGATAAGGTAAGAAAAACAGTGGCAATCAACTAAATAAAGACAAATATGGTGCGCACCTCCATTGACCGACGCACAACTGCAATTTACAATTTGAAAAGATAGGTTTTGAGTAGAGATTTGAATTGAGATACAGAGGGGGCGCAGTGAATAAAGGCGGGCAGTTTGTTCCAGAGAGCGGGGGCAATAACTGAAAAGGCGCGGTCACCATACCGGGTGTTAGTGCGGGGTCCAGGTGTTAACAGTAATGTGGAAGATGATCTCCCATCGTGTCCTGTCTTTCTTCTCCCACCTCTCACAGTACGCCATGTCTCATGCACTCTTTATGCATACTTCCAGTGGCGTAATGAGCAAAAATGTTCGGGGGGGGGGGGATACACAAAATCCGGATCATCATCACTCTTACAATACATGCAGGCCCCGTGGAACGTTTTTCAAAGTGGGGGGGGGGGGCTAAAGTATTTACGATCAGGTAGAGCGAAGCAAAGGGAGCGTAAATTCGCGTGGGGTCCAGGGGCGAAGCCTCAGGGGTTTAGGGCACTATTACAGTCAGCTGGTCATCCAGGGGCCCGCCAAAGGGGCCCCTAGTGGGGTCCAGGGCGGAGCCCCCGCAAGCTCAAGGCTTTTAGGCATATTTATTTACGCTCAGATCACTCAGATGAGCATATTTTGATACCATCATTGTTTCACTGGCAGGTCACTAATAATTGGAGTGGGGTCCAGGGGGCGGAACCCCTACTAGATCAGGGGTGGTAGACATCAAATTGCGATCAAATTAGCATCCAGGCGCCCGCCTTGGTGGGGTCCAGAGACCCCGGAAGCTTATGGGTTGTAGGCATGTAATTACGGTCAGATGAGCATTCAGGGGCCCGCCTTAGGGCCCTTGGTGGGGTCACGCAGGTAAATATCATGCCATTTTAGCAACATTTGTAAATCACTGGTATCGAATTAGAAATAAACCACGTTTGAATTTATCGGGGGGGGGGGTCAGCTGCCCCAAGCCTCCCCCAATCAGTAAGTCAGCGCATTCTTCACTTGTAATCGGAGGGCCAACTTGAAAGTCAAATATCTTGTTCAGTTTTTGAGTTGCCTGTCACTCCACACAAACTTAGTTATATAAACATACCATGTTAACTCGAAAGATTTTATCACAGAGGTGTTTTTGTTAATAATTTGTAGCGAACACCCCTTAATCGGAGGGGTAGTTCTAATAATCATTTGAATATTATTATTATTTATGATTAAATGACTGATAGACCAAATGAGTAGTAGACTTAGAATTAGACCAAATTACTATTAGTAGCCACCAAATGATAAGTAGACGAATTGATTATGAGACCATGTCGATAGTAGACGTGTTGGGTGTAGACCATACGGGAATAGACTAATTGGGTAGTAGACGAACTGGTTGTAGAGCAAACGTCAACTCACAAACAATTCCATGCAAGATATAAAGTCCATGTTAAGGGCCTAACAATTGGAGAGATTAGACAGATTTCCCTGTACATGTATAGTGTATCAAAGTACTCTAGACTTCGATCCTCGTTTAGGGTGCTTTTCAGAAATTAATTTACACCATGACGGATGATGTACATGCAGTGGTCAATGTCTAGGGGGAGGGGGGGGGCATATTCTAAATGAAAATGAAAACAGTCTCTTGCACTTACAATACAAATTTATAAAATACAGTGTATACATACATGTATGTGAATTACAGAATATTACAGTGTATCAACTAATCTACTGTACATGAAAAATTTCCAATACCAGTTCAAAACAAAACTCTAGACACATTCCTTTGATTATAGTATGCAAAGAACTAAGGAAAAGTATACCATAACACAATTATTCAAATAAAACATGAATTGGCTAAATAAACTAAAAGTCCAAAGACATGATTGCAAAATAACAAAACAAAAACAAAACATTCTCTCTCCCATCCCTTTGAATGATTCTCATTTCTTATTTATACTGTGCACCATGCAATATGCTCAAGATATGTGCATAAAATACACAATTAAGAAACATATCAAACAAACAAACATAAAATCAACATCAATTGGAAATGAAATTGAAAACAACCTGTTGCGCTGACAAGGTAAATTGACACAATAATATAGTGTATGTAAACTGTTTACCACTACTAATTTTTTTTCTCCAATTTCATCCATTCGAACCAAAGTATTGACCAGTAGGTACAATCGTATATAAATGATTTGCCTAGAAGTGTGGAAATTAATCATACAGATGCTAAAATGCAGTTTCCAGGTTTCAAATAAAACAAAAAATGACCGAATCAAGTGGGTTTTTATAGCTACATGCAGGATAGTATTATGTACACAATTCATGTATTTGTAAAAAATATTTAATGCGGAAATCATAATTTTGTGGGACGCAAAAATCACAATAATGAATTATTTCTCTCTCCCGTCGCTTCGGGATTCCTTCTATAATCCTGTCATCTCATTTAAATTGTACCTCACCATGAGTCAAAGAAGTGTGAATAGATTTCACTGAATATTTTTGTTGTTGCAAATTTGCCTACAGAAGCATGTGCCATGACCCAAGCTATGTTATTTTGCCTTTGTTGGAGTTGTACACGTAGGCCTACCACCAACGAATTTTAAATCTCTTGCAAAGCTCCACATATCCACTGAGTCCGCAAGACCTCCCCTTGATGATACCGAAACAAGGTTGAAACCTAACTGAGTAATTTGCCTAAAAAATTGTAAACGATTCAAGGGGGACTTTGGTGAAAACTTGAAACCTTTTTCTTCGGAACCAAAAATGGGGTCCACCGAGGGTCTGCTAACATATCCCATACGGTCCCATGCTTCCATAACTACTGGGATTTTCTGAAGGATTTCAGAACTGCCATATATTTTCCAGTATTTTCTATCGATGTGCTCCACCTCTAGAAGCTCTTGCTCCTTGACGTGTTCCGATTTAGCTCGCTTTTCTTCCTCCCTATTTCTGATCTGAGTCACAGCATCAATTAATTCCTTGATCTGGTAGTAATCAGCTTCCTGTGCAAGCATGTCAAGCTCTTTGAATTCTTCGGGTAAGACGAGAATGGACCTCCGTAAGAAATTCAGAACATACCGAAATAAGGAGCCATCCCCGTCAATGAGGTAATTCCCCTTATCATCCTTGATGGAAGGGAGCCGATCACTGAACATTGACCCTAACATTGAATCAGGAAAACGAGTCAATGTAGCTCGCGATGTTGTGTATATCGTACCTCCGACATTAAGGCTCACAAAGTCAGTCATATTTCTTGAAAACAATGCTCCGTCTGCAATGGTTCCTTAAAGTTAGTCTGTCCCTTTGCAAGCTGAAAATATAAAATTATGTGAATCCTACGGTTAACAAGAGATAATACTACCTAAAAACTCCTCTCAAGAGAATAGAACTGGTATAATCGCCTCTATGTGGAATTATATCGACCGTTAAGAATTTTGTAAAAATATAAATTTGAAAAAATAAACGGGATAAATTTGTAATTTGAAAGCTTTCTCACCTACTGGTTTCTTTTCAATTTACAAGCGTTGTCCAAGGTGATGTAAATAGATTCTTTTTCTCTACACTGTAGGATGAGCTTGGTACCTTGGTTCGATTCAGATCCCCTTTGATTTGCTTTCACTTTTCCTCAACTGGTGTGCGTGGTTTTCCAACTCGAATCGTCGCGTTTTCAATTGGGATGGCAGATCGGTTACAAATCGGAAGCGTAGACCCTCACGTGCGGACCCAACATTTCTCTTAGCTTCCTGTTATTTCATTTTAGCTGGATTTGTGGAAGCCTGTGGGCAATGGTGTCGATTTGTATCCGCGGTTGGGGGGGGGGATGATAGGTGCCAAAATATTTTCGGCAATGGATCAAAGCAACCAAGAGGTAGAAGCGTGTGGCAGGTTGCTCCCCCTCCCTTCCAAGTTATTAACTTTTTCAAGTCACCCTCAATAAAGATAACATTTTAGAGAATATGGGACCCATGTTGGTCCCACATGGGCTTGCTACCTGGATTATTATCCTCTCAAGCATATAGGCAGGATTTTAATTTAGGGGGCGGTAGTGAGCACCCCCTAGGGGTGGGTGCAGGGAGGGGGAGTTTCCCCCCTTCTCGCGCGAAGCGCGGAAGCTCTGACGTTTCATTAAATTATTACAGAAAGAAGACGATTGATTGTACCATTCTCGACTCTTAATCCTTGTCTGAATTCGTAAACACCCCCCCCCCCCTCTCGGAAGCTTTGACGTTTCATTATTAGGAAAAGAAGACGATTCTTTGACCCATTCTCGACTCTTAATCCTTCCTAAATTCAGCCCCCCCCCACCCCCCTTCCCGCGCGAAGCGCGGAAGCTTTGACGTTTCATTCTCGACTCTTAATCCTTGTCTGAATTCAGTTCCCCCCCCCCTCCGGCGCAAAGCGCGGAAGCTTTGACGTTTCATTAAATTATTAGAAAAAAGACGATTCGTTGACCCATTCTCGACTGTTAATCCTTGTCTGAATTCAGTTCCTCCCCCCCCCCCTTCTCGCGCGAAAGCTTTGACGTTTCATTAAATTATTAGAGAAAGAAGACGATTCGTTGTACCGTTCTCGACTCTTAATCCTTTTTCTTCCTACGTCCTCTTCCTTTCTTCTTCTCTCTCTTTTTTTTTTTTTTTTTTTTTTTGGGGGGGGGGGGGGGAGATGGCGGGGGCGACCGCCCCCACCACCCCCTGGCTACGCGCCTGTATCCTCTCTATCTCTCATTATCTCTCTCTCCCACTCTCTTCTTCTTTTTTGTACTTTTGCGCTTCGCGCCTAACATTTACTAAGCTCGTTGCTTGTTAACGCTGCGGCTTTGTATTTGGCGCACTGCATTTCTATGATGCTGTTGATTGAATGAATTGAATAAATTCATCAATTCATGATGAAGCCGTATGAGCGAGAATTCAACTTATTCTTATCTCATATATTATGGTCGTCTCAATTTTACCTTTTTTCTAATTATATAAATATGTATTAAGAAAATGAGGTAGCAAAATGTGTATATTGATGGTCATCTTGCGAGTAATAGCCATTAACTACTCTCATCGGGCTATCATCATTATTGTTTTAATATTTTTGTTATGGTGAATTATTGGGGGGGGGATGATTGTACAGGCCATCCCCCCACCTGAAATATTGGGGGGGAATATATCCCCCCATCCCCCCCCCCCCCCGGGATCGACACCCATGCCTGTGGGCGTTCACAAATCTCATATTGAGGGTTTCCTCTTGTGTGAAGCCAATATTTTTTCATTATCCCTTCTATACTTTCATTCCTCTCTCTCTCTGTCTCTCTCTTTTTACCCCATACAGCAGGAGATTCAGCTTCCTGTCATGCAACAATGTCTAGACATTCTAGCTCTGTTCTCTGCCACATTCAAGCCCAAGTCCCTATAATTTGTTAAAGAAATCTAAAGTTAAGATTGACTCCCTTATTTCCGATTCTCAAGATTTCTCTCATTTCTCAATTTCGGGCCAGTGCCTGATTTTCATTGATTCTGGTGGCTGATTCAGCAGCTGCTACTTGCTAATCGGCAAGCGTAGCACGCATTCCTGAATGTCTTTCTTGATAGCCGCCATATCAGAGCCCAATGTATCTAAACGTTGAAGAATTTTGTTAGACAATTTCTCAAAGTCTGCACGTGGTACTGCCAATTTACCATCTTCCAAAGTGGAAAGGCTCATTTGAAGACATGTTTAGATCTCTCGTATTATTGATAGATATCGTCCAGTTAATATACCGAGATACTAGCAAAAATTAGGGGTAAAAAGATATCCACAAAAATGCACCTTTTCGGCTCAAAATATGTGTTTTATACACTACATAACTCAATGAAATTGATATAAACTTGAAGATATTTTAATTATCCATCACTTGACACCAAACCCATGGTGATTAGAGGTTTTACTTTAAAGTGATCTATAAAACTAGATTTAAGCACGCCAAACATGTCCTTAATACACTAATACACATAATTAACAGAAAATTATTTCAGTCTGGACATCAGAAATTCAGATTTAAACCAAAATTGTTCTGGGTTTCTTTTTTACTTTTCTTCAAGGCGTATGTGAAAGATACCAGTTGCCAGCATTAATTGCAAATTTATCGTTACCCTTTTAGTGATGTTTCTGCCTAATCTTAACATAGTTCATGAATTGCAAAATCATTAATTCTTAAATTACACATGAATTGTTTATGCATAACAAAAGCCACACAAATAAACAGTTATACAGCAGTAGGAGTGATGTACAAAGATACCACAGCTCAAGTACGTTCACCGACTGGAGAGACTGACTCGTTTACCATCTTAGCAGGAGTGCTTCAAGGAGATACTTAATAGCACCATGCCTATTCATCATAGCATTGGATTATGCTCTAAGAATGGCTACTGAAGGGTTCGAGGATCTAGGCTTCACCCTACAGGAAAGGAAAAGTAGCAGATATCCTGCTGAAATGATCACAGATACCGACTTTGCTGATGATATTGCACTAATCTCAGACAATCTGGAAAAGGCACAGAAGCTCCTAGAACAAGTAGAGTCTGCAGCAAGCCAAGTCGGTCTACAAATAAACAGTACTAAGACAGAATTCATGATGTACAACCTTCGTGAAGGCGAGATCTGTACTGCTGACAGGACAAAGCTGAAGCAGGTCCAAGACTTTCAGAACCTTGGCTCGTGGGTTGATCAGTCAAAACAAGACCTGAATATCCGAAAGGCGAAAGCCTGGACGGCTTTGAACAAGCTGACAGCCATTTGGAAATCAAACCTCGGTAGAAAACTGAAAGTCCGTTTCTTTAGGGCTTCAATGGAAACTGTACTGCTCTATGGATCAGAAGCCTGGACATTGACGAGTAGCCTGGCAAAACAACTGGATGGTTGCTATACAAAACTCTTGAGAGCAGCACTAAATGACAACTGAAGTGACCATAATATGACCAATATTGAACTGTATAGGGACATTACACCGATCTCAGCCAGACTGAGAGACCGTCGCCTCCGTTTCAGTGGGCACTGCTGGAGGAGCAAGAGTGAAATCATTTCACAAATGCTCTTCTGGGAGCCCTCAAGGGGCAAACGCACCAGAGGGCGCCCAGCAATGACTTACATTGACTAGTTAGAAAAAGACACCTGTCTACCAAGACAGGAGCTCCCAAAGATCATGGAGAATAGAACTGAATGGAAAAAGCTTGTCATATCAGTGCGAGTACGCTCGACCTAGTAGTATAAATAAACAGGCCTTCAACCATTTTGTTTGTAATTTTATTTTTATTTGTAAGGCAAAACATTCAGTATTGAAAAATATGCACAGTACAAAGCATATGATAATTTCAGAAATTCAAACAACAAATGAAAATTACAAGACATGTGACTCTTATTATTATACCAACATTGATGGGATAGATATGATAAATGCTACATCTATTAACTGAGTACTCACTGGTATAAGCGTTATACCAAACAACTGGGCATTCACTGGTATAAGCGTTATACCAAACAACTGGGCATTCACTGGTATAAGCGTTATACCAAACGACTGGGCTTTCACTGGTATAAGCGTCATACCAAACAACTGGGCATTCACTGGTATAATTGGTTATACCAAACAACTGGGCATTAACTGGTATAAGCGTTATTACCAAATAACTGGGTATTCACTGGTTTAAGCGTTATACCAAACAACTGGGCATTCACTGGTATAAGCGTTATACCAAACAACTGGCCATTCACTGGTATAAGCGTTATACCAAACAACTGGGCATTAACTGGTATAAGCGTTAAACCAAACGGGGCAGTAACTTGTATAAACGTTATACAATACCACACATAGGGAAGTAACTCGTATAAGCGTTACACCAAACAAAGGGGCAGTAACTCAAGAGAGCATTATACCAAACAAAAGGGCAATGACTCGTGTAAAGCTACAGTCCCATATACGTCCCGGACCGTCCCGGACCATCCCGGACCCCATCCGGGGTGATCCGGGATTTGGTCCGTGTTGGCACCGTGTTGGCACCGGGGTGGTCCTGGATGGTCCTGGATGGTCCTGGATGGTCCTGGATGGTCCTGGGCGGTCCGGGAGTCGACCCCGGATGTTTTTGACGGTCAAAAACTGCCGGGGTGGTCCGGGACGGTCCGGGACAATAGTTTGATCCGGGGTGATCCGTGTAGCCACCGTGCTGGGTCCGGGGTCATCCGTAGTGGCGCCGGGGCGGTCCGTGTTGATCCGTGGCAGTCCGGGAGTGAGTTTTTGACCCCGGATCACCCCGGCGCCCCTACGGATGATCCCGGACCCAGCACGGGGGCGACACGGATCACCCTGGACGATCCGTGTTGGCACCGGGATGGTCCGGTGTCATCCGTGTTGGCACCGTGTTGGCACCGGGGTGGTCCGGGACGGTCCGTGGCGGCTCCGTGCTGGGTCTGGAATGATCTGTACTGCTGCCGGGGCTATGCCCGGACGGTCCGGGGCGGTCCGTAGTGGTACCGTGTTGGGTCCGGGGAGACGGTCGGCGGTTGCGATTTTTTTGAACAAAACATCCCGGACCATCCCGGATCACCCCAGACCATGGTTCGGGATGGTCCGGAGTGGTCCGTGCTCGTCCGTGTTGGTCCGGCTTTATATGGGACTGGGGCTTAAGCGTTGCACTTAATCAACGGGGTTCTTGCAAAAGAAGGGTGATAAAAAGGAAACGATTCCCTGTGTTTCTACCTATTAATAACAGATTTTTGCTTAAACAAGACTCAATAATTATTTTCTCTGTATAGGGTATCAAATTACTTTAGACTTCGATCCTCGTTTAGGGTGCTTTTCAGAAATGTATTTACACGGCTGATGTACAGTGCTCAATTTTACGGGGGGGGGGGCAAATTCTACATGAAAATGAAAACAGTCCGTTGCACTGGCAAAACAAATTGACAAAATACAGTGTATACATATGTGAATTAGTAACGTGAATATTGCAGCGCATCAATTATAGATCTACATGAAGACTTTCCAATACGAGTTCAAAACAAAATTCTAGACATATTCATGTAATAGTTTGCGCAGAACCTAAAGAAAAGTATGCCATAACACAATTTTCAAATAAAACATGAAGTGGCTGAATCAACTATTGCTTAGCTACAAACGTTACGTGTTTGAAAAGGGACATGCATATGTAAATTCATAATTTACAAAAACCTGTAGAATGCAAAATACCATAAAATCCTCTTTTCCATCCCTTTGAATAATTCGAATTTTAAAAATATCGAACAAACAAACATAATTTCAACATCAATTCGAAATAAATTGAAAACAATTTGTTGCACTAAGGTAAATTAACATAATAATACATTCTATGTTAAAAGTATATCACTACTGATTTGTTATATATCTTTTTCTCCAATTACTTCCATTCAAACCAAAGTACTCTAGGCACATTTATATACAATGATATACCTAGAAGTATGGAATTGTATCTTGTTGTATGTTGGAAGCTTGGCAAATAAAAACCAATCAATCAATCAATCAAAATGCTGTTTTAAAGTTTCAAATAAAACAATGAGATTACGCTTAAATACACACCGCCAAAATGACTGAATGAAGTGGGTGTTTAAAGCTACACGCAGGATGGTTACATGTACTCAATGCATGTATTTGTAAAAGTATTTAATGTGGAAATGCAAAAATCACAATAACGAATTATATCCATCTCCCGTCGCTTCGGGATTCCTCCTATAATCCTACTTTCTAATTTACATTGTACCTGACACCCTAAGAGAAATGTGAATAGTTTTCACTGGATATTTTTGTCGTTGCAAAATTGCCTACAGAAGCATGGCCCAAGCTATATTATTTTACCTTTGTTGGAGTTGTACATGTACCACTACCTTATTTTATATCTCTTGTAAAGACCCATCTATCTATCCTCCCCTGAGCTTTTTTACCTGATGATACCGATACAAGTTTGAAACCTAACTGAGTAATTTGCATGAACAAATTTACACGATTCAAGGGGGGCTCGCTTGGTATTTCGAATCCATTCTCTTCGGTACCAGCAATGCAGGGCTGGTTCACAAATCCTACCTCAACTAGTACTGGGATTTTCTGAAGGATTTCAGATCTGCAAAATATTTTCCAGGCTTCGAAGTTTAAATGTTGGGAAAACTCCACCTCCAGAAATTCTTGCTTCTTGGCGTGCTCTTTAGCTCGAGCCACAGCATCGATTAATTCCTTGATCTGGTAGTAATCAGCTTCTTGTGCAAGCATGTCGAGCTCTTTGAAGTCTTCGGGTAAGACGAGAATGGACCTGCGTAGGAAATTCAGAACATACCGAAATAAGGAGCTATCCCCGTCAATGAGGTAATTCCCCTTATCATCCTTGATGGAAGGGAGTCGACCACTGAACATTGACCCTAACATTGAATCGGGAAAACGAGTCAATGTAGCTCGCGATGTTGTGTATATCGTACCTCCGACATTAAGGCTTACAACATCAGTCATATTTCTTGAAAAGAATGCTCCGTCTGCAATGGTTCCTTAAAGGTAGTCTGTCCCTTTGCAACCTGAAAATATAAATTTATGTGAATCCTACGGTTAACAAGAGATAATACTACCTAAAAACTCCTCTCAAAAGAATAAAACTGGTATAATCGCCTCTATGTGGAATTATATCGACCGTTAAGAATTTTGTAAAAATATAAATTTGAAAAAATAAACGTGATAAATTTGTAGTTTGTAAGCTTTCTCACCTACTGGTTATTTCTTTTCAATTTACAAGCGTTGTCCAAGCTGATGTAAATAGATTCTTTTTCTCTACACTGTAGGATGAGCTTGGTTCCATTCAGATCCTCGTTGATTCGCTTTCACTTTTCCTCAACTGGTATGCATGGTTTTCCAACTCGAATCGTCGCTTTTTCAATTGGGATGGCAGATCGGTTACAAATCGGAAGCGTAGACCCATCACGTGCGGACCCAACATTTCTCCTAGCTTCCTGTTTTTTTTTTATTTTAGCTGGATTTGTGGAAGCCTGTGGGCGTTCTCAAATCTCATATTGAGGGTTTCCTCTTGTGTGAAGCCAATATTTTGGACGCAACTTTTCACTATCCCTTCTACACTTTCACTCCTCTCTCTGTCTACCCCATACAGCAGGAGATTCAGCTTCCTGTCATGCAACATTGTCTAGACATTCTAGCTTTGTTCTCTGTACATTCAAGCCCAAGTGCCTAGAATTTGTTAAAGAAATCTAAAGCTAAGATTGACTCCCTTATTTCCGATTCTCAAGATTTCTCTCATTTCTCAATTTCGGGCCAGTGCCTGATTTTTTATCTCATCGATTCTGGTTGCTGATTCAGCCGCTGCTACTTGCAAATCGGCAAGCGTAGCATTCATTCCTGAATGTCTTTCTTGATAGCCGCCATATCAGAGCCAAATGTATCTAAACGTTGTAGAATTTTGTTAGACAATTCCTCAAAGTCTGCACGTGGTACTGCCGATTTACCAGCTTCCAAAGAGGAAGGCTCATTTGAAGACATGTTTAGATCTCTCGTATTATTGATAGATATCGTCCAGTTAATAAACCGAGATACTAGCAAAAATTAGGGGTAAAAAGATATTCACAAAAATGCACATTTTCGGCTCAAATTTTACGTTTTATACCCTACATAACTCAATGAAATTGATATAAACTTGAAGATATTTTAATTATCCATCATTTGACATCAAACCCATGGTGATTAGAGGTTTTACCTTAAAGTGATCTATAAAACTAGATTTAAGCACGCCAAACATGTCCTTAATAGACTAATACAGGTATAACCGAAAAATTCAATCTGAAGAGCAGAAATCCAGATTAAAACCAAAATTGTTCTGGATTTCTTTTTTTACTTTTTTCAAGGCGTATGTGAAAGAATCCAGTTGCCAGCATTAATTGCAAATTTATCGTTACCCTTTTAGTGATTTTTCTGCTTAATCTTAACATAGTTCATGAATTGCAAAATCATTAATTCATGAATTACACATGAATTGTTTATGCATAACAAAAGCCAAAACAGGCCTTCAACCATTTTGTTTGTAATTTTATTTTTATTTGTAAGGCAAAACATTCAGTATTGCAAAAAATGCACAGTACAAAGCATATGATAATTTCAGAAATTCAAACAACAAAATAAAATTACAAGACATGTGACTCTTATTATTATACCAACATTGATGGGATAGATATGATAAATGCTACATCTATTAACTGAGCACTCACTGGTATAAGCGTTATACCAAACAACTGGGCATTCACTGGTATAAGCATTATACCAAACAACTGGGCATTAACTGGTATAAGCGTTATACCAAACAACTGGGCATTCACTGGTATAAGCATTATACCAAACAACTGGGCATTCACTGGTATAAGCATTATACCAAACAACGGGGTAGTTACTGATATAAACGTTATACCAAACAACTTGGAGAGAAAGATAGTGAATGCATGGTCACGAAAGAGGGGTCGAGAGAAGTATCATTTTGTTTTTGCAAAAGAAGGGTGATCAAAAGGAAATGATTCCCTGTGTTTCTACCTATCAGTAACAGAGATATGTGTAACTTTTTGGTTAAACAAGCCTCATTAATTAATTTATCTGTATGGGGTATCAAATTACTCCAGACTTCGATCCTCGTTTAGGGTGCTTTTCAGAAATGTATTTACACGGATGATGTACAGTGCTCAATATAACGGGGGGACAAATTCTAAATGAAAATGAAAACAGTCCGTTGCACTGGCAAAACAAATTGACAAAATACAGTGTATACATATATGTGAATTAGTAACATGAATATTGCAGCGCATCAACTATACAGTGTGAGTCAAAAAAAGGTTTACACCTAGAAAGTTGCTTAGTATTTTAAAAATCATCTATGAACAGTAAATGATTATACATCTTATGAAAGAGTGTTTTATCCCAAATCATTTGGTATAATTTTTGTGTGGTATGTGTTCACGCTTGGATGAATGAGGCATTGTTTGCGAGAGTGCAAAAATCGACATGAAGACTTTCAAATACGAGTTCAAAACAAAATTCTAGACATATTCATGTAATAGTTTGCACAGAACCTTAGGAAAAATATGCCATAAACAATTTTAAAATATACATAAAGTGGCTGATTTAACTGAGTGCTTAAGCTACAAACGTTACGTGTTTTTAGAGAGACATGTAGTAAATTCATAATTAAAAAACCCTGTAGAATGCAAAATAACAATTAAATTCTGTTTTCCATCCCTTTGAATAATTCGAATTTCTCATTGATACTTTGCATCAACATGCTCAAAGATATGTGAATAGAATACACAATTCTAAATAATATCAAACAAACAAACATAAAATCAACATCAATTCGAAATAAAATTGAAAACAATTTGTTGCACTGTCAAGGTAAATTGACATTAACTGTTAACTGTATATCACTACTGATTTTTATTTTGTTCTCAAAATTCATCCATTCAAACCAAAGTATTCTAGGCACATTCATATCATTATATGCCTGGAAGTAAGGACATTTATCATTCAGATGCTAAAATGCAGTTTTCAAGTTTCAAATAAAACAATGAGATTACGCTAAAATACACACCGCCAAAATGACTGAATGAAGTGGGTGTTTAAAGCAACACGCAGGATGGTTACATGTACTCAATTCATGTATTTGTAAAAGTATTTAATGTGGAAATGCAAAAATCACAATAACGAATTATATCCCTCTCCCGTCGCTTCGGAATTCCTTCTATAATCCTGCTTTCTCATTTACATTGTACCTCACCCTCAAATAAATGTGAATAGTTTTCGCTGAATATTTTTGTTGTTGCGACATTGCCTACAGAAGCATTTGCAATGGCCCAAGCTATATTATTTTGCCTTTGTTGGAGTTGTACATGTACCACTACCTATCTCTTGTAAAGACCCATCTATCTACCCTCGCCTGAGCATCTTTACCTGATGATGATACCGATACAAGTTTGAAACCTAACTGAGTAATTTGCATGAACAAATTTACACGATTCAAGGGGGGCTTGCTTGGTATTGAGAATCCATTCTCTTCGGTACCAGTAATGCAGGGCCGCTTTACAAATCCTATCTTAACTAGTACTGGGATTTTCTGAAGGATTTCAGATCTGCAAAATATTTCCCAGGTTGGAAAGCGTGAATCATGGGAACACTCCACCTCCAGAAACTCTTGCTTCTTGACGCGTTCTTTAGCTCGAGCCACAGCATCAATTAATTCCTTGATCTGGTAGTAATCAGCTTCCTGTGCAAGCATGTCGAACTCTTTGAAGTCTTCGGGTAAGACGAGAATTTTCCTCCGTAGGAAATTCAGAACATACCGAAATAAGGAGCCATCCCCGTCAATGAGGTAATTCCCCTTATCATCCTTGATGGAAGGGAGCCGATCACTGAACATTGACCCCAACATTGAATCCGGAAAACGAGTCAATGTAGCTCGCGATGTTGTGTATATCGTACCTCCGACATTAAGGCTCACAACATCAGTCATATTTCTTGAAAACAATGCTCCGTTTTGCAATGGTGCCTTAAAGATAGTTTGTCCCTTTTGCAAGCTGAAAATATAAATTTATGTAACTCCGATGGTTCACAAGAGATAATACCAACTAAAAACTCCTCTTGAAAGAATAGAACTGCTAATTGCCTCTATGTGGAATTATATCGACCGTTAGGAATTTTCAAAACGCGTTGCAAAAACAGACCTACAATGTCGTCTGATTTTCCGACCCTTGAACCCCATAGTGTGTAGCCTTAAACAAGGCCACATGTCTTTTTATTCTTCTATCACACGCATTGATCGAAGATATTATGGTTCGAAAAAGTTTGTTGTGGCTTCTAGTCTGTGAAAAGAACTATCCATTATATAGGAGCTCTCTGAAAATCATATATTTTGGGAATTTAAGATCGTATACAAGCGCAGCTCTCGAGTCCCCCCTTCTGCTTTGGTTTTGTTTTTGTTTCTGTTTATCAAAGACAGACTAAACAATGTATTGCAACTTGTACTGCACACAACACGATCGCACTGTTATTGAATTTTCAAAGAAATCACACAATTGTATTAAATTGTGAACTTCCTGTTCTGAATATTAATAGAAATACAATAAATTGACATCTTCGTGCATTGTAAGCTTTCTAGCCAGTGTCAAGTCCAAATCGGCTACGGATTGCTGACAATCAGAGAACAAGCCTAAATTGAGTAAATTCACTGTGCTTTGGAGCCCATTAGGCATTTCTTCGTTCAAGGAGGCTCGCATTACCTAAAAATTACAATTTTATGATACATAAACACAGTATTTGACAGTATAAATGCGCCTACAATCGCAACTACTTTTGAAAGATCAAATCAAGGTCAATTTCATGACCTTATTGTATATCCTTTAGAAATCATGTTCGAATTACATAATGTTAGCACATTTTTAAAGGTGATCGAAGAGGCTATGGAAATTGCCTGAAAGCCTGTACTGTACTAGTCTCGCCAGGGGGATTAGACCACCCTGCAAGGTCACTGACAGGTGGTTATCTCAGCAAATCAGCTCTCAATTAACATAAGTAAAAGGGGATCATGGGGAACCAACAGGCACCGATTAGGCATTGTTTGCTTTATAGAGGGCGCAAGTAGCTATAAATAGTGCAGTGGGGCTTTAAGTTGATATTTTGAAAGTAGTTGCGATCGTGATACTATTCAGAACCTCTAGTATTGGATGTTCATGTCCAATGCTGATTGCAAAATTCCTACAAAATCGGACGTCTGTCAGATCATCTGGTGTGGGTGGCTTTAAGACATATTAAGAAGGGACATTTATTCCGTGTAATGTATATACACTGGTCTTGTAAAGTCTCACCCTTGTTCAATGTGAAGGGTTTCATATCCCCCCTCCACCCCCCCCCCCCCCCTCCCCCATGTGCAAGTCTATCATGTCTGCCACTATTTTGTGCCTCATTCTGACACGAAGATGACTTTTATTATTTTGAGGGACCAATGTTTACTTTGTGAGACTTGATTAAAATGTTTGTTTTGTAATGATCAGAATTATTTTTCTTTGTATTATTTTTTGCTAGTTTTTTGTGTGGAAATCGAAAGGGCGTTAGTGAAATGAAAAGAGGGAATTAGGGAGAGGGAGAGAACGATAGAGATTGGGGTGGGGAGCCGGGGGCAGTGAGAGGAAGAGAAAAATAAAGTGGAATTGAAGAAGTGAGATAGGGTGTGGAGAAAGAAGAACAGATGGGTGGGGAAAAGAAGAGAGGGATGAGAGGAGTGGGATGAATAATTGGAGAGCGTGATGGGTTGGCGAAGGGGGGGGGGGTGGGTGGAGCGAGGACAAAGTCATAAGGGGAGAACATTTAGGGGAAAGTAAGAGGCCGAGAAAGACAGGGGAAAGGGAAGATGAGGAGAGAACATGAGCGGGGTTTGAGGCGAAATGGTAAACAGAGCGTGAAGGCAAGAATGCATATTCTCTCGTTTCTCTGCTATATTCTCTCTTCTCCTTTTCTCTATTCATCCTCTCTCTCTTATTCCTTCTCTTTCTTTACCTCTTCTTCTCGCAGCTCCGTCACTTTATCTCACTCCAAACTTATATCCCCACCAATTCACTTTCTTCCCTTTCTTCCTATAGCACTGTTGACATTATCTGATCTTTTTTTGAATAATTTCTTTCTGCCAGTTTATCAGATTCCACTCATCTAATATTCTGTATACAGGTGTATCTGTTTCTGTCGGGACAATATTTTTATACATGTATTCCCATGGCCAGTAGAGAGACTTTTTAGGTGGCCATATACAACCCTTGTCAATGTTTAGTTCAACCAGACGTTCAACTCACCCGCTTTTGTTCTCGACAGAGTATTCATATTTATTTTCACCCTAACAATACAATTTCACACTTGACTGATTTGATATAAATGACATATATCATTGCATTGTACAAGAATCTTTCGAATATGTGTAGAATCGTTTCACAAAAACTTGCCCTGGATTCGTTTAGGCATACAGAAGCGCTAACTGTATTAGTCAACAGCAAAGCAGCGAATATTTCTCATAACGCCGTGTACACCAATATGTGATTGAATATTGGGCAAAAGCAGCAATGATAGACGAAAAGAGAGTAGTACGTTTTGGATGGGAAATGTGATCATTTATCAGTGAATTGGGTAAGTACAACATTGTGCTAGTATTTGTGCACACTTCTGTTCCAAACACTTACACGTGAACACGATTTTCATATAGGTCGATCAAAATAATGATCAATCATACTTGATTACATGATGTTCTATATTAGGGGTTGATGTAGCATGCCATCTCGTTGAGCATTATTTTGACGTACATGCTGTTAATCTATTGACAAAGACGAAACAAAAACTATTCATGATCCATTACAATGTCAATTTGTGCAGTTTAACATAGGTCATGTTGATGATTTACTATAATTTATTATGTGGGCTTATTAATCCACCAGTATGGGTGTGGAGACTGGAGATCGGCAGTATTTAGGCAAACATCAACTGTATCAAGGTATGAAAAGTCATTACTGACTCAGTTTGCCCATAAATTTCATATTTAGGCCTACTTATATAATAGTCATTCGTGCTCTCTCTCTCTCTCTCTCTCTCCCATCGTGTCCTGTCTTTCTTCTCCCACCTCTCACAGTACGTCATGTCTCATTCACTCTTTATGGATACTTCCAGTGGCGTAATGAGCAAAAATGTGGGGGGGGGGGGATACACAAAATCCGGATCACCACCACTCTTACATGTTACATGCAGGCCCCGTGGAACGTTTTTCAAAGTGGGGTGGGGGGGGGGGGCTAAAGTATTTACGATCAGGTAGAGCGAAGCAAAGGAAGCGTAAATTCGCGTGGGGTCCAGGGGCAGAGCCCCGTAAGCCTCAGGGGTTTAGGGCATTTAATTACAGTCAGCTGATCATCCCGGGCCCACCTAAGGGCCCCTAGTAGGGTCCAGGGCGGAGCCCTCGGAAGCTCAAGGCATGTAGGCATATTTATTTACGCTCAGATCACTCAGATGAGCATATTTTGATACCTTTATTTTGATACTGGCAGGTCACTAATAATTGGAGTGGGGTCCAGGGAGCGGAGCCCCTCAGTAGCTCAGGGGTGGTAGACATCAAATTGCGATCGAATGAGCATCCAGGGGCCCGCCTTGGTGGGGTCCAGAGCTAGACCCCGGAAGCTTAGGGGTTTTAGGCATGTAATTACGGTCAGATGAGCATTCAGGGGCCCGCCTTAGGGCCCTTGGTGGGGTCACGCAGGTAAAAATCATGCCATATCAGCAACATTTTGTAAATCACTGGTATCGAATTAGAAATAAACCACGTTTGAATTTATCGGGGGGGGGGGGGTCAGCTGCCCCAAGCCTCCCCCAATCAGTACGCCAGCGCATTCTTCACTTGTAATCGGAGGGCCAACTTGAAAGTCAAATATCTTGCTCAGTTTTTGAGTTGCCTGTCACTCCACACAAACTTAGTTATATAAACATACCATGTTAGCTCGAAAGATTTTATCACAGAGGTGTTTTTGTTAATAATTTGTAGCGAACACCCCTTAATCGGAGGGGTAGTTCTAATAATCATTTGAATATTATTATTATTTATGATTAAATGATTGATAGACCAAATGAGTAGTAGACTTAGAATTAGACCAAATTACTATTAGTAGCCACCACTATGATAAGTAGACGAAATGATTATGAGACCATGTCGATAGTAGACGTGTTGGGTGTATACCATACGGGAATAGACTAATTGGGTAGTAGACGAATTGGTTGTAGACCAAATGTCAACTCACAACAAAAATTCCATGCAAGATATAAAGTCCATGCTAAAGGCCCACTGCACTACTTGTAGCTAATTGCGCCCTCTATATAACAAACAGTACCTAATCGGTGACCATTGGTCCCCCATGATCCTCTTTTTCTTATGTTAACTGAGAGCTGAGTTGATGAGATAACCACCTGTCCAGTGACCTTGCAGGGCGGTATAATCCCTCCTGTAAACTATGGCAGATTTAAAGGCCTAACAATTTGAGATGTTAGACTGATTTCCCTGTACATGTATAATGTATCAAGTACTCTAGACTTCGATCCTCGTTTAGGGTGCTTTTCAGAAAATAATTTACACCATGACGGATGATGTACATGCAGTGCTCAATGTCTAGTGGGAGGGGGGGGGGGGCATATTCTAAATGAAAATGAAAACAGTCTCTTGCACTTACAATACAAATTGATAAAATACAGTGTATACATACATGTATGTGAATTAGTAACATGAATATTACAGTGTATCAACTAATCTACATGAAAAATTTCCAATACCAGTTCAAAACAAAATTCTAGACACATTCCCTTGATTATAGTATGCGAAGAACTAAGGAAAAGTATACCATAACACAATTATTCAAATAAAACATGAATTGGCTGAATTAACTAAAAGTCCAAAGACATGATTGCAAAATAACAACAACAACAAAACATTCTCTCTCCCATCCCTTTGAATGATTCTCATTTCTTATTTATACTGTGCACCATGCAATATGCTCAAAGTATGTGCATAAAATACACAATTAAGAAACATAAAATCAACATCAATTGGAAATAAAATTGAAAACAACCTGTTGCGCTGACAAGGTAAATTGACACAATAATAAAGTGTATGTAAACTGTTTACCACTACTAATTTTTTTTCCTCCAATTTCATCCATTCGAACCAAAGTATTGACCAGTAGGTACAATCGTATATAAATGATTTGCCTAGAAGTGTGGAAATTATCATACAGATGCTAAAATGCAGTTTCCAAGTTTCAAATAAAACAAAAAATGACCGTATGAAGTGGGTTTTCATAGCTACATGCAGGATGGTATTATATACACAATTCATGTATTTGTAAAAAATATTTAATGTGGAATCATAATTTTGTGGGACGCAAAAATCACAATAATGAATTATATCTTTTTCCCGTCGTTTCGGGATTCCTTCTATAATCCTGTCATCTCATTTAAATTGTACCTCACCATGAGTCAAAGAAGTGTGAATAGTTTTCACTGAATATTTTTGTTGTTGCAAATTTGCCTACAGAAGCATGTGCCATAGCCCAATCTATGTTATTTTGCCTTTGTTGGAGTTGTACACGTAGGCATACCACCACCGAATTTTAAATCTCTTGTAAAGCTCCACATATCCACTGAGTCCCCGGAACCTCCCCTTGATGATACCGATACAAGTTTGAAACCTAACTGAGTAATTTGCCTGAAAAATTGTAAACGATTCAAGGGGGACTTTGGTGAAAATTTGAAACCTTTTTCTTCGGGACCAAAAATGGGGTCCACCGAGGGTCTGCTAACATATCCCATACGGTCCCATGCTTCCATAATTACTGGGATTTTCTGAAGGATTTCAGAACTGCCATATATTGTCCAGTATTTTCCATTGATATGCTCCACCTCTAGAAGCTCTTGCTCCTTGACGTGTTCCGATTTAGCTCGCTTTTCTTCCTCCCTATTTCTGATCTGAGTCACAGCATCAATTAATTCCTTGATCTGGTAGAAATCAGCTTCCTGTACAAGCATGTCGAGCTCTTTGAAGTCTTCGGGTAAGACGAGAATGGACCTCCGTAGGAAATTCAGAACATACCGAAATAAGGAGCCATCCCCGTCAATAAGGTAATTCCCCTTATCATCCTTTGTGGAAGGGAGTCGACCCCTGAACATTGACCCTAACATTGAATCAGGAAAACGAGTCAATGTAGCTCGAGATGTTGTGTATATCGTACCTCCGACATTAAGGCTCACAAAGTCAGTCATATTTCTTGAAAACAATGCTCCGTCTGCAATGGTTCCTTAAAGGTAGTCTGTCCCTTTTGCAAGCTGAAAATATAAAATGTTGTGAATCCTATGGTTAACAAGAGATAATACTACCTTGAAACTCCTCTCAAAAGAATAGAACTGGTATAATCGCCTCTATGTGGAATTATATCGACCTTTAAGAATTTTGTAAAAATATAAATTTGAAAAAATAAACGTGATAAATTTGTAGTTTGAAAGCTTTCTCACCTACTGGTTTCTTTTCAATTTACAAGCGTTGTCCAATGTGATGTTAATAGATTATTTGTATCTACACTGTATGATGAGCTTGGTTCCATTCAGATCCTCGTTGATTCGCTTTCACTTTTCCTCAACTGGTATGCGTGGTTTTCCAACTCGAATCGTCGCTTTTTTAATTGTGATGGTAGATCGGTTACAAATCGGAAGCGTAGACCCATCACGTGCGGACCCAGCATTTCTCATAGCTTCCTGGTTTTTATTTTAGTTGGATTTGTGGAAGCCTGTGGGCGTTCTCAAATCTCATATGGAGGGTTTCCTCTTGTGTGAAGCCAATATTATGGATGCAACTTTTCATTATCCCTTCTATACACTTTCATTCCTCTCTCTCTCTCTCTCTCTCTCTCTCTCTTTACCCCATACAGCAGGAGATTCAGCTTCCTGTCATGCAACATGGTCTAGACTTTAGACATTCTAGCTCTGTTCTCTGTACATTCAAGCTCATATGCCTAGACTTTGTTAAGGAAATCTAAAGCTAAGATTGACTCCCTTATTTCCGATTCTCAAGATTTCTCTCATTTCTCAATTTCGGGCCAGTGCCTGATTTTCTATATCATTGATTCTGGTAGCTGATTCAGCCGCTGCTACTTGCGAATCGGCAAGCGTACTACGCATTCCTGAATGTCTTTCTTGATAGGCGCCATATCAGAGCCCAATGAATCTAAACGTTGAAGAATTTTGTTAGACAATTCCTCAAAGTCTGCACGTGGTACTGCCGACTTACCATCTTCTAAAGTGGAAATGCTCATTTGAAGACATGTTTAGAGCTCTCGTATTATTGATAGATATCGTCCAGTTAATATACCGAGATTCTAGAAAAAATTAGGGGTAAAAGATATCCACAAAATGCACCTTTTCGGCTCAAAGTTTATATTTTATACACTACATAACTCAAAGAAATCGATATAAACTTGAAGATATTTTAATTATCCATCATTTGACACCAAGTCAGGCCATGGTGATTGGAGGATCTAATTTAAAGTGATCTATACAACTCGATTTAAACACGCCAAACATGTCCTTAATACACGAATACACGTATAACAGAAAATTATTTCAATCTGGACAGCAGAAATCCAGGTTTGAACTAAAATTGTTCTGGGTTGTCTTTTACTTTTCTTCAAGGCTTATGTGAAAGATACCGTGCAGTAGCCAGCATGAACTACAAGTTTATCGTTACCCTTTTAGTGATGGTTCTGCCTAATCATAACATTAATTGCAAAATCATTTATTCATAAATTACACATAAATTGTTTATGCTTTACAAAAGCCACACAGGCCTTCAACCATTTTGTTTGTAATTTTATTTTTATTTGTAAGGCAAAACATTCAGTATTGAAAAATATGCACAGTACAAAGCATATGATAATTTCAGAAATTCAAACAACAAAAGAAAATTACAAGACATGTGGCTCTTATTATTATACCAACATTGATGGAATAGATATGGTAAATGCTACATCTATTAACTGAACACTCACTGGTATAAGCGTTATACCAAACAACTGGGCATTCACTGGTATAAGCGTTATACCAAACAACTGGGCATTAACTGGTATAAGCGTTATCCCAAACGGGGCAGTAACTTAAAACGTTATACAATACCACACATAGGCTGCGTTTATTGACCAAATTTTTGGCTAGAATCAGGTTTCTCAAACGCCTTTCAGGCAAATTTAAAAGGTGATAAACGCAAAGCCTTTTTTAAAGGTCTTTAGATATGGGCATATCTAAAGACGCAAAAAGGTGTGTTTTGAATGTGACATACAGTTTTGAACCCCACATACAAATCTGACCACCCAGGTTACTTTCCGGTTCGGAGGCTAGCGCGCCATGTGTTGTGTACAAGCATGTGTGTGTAGTTGACCTCCGAGAAACTGTCTGCTTCCCGGGTCAAAACAGCTGCGCAGACACAAGGCCTTTATTTTGAATCGTGAAGAGACGATAAACGCGACATCCTGCAAATCACTTTCGTATAGTGGGGTTCGATAGTGGGATATGATAGTGGGGTACGATATGTACATATCTAGTGGCAAGACCCAATAAACGCGCCCATAGGGCAGTAACTCGTATAAGCGTTAACAACGGGGCAGTATCTCGTATAAGCATTATACCAAACAACTTGGAGAGAAAGATAGTGAATGCACGGTTATGAAAGAGGGGTCGAGAGAAATATAATTTTGTTCTTGCAAAAGAAGGGTGATAAAAAGGAAACGATTCCCTGTGTTTCTACCTATCAGTAACAGAGATATGTGTAACTTTTTGGTTAAACAAGACTCAATAATTAATTTATCTGTATGGGGTATCAAATTACTCTAGACTTCGATCCTTGTTTAGGGTGCTTTTCAGAAATGTATTTACACGGATGATGTATAGTGCTCAATATAACGGGGGGACAAATTCTAAATGAAAATGAAAACAGTCCGTTGCACTGGCAAAACAAATTGACAAAATACAGTGTATACATATGTGAATTAGTAACATGAATATTGCAGCGCATCAACTATAGATCTACATGAAGACTTTCCAATACGAGTTCAAAACAAAATTCTAGACATATTCATGTGATAGTTTGCGCAGAACCTAAAGAAAAGTATGCCATAACACAATTTTCAAATAAAACATGAAGTGGCTGAATCAACTAAGTGCTTACCTACAAACGTTACGTGTTTGAAAAGGGACATGTATATGTAAATTCATAATTTACAAAAACCTGTAGAATGCAAAATAACAATAAATTCCCTTTTTCATCCCTTTGAATAATTCGAATTTCTCAATTATACTGTGCATCATCATGCTCAAAGATATGTACATAGAAAATACAATTTTAAAAATATCGAACAAACAAACATAATTTCAACATCAATTCGAAATAAATTGAAAACAATTTGTTGCACTGACAAGGGAAATTAACATAATAATACATTTTATGTTAAAAGTATATCACTACTGATTTGTTATATATCTTTTTCTCCAATTTCTTCCATTTAAACCAAAGTACTCTAGGCACATTTATATACAATGATATACCTAGAAGTATGGAATTGTATGTTGTTGTATGTTGGAAGCTTGGCAAATAAAAACCAATCAATCAATCAATCAAAATGCAGTTTTCAAGTTTCAAATAAAACAATGAGATTACGCTTAAATACACACCGCCAAAATGACTGAATGAAGTGGGTGTTTAAAGCAACACGCAGGATGGTTACATGTACTCAATTCATGTATTTGTAAAAGTATTTAATATGGAAATGCAAAAATCACAATAACGAATTATATCCCTCTCCCGTCGCTTCGGAATTCCTTCTATAATTAATCCTGCTTTCTTATTTACATTGTACCTGGCACCCTAAAAGAAATGTGAATGGTTTTCACTGGATATTTTTGTTGTTGCAAAATTGCCGACAGAAGCATGTGCCATGGCTCAAGCTATATTATTTTGCCTTTGTTGGAGTTGTACATGTACCACTACCTTATTTTATATCTCTTGTAAAGACCCATCTATCTATCCTCCCAGGATCACTTTTAACTGATGATACCGATACAAGTTTGAAACCTAACGTAGTAATGTGCATGAAAACATCAACACGATTCAAGGCGAGTAATGAGTATCCATCCTCTTCGCTACTATGATTGCCGTGGTTCACATATCCTGGGATTTTGTGAAGGATTTCTGGTCTGCAAAATATTTTCCAGGCTGAACAATTAAGTTCATCAATGGAAAACTCCATCTCCAGGAATTCTTGCTTCTTTACGTGTTCTTTAGCTCGTTTTTCTTCCTCCCTATCGACGGTAACTTTATTTTTTATCTGAGTCACAGCATAATTTAATTCCTTGATCTCGTAGTAATTAGCTTCCTGTGCAAGCATGTCGAGCTCTTTGAAGTCTTCGGGTAAGACGAGAATGGACCTCCGTAGGAAATTCAGAACATACCGAAATAAGGAGCCATCCCCGTCAATGAGGTAATTCCCCTTATCATCCTTGGTGGAAAGGAGCCGATCACTGAACATTAACCCTAACCTTGAATCCGGAAAACGAGTCAATGTAGCTCGCGATGTTGTATATATCGTACCTCCGACATTAAGGCTCACAAAGTCAGTCATATTTCTCGAAGGTAGTCTGTCCCTTTTGCAAGCTGAAAATGTAAAATGATATGAATCCTATGATATAACAAGAGATAATACTACCTAAAAACTCCTCTTAAAAGAAGAAAACTGTTGATCGCCTCTATGTGGAATTGGTTTTAGGACACCTACCCCTGGACATCCACCCCCGGATAACCACAACCAGTCAACTACCCCCTATGACAACTGTCCCCTAGGGCAACCACCCTCTAGGACGACTACCCCCGGGATAACTACCCCCCCCCGACAACTACCCTCACCCTAACCCTAACTAAAATAGCATTTTACATATCAGAATTACTCTTTTACTTTCTCTTTTAGTCTGTATGCAAATTCTCAAATTAATATGACAAACTCACAGAATTTCTATTTTGTATGAAATCAATTCGTAGTTTGTAAGATTTCTCACCTACTGGTTTCTTTTCAATTTACAAGCGTTGTCCAAGGTGATGTAAATAGATTATTTGTATCTACACTGTATGATGAGCTTGGTTCCATTCAGATCTTCGTTGATTCGCTTTCACTTTTCCTCAACTGGTATGCGTGGTTTTCCAACTCGAATCGTCGCTTTTTTAATTGTGATGGTAGATCGGTTACAAATCAGAAGCGTAGACCCATCACGTGCGGACCCAGCATTTCTCATAGCTTCCTGGTTTTTATTTTAGTTGGATTTGTGGAAGCCTGTGGGCGTTCTCAAATCTCATATGGAGGGTTTCCTCTTGTGTGAAGCCAATATTTTGGATGCAACTTTTCATTATCCCTTCTTTACACTTTCATTCCTCTCTCTCTCTCTCTCTCTCTTTCTACCCCATACAGCAGGAGCTTCAGCTTCCTGTCATGCAACATGGTCTAGACTTTAGACATTCTAGCTCTGTTCTCTGTACATTCAAGCTCAAGTGCCTAGAATTTGTTAAAGAAATCTAAAGCTAAGATTGACTCCCTTATTTCCGATTCTCAAGATTTCTCTCATTTCTCAATTTCGGGCCAGTGCCTGATTTTCTACCTCATTGATTCTGGTGGCTGATTCAGCCGCTGCTACTTGCAAATCTGCAAGCGTAGCATGCATTCCTGAACGTCTTTTTTGATAGTAGCCATATCAGAGCCCAATGTATCTAAACGTTGAAGAATTTTGTTAGACAATTCCTCAAAGTCTGCACGTGGTACTGCCGACTTACCATCTTCCAAAGTGGATAGCTCATTTGAAGACATGTTTAGATCTCTCGTATTATTGATAGATATCGTCCAGTTAATATACCGAGATACTAGCAAAAATTAGGGGTAAAAATGCACCTTTTCGGCTCAAAGTTTATGTTTTATACACTACATAGTAAACACTCTATTCTTCAAGCGCAGGCGTTAATTTTGTTCAAACTTATCTCTCTCTCTCTCTCTCTCTCTATCTTTCCTTTTCCCTATCTCCACCGCCCCTACCTCGATCAATATCCCTTCTTCCTCTCCATCTCCTCTCCATCTCTCTTTCTCTCTCTCTCTCTCTCTCCCCTCTCTCGCGCGCCCCCTCTCTCTCTCTCTCTCTTTTTTGGGAAAAATTCTCTCTATTTCCGCCTCTCTACCTCAATCAATCCCCTCTTTCCTCTCCATCTCTCGCTCCTTCTATTTTCTCTTCTCTCTCTTCTCTTCTTTCTTTCTTTCTCTCTTGTACTTATGCATGTATATATTTTATTTCTCTTTCTCTCTCTCTCCCTCTCTCTCTCTCTCTTCGTGTCCTTTTTTCTTCTCTCAGTACGTCATGTCTTATGCACTTTTTATGCATTGTTTTTCTCTTTTCCTCAAGCGAGGTTTTTATTTCCATAATTCCAATACATATTTACATTAATTACTCAATGATTGAATGAAAAATAACATTAGCAAAAAATTAAAGTCTATTCAACGATTCCTCCAGCTTAGTATTATTTATTTTTGCCAACAAAACAATCTTAGAAACGACTTGAATCAAACAAAAAAAGCATGCGGTAAATAACGGAACCCTTTACAATCATTTTAATTTATAACTGCATATTGCGGATCATTTAAAATAATAATCAGGAAAAAATATTTCTTGTTTCCTATGTCCTTACCTAAATATTTTGGTTTATTTGTAGGTCTACATGAAATAGGTGAAATATTAAATTACATATTATTTTCCAAAACATAAGCACACCCTTGTAATCTAATAAAAAGGGAAACGTTCAATCAAATTGTCCACAAGTGTTGCCTGAATTATTATTTACAATTTGCCATTTATATAAATTTTCTTTTGAGGCAATAAACCTGTGAATCATCTTCAAATGAAATTGTTTAACTTTATTACTACGAACTTGCCTTAAATTAAATCAAAATACATCCTTCCGAACAAAGTCATTATCTAAATCTAGAAAAGAATTCCAAACATAAATGACAATTGGTTTTATTGACTTCTTCCGAATTAACAAACGATACTAATCTCTCCCTTTCTTGACTAGAACATTTACTTTATCCCCTGTTTCTATTTCAGTAAGATTCGAAATATCACATTAATCTTCAAATTCATTAACATCACTTAATTTACCTAACAAGTACTGTGGAAATGCATTCTTTAATTTTGTATATATATAATCAAATAAGAGCTGTCGTACGTTCGTTCACATTTTTATTAATGAATGTAGAATCATTCCAAATACCATTTGTAATCAAATTAAGAATATCAATGAATCTTAATTCTGACCAAGTACAAACACGATCTACATAAAATTCTAGCAAATTATGTTTTAGCATAATAAATTCATATCTTTTATATTTCAATTGAACTCTAAGCAAAGTGAAACGGCAGTTCACAAAAAATACCATGCAGGATTTCCCTGTACTTGTTTAGGGTATCAAATTACTCTAAACTTCGATCCTCGTTTAGGATGCTTTTCATAAATTAATTTACACCATGACGGATGATGTACAGTGCTCAATGTCTGGGGGAGGGGGCATGTTCTAAATGAAAATTAAATTGTCTGTTGCATTGACAATACACATTGACAAAATACAGTTTATACATAAGTGAATTAGTAACATGGATGGTACAGTGTATCAGCTTTAGATCTACACGAAGACTTTCTAATACGAGTTCAAAACTAAATTTTAGACACATTCACGTAAAAGATTGCACAGAACCCAAAAGGAAAATTATACCATAACATAATTTTTAAATAAAACATGAAGTGGCTGAACAGACTAAGTGCTTACGCTACAACAAAAACGTCATGTGCTTGTAGAGGTACATGTGTATGCGAATTCATAACTTTATTAAAACTGTGGAATGCAAATTAAGAAAAAGAAAACCATTCTCTCTCCCATCCTTTAAACAATTCTCATTTCTCATTTATACTGTGCATTAACATGCTCGAAGATATGTGCATAGAATACACAATTAAAAAAATATCGAACAAAAAAACATAAAATCAACATCAATTCGATATAAAATTGAAAACAATTTGTTTCAATGACAAGATAAATTGACATAATTATACAGTGTAGACCTATGTTAACTGTTTACCACTCCTGAATTTTTTTCTTTCTCCAATTTCATCCATTTAAACCAAAGTATTGACCAGTAGGTACAATCGTATATAAATGATTTGCCAACAAGAATATAAATTAATCATACAGATGCTAAAATGCAGTTTTCAAGTTTCAAATCAAACAATAAGATTACGGTTGAATACACACCGCCTAAAGACCGAATGAAGTGGGTGTTTATAGCTTATACATGCAGGATAGTTACATGTACACAATTCATGTATTTGTAACAAAATATGTAATGCGGAATCATGATTCTGTGAAATGCAAAATTCACAATAATGAATTATATCTCTCTCCCGTCGCTCCGAGATTACTTCTATAATCCTGCTCTCTCATTTACATTGTACCTCACCCTCAAAGAAGTGTAAATAGTTTTCACTCAATATTGTGTTGTGGCAAAATTGCCTACAGAAGCATGTGCCATGGCCCAAGCTATGTTATGTTGCCTTTGTTGGAGTTGTACATGTACCACCACCTCTTGTAAAGACCCATCTATCTACTGAATCCCCGGGACATGCCGATATAAGTTTGAAACCTAACTGAGTAATTTGCCTGAACAATTTAATACGACTCAAGGAGGTCCCACTTGCAAAACTGAATCCTCCCTCTTCTGGACCAAAAATGGGGTCCACCGAGGATCTCTTAACATATCCCCTACGGTCCCATGCTTCCATAACAATTGGGATTTTCTCAAGGATTTCAGAACTGCTATGTATTGACCAGTAATGTCCATTGAGACGCTCCACCTCTAGAACCTCTTGCTCCTTGAAGTGTGCCGATTTAGCTCGAGCCACAGCATCAATTAATTCCTTGATCTGGTAGTAATCAGCTTCTTGTGCAAGCATGTCGAGCTCCTTGAAGTCTTCGGGTAAGACGAGAATGGACCTCCGTAGGAAATTCAGAACATACCGAAATAAGGGGCCGTCCCCGTCAATGAGGTAATTCCCCTTATCATCCTTGATGGAAGGGAGCCGATCACTGAACATTGACCATAACATTGTATCGGGAAAACGAGTCAATGTAGCTCGCGATGTTGTGTATATCGTACCTCCGACATTAAGGCTCACAACATCAGTCATATTTCTTGAACACAATGGTCTGTTTTGCAATGGTTCCTTAAAGGTAGTCTGTCCCTTTTGCAAGCTGAAAATATAAAGTTATGTGAATCCTATGGTTAACAAGAGACAATACTACCTAAAAACTTATGGTAATATGTCCCATTTGCAGGCCACACAAATGAAAATGTTAAATTTCAACGGCGTTTGAAAGATAATACTAATTTAGAACTTCCCTCAAAACAAAAGGGCTTGAAATTGTCTTTTTGTGGAAAAATAACGACTTTACCGAGCGCGCTCGTTTAATTAAATAGTCTGATGTTCAAACCATTGTACCGAATGGTCGTACCTTTTGTGCTGCGCAAAGATTCAATCAGTTAAATTTTGGCATGACAAGAAGTTGGTCATTGGTGATTTTGTTTAGACAAATGCTCACGTACCCTTTACAGCTCATTATTTTTATGTATTTTATTACCAAAGAAAAAAAGAAGTCGGTCAGTCACTTAATAGTGTCTGACGGTGAAGTCTACAAAGTAAACGGGTTTCCTTGCATAATTTAATTACTATAGGACACTGCTGACGTTTAAATTTCACAAATGACATACGCATGGGTGTCGATCCGGGGTTGGGGGGGGGGGGGTTGGGGGATATACCCCCCCCCCCAATATTTCAGGAGGGGGGGGTGGCCTGTACAATCATTCCCCCAAATAATTCACCATAAAAAAAATGAAGAGAAAATTTAATGATGAGAGCCCGGTGAGAGTAGTTAATGGTTATTACTCGCAAGATGACCATCAATATACACATTTTGCTATCTGATTTTCATAATACATACGTAAATGAGACAACCGTATATGAGACAAGAATAAATTGAATTCTCGCTCATACGGCTTCATCAGGAATTGATGAATATATTCAATTTATTCAATCAACAGCATCATGGAAATGCAGTGCGCCAAATGCGAACCCGCAGCGTTAAAAAGCAACGAGCTAAATGTTAAGCGCGAAGCGCAAAAGTGCAAAAAAGGAGTAGAGAGTGGGAGACAGAGATAATGAGAGACAGAGAGGATACAGGCGCGTAGCCAGGGAGGGCGGTTGGGGCGGTCGCCTCCCTCCCTCCCCCCCCCCCCCAAAAAAAAGAGAGAGAGAGAAACAAGAAAGGACGAGGATGTAAAGGAAGGAAGAAAAAGGATTAAGAGTCGAGAATGGTACAACGAATCGTCTTCTTTCTTTAATAATTTAATGAAACGTCAAAAGAAACTGAATTTAGACAAGGATTAAAACTCGAGAATGGTACAACGAATCGTCTTCCTTCTCTAATAATTTAATGAAACATCAAAGCTTCCGCGCTCCGCGCGGGACGGGGAAAAAAATCCCTCTGCTCTGTAAGTGATTCGCACGCTTAGCGTGCTCACTACCGCCCCCTACAAATAAAATCCTTGCTACGCGCTTGAAAGGATTATAACCCAGGTGGCAAACCCATATGGGACCCACATGGGTCCCATATTCTCTGAAATGTTATCTTTATTGAGGGTGGCTCGAAAAAGTTAATAACTTGGAAGGGAGGGGGTGCAACCTGCCACACGCTTCTACCTCTTGGTTGCTTTGATCCATTGCCGACAATATTATTTGGCACCTATCATCCCCCCACCCAACCAAGGATACAAATCGACACCGTTGGACATACGTGACATATTCATAATTCCTGCAAAATTCTACAGAATTTGATGTTGGCTGCAAAAGGGATACACCTTATTTAAATAATATTGCTAACAACATTAACAGCAGATCTTGTCTCGATCATCCTCATTTCTTTATCAATATACTAAAGCGGAGGGCCAAAGTCAGAAAAGAGAGGTTTGCCTACCACTACCACACAAACTAAGCATACCTTGTTTATTCGAAAGATTTTATCATAATACACAATATTTCAGAGGTGTTTTTTTTTAATTATTGTAGCGAACACCCCTATATTCAAAAAAATGAATTTTATCAATACACGTTATTTTGTCCATTATATCAAAATCGGTTTGTTTCTCGTAATTTTCCGAAAATTTGCCAATGTGCAAGCATAATACCTCGTGCGAATGAAAGGCTTGTGTCTCTTTTAAATGGAAAGTCGTAGTTAACCAAATTTGATTCATAGCAAACGACATTTTTGCCCATAGGCCTATGTGTATAAACTGTATGCATATATACGTGTATTAGTGTATAAGGACATGTTTGGTGTGCTTAAATCGAGTTGTATAGATAACTTTGAGCTAAAACCTCGAATCACCATGGTTTTGATGTCAAATGATAGATATAAATATCTACTAGTTTCTATTGACCTATGACACTTGTTCGGATCACGCCGGTATCTATCAGACCGTATCCGTGTATGTGTTTGGATCAGAAGTGCATGTGCACAACACATATTGGCACGATGTTGTACTTACCCAATGCACTGATAAATGATCACCTTTCCGTTCCCCCAAAATATATAACTCTCTTCTCGTCTATTATTGCTGCTTTTAACGCTTTTGCCCAATACTCAATATTCAATTACATGTTGGGGTTCAATACACGGCTTTACTTACAGTTAGCGCTTCTGTATGCCTTAACGTATTGTGAAGCGATTCTACACAAAGTCGACAGATTCTTGAACATAGCCGCAAATATTTGCCATTAATGTAAATTCAGTCAAGCGTGAAACATGTATGGTAGGGGTGAAATAAATATGAATACTCTGTCGAGTATAAGAGTGGGTGAGTTGAAACAAATTTTGGCAAAGGTTGTATGTATGGCCCAAAAATAGACAGGTCTGGACGAAAAGTCTTTCCATTGGCCATGGGAAAAATAATTTTATTAGAATTGACCTGACAGAAACAGATACAGCTGTATTATTATTATTATTTATTATTAATACATACTTACATGTGCATACGTTTCGATACATCCACATGTATTGAAAAGAGAATTTACACCGCATAAATGCTCCGACATTCTGCATGGTCTTCTGGAAAAATTACTTGAGGATTCACAAAACCGGCATGTCAGTTGTATGGGCATTCTGACAACTTTTCTGATGGTTCAAGAGACCTACATTGTTGGTCTAGTGGGCTGTAATATATAGTCCCAGCTACATTAGAAGCAGGATTTGTTGGTACTTTATTGTTACATATTTTTAATTTATTGATTTTCTATGTAAAAATAATCTATGTATACTTTGTTTTCAAGACGTATTGTAAAACACCCTCTGAGGAATTAATACTTCAACATTGATATAATGGAAAATAAGATTTTTTGATAAAAAGAAAACGCAAAAACTATGTTTCAATTCCGTTAAATTTGGTTTAAAATTCTAGATGATTAAATTTTCTTTGATATGACACCAAAATCATGATATTTAAAGATTTCGTTTATATATTATTAACAAAGTCAAAAGAGCCGCTTTTTGGAAGTCAGCTCCGAAATAGGGGTGCTCGCTACCAAAAAAAAAACACCTTTCAGTAAAATATTGTGTATTATGATAAAATCTTTCGAATAAACAAATTGTGCTTAGATTGTAAGATAATGGCAGGCAAACCCCTCTTTTCTGACTTTGTCCCTCCGCTTAATTGCTCAGGTTAACAACACACTAAAGCCTGCTCGCACGAGATTTGTCTGACATAGCAAATTTGGATTCCAAAATCCACACACTCGCTATGAAATACTCGGTCAGTTGGATAGCTTATTTCTCGGGGGAAAACAAATCCATATACTTGAATTAATTAGTAAACACTCTATTCTCCAAGCGCAGGCATTAATTGTGTTCAAACTTCTCTCTCTCTCTCTCTATCTTTCCTTTCTCTTCGTGTCCTTTTTTCCTTCTCCCAGTACGCCATGTCTTATGCACTTTTTATACGTTGTTTTTCTCTTTTCCTCAAGCGAGGATTTTATTTCCATAATTCCAATACATATTTACATTAATTACTCAATGATTGAATGAAAAATAACATTAGCTAAAAATTAAAGTCTATTGAACGATTCTTCCAGCTTAGTATTATTTTTTGTTGCCAACACATCCATACCTTAAAAACAATCTTAGCAACGACTTTAATTAAAAAACAAAGCATGCGGTAAATAACAGAACCCATGAAAATCTTTTTAATTTATAATTGCATATTGCGCATTATTTGAAATAATAATCAGGAAGAAATATTTATTTTTTCGTTTCAATCTGAAGAGCAGAAATTCAGATTTAAACTAAAATTGTTCTGGGTTTCTCTTTTACTTTTCTTCAAGGCTTATGTGAAAGATACCAGTAGCCAGCATGAATTACAAGTTTATCGTTACCCTTTTAGTGATGGTTCTGCCTAATCTTAACATGAATAGCAAAATAATTTATTCATAAATTACACATGAATTGTTTATGCATAACAAAAGCCACGCATATAAATAAACAGGCCTTCAACCATTTTGTTTGTTATTTTATTTTTTATTTGTAAGGCAAAACATTCAGTATTGAAAAATATGCATAGTACAAAGGATATGATAATTTCAGAAATTCAAACAACAAAAGAAAATTACAAGACATGTACGTGACTCTTATTATTATACCAACATTGATGGGATAGATATGATAAATACTACATCTATTAACTGAGCACTCACTGGTATAAGCGTTATATCAAACAGCTGGGCATTCACTGGTATAAGCGTTATACCAAACGGGACAGTAACTTAAAACGTTATACAATACCACACATAGGGAAGTAACTCGTATAAGCGTTACACTTAAACAACGGGGTAGTAAATGATACAAACGTTATACCAAACAACTTGGAGAAAAAGATAGTGAATGCATGATCATGAAGAGGGGTCGAGAGAAACATCAATTTGTACTGGCAAAAGAAGGGTGATAAAAAGAAAACGATTTCCTGTGTTTCTACCTTTTAATAACAGAGATAAGATGTGTAAATTTTTGGTTAAACAAGACTCAATAATTAATTTGGCTATATAGGGTATCAAATTACTCTAGACTTCGATCCTCGTTTAGGGTACATACATTTATTTACACGGATGATGTACAGTGCTTAATGTTAATACAGGAGTGGGGGGATTCTAAATAAAAATGAAAACAGTCCGTCGCACGGGCAAAACAAATTGACAAAATACAGTGTATACATAAGTGAATTAGTAACATGAATGGTACAGTGTATCGACTAGATCTACTTGAAGACTTTAAAATACGAGTTCAAAACAAAATTCTAGACATATTCATGTAATAGTGCCATATGCCATAACACAATTTTCAAATTAAACATGAAGTGGCTGAATTAACGAGTGCTTAAAGCTACAAACGTTACGTGTTTGTAGAGGGACATGTATATGTAAATTCATAATTTAAAAAACCTGTAGAATGCAAAATAACAATAACATTCTCTTTCCCATCCCTTTGAATAATTCGAATTTCTCATTTATAGTTTGCATCAACATGCTCAAAGATATGTGCATAGAATACACGATTAAAAATATATCAAAAAAACAAACATAAAATCAACATCAATTCGAAATTAAAGTGAAAACAATTTGTTGCACTGACAAGGTAAATTTACATTAACTGTTAACTGTATATCACTACTGATTTTTATTTTGTTCTCAAAATTCATCCATTCAAACCAAAGTATTCTAGGCACATTCATATCATTATATGCCTGGAAGTATGGACATTTATCATACAGATGCTAAAATGCAGTTTTCAAGTTTCAAGTAAAACAATAAGATTATGTGTAAATAAACACCTCAAAAATGACTGAATGAAGTGGGTGTTTATAGCTTATACATGCAGGATGGTTACATGTACACAATTCATGTATTTGTAAAAGTATTTAATGCGGAATCCTAATTCTGTGGAGTGTGGAATGCGAAAGTCACAGTAACAAATTATATCTCTCTCCCGTCGCTTCGGGATTCCTTCTATAATCCTGCTTTCTCATTTATATTGTACCTCACCCTCAAAGAAATGTGAAAAGTTTTCACTGAATATTTTTGTTGTTGCAAAATTGCCTACAGAAGCATGTGCCATGGCCCAAGCTATATTATTTTGCCTTTGTTGGAGTTGTACATGTACTACTACGTACCTTAGTTGATATCTCTTGTAAAGACCCATCTATCTGTTCGCCCCTTATCACTTCCCCGATCAATTGTACCTGATGATACCGATGCAAGATTGAAACCTAACTGATTAATTTGCATGAACAAATTTACACGATTCAATGGGCATGGTGGGGGCTTGCTTGGTATTGAGAATCCATTCTCTTCGGTACCAGTAATGCAGGGCCGCTTTACAAATCCTATCTTAACTAGTACTGGGATTTTCTGAAGGATTTCAGATCTGCAAAATATTTTCCAGGCTTCCCTGGATGAAGTATGGGAAAACTCCACCTCCAGAAATTCTTGCTTCTTGACGAGTTCTTTAGCTCGTTTTTCTTCCGCCTTATCGACGGTAACTTTATTTCTGATCCGAGTCACAGCATCAATTAATTCCTTGATCTGGTAGTAATCAGCTTCTTGTGCAAGCATGTCGAGCTCTTTGAAGTCTTCGGGTAAGACGAGAATGGACCTCCGTAGGAAATTCAGAACATACCGAAATAAGGAGCCATCCCCTTCAATGAGGTAATTCCCCTTATCATCCTTGATGGAAGGGAGCCGATCACTGAACATTGCCCCTAACATTGAATCGGGAAAACGAGTCAATGTAGCTCGCGATGTCGTGTATATCGTACCTCCGACATTAAGGCTCACAACATCAGTCATATTTCTTGAAAATAGAGCTCCGTTTTGAAATGGTTCCTGAAAGATAGTTTGTCTCTTTTGCAAGCTGAAAATATAAAATGATGTAACTCCGATGGTTAACAAGAGATAATACCAACTAAAAACTCCTCTTGAAAGAATATAACTGCTAATTGTCTCTACGTGGAATTATATCGACCGTTAGGAACTTTCAAAACGCGTTGCAAAAACACATCATTCTACAAGGTAGTCTGATTTTCCGACCCTTGTACCCCAAAGTCGTACATTTTGTGCTGAGTAAAGACTCGATAAGATTATGTTGGTCATTATAAAGAGAAAAGAGGGGTTTGCCTGCATGTCATTACCACACAAACTAAGCACACATTGTTTATTCGAAAGATTTTATCATAATACACAATATTTCATGTGTTGTTTATTTATTTGTAGTGATCGAACGCCCCTATATCGGAGGGGGCGTCCACAAAAGCTGCCCTTTTGACGGTTGACCTCTATACGGTTTCTCGACCGCCCCCCCCCCGCACACTTTGCAGACAACACTGGATTATTATGCATATTCATTGACGTACGTGCTACGTTAATCCGTTGACAAAGATGAAACTAAAACTATTCATGTTCCTTTGAAATATCGATTTGTAGAGATTCACATAGGTCATGTAGAATTTTTAATATTATGATAAAATCTTTCGAATAAACAAGGTGTGCTTAGATTGTGAGATAGATAATGACAGGCAAACCCATCTTTTCTGACTTTGGCCCTCCACTTAATTGCTCAGGTTAACAACACTACTAAAGCATGCACTCACGAGGTTTGTCTGACATAGCAAATGTTGATTCCAAAATCTACACACTCGCTATGAAATACTCGGTGAATTGGATAGCTTATTTCTCGGGGGAAAACAAATCCATAAATTTGAATTAATTATTAAACACTCTATTCTTCAAGCGCAGGCATTAATTTTGTTCGAACCTCTCTCTCTCTCTCTCTCTCTCTCTCTTTCTATATTTCCTTTCTTTCTATCCCCGCCTCCCCTACCTCGATCAATACCCCTTCTTCCTCTCCTCTCTCTATTTCCGCCTCTCCACCCTCAATCAATCCCTTCTTTTCTCTCCATCTCTCGCTCTTTCTATTCTCACTTCTCTCTCTTCTCTTTTTTTTCTCTCTCTCTTTTACTTATACATGTATATATTTCTCTCTCCCTCTCTCTCCTTATGGTTTCTCCACCCCACCCCCTGTGCACACTTTATAGCAGACGACACTGGTCAACACTGGATAAGTATGCATTATCATTTGACGTACATGCTGTTTATAATCCGTTGGCAAAGATGAAACCAAAACTATTCATGATCCATTGAAATGTCAATATGTGTAGTTTAACATAGGTCATGTTAATGATTAACTATAATTTATTATGTGGGATTTATTAATTGACCGGCATGGGTGTGGAGACTGTAGAGCTGCAGTATTTATGTCAAACATCAACTTTATCAATGTATAAAAAGTCATTACTGACTCAGTTTGCCCCTAAAATGTCATATTTAGGCTTACTTATAGAATAGTCTCTCTCTCTCTCATTTTCTCTCTCTCTCTCTCTCTCTCTCTCTTCGTGTCCTTCTCCCAGTACGTCATGTCTTATACACTGTTTATGCGTTGTTATCTCTTTTCCTCAAGCGAGGATTTTATTTCCATAATTCCAATACATATTTACATTAATTACTTAATGATTGAATAAAAAATAACATTAGCTAAAAATTAAAGTCTATTTAACGATTCTTCCAGTTTAGTATTATTTTCTTTGCCAACACATCCATACCTTAAAAACAATATTAGCAACGACTTGAATTAAAAAACAAAGCATGCGGGTAAGTAACAGAACCACTGACAATCTTTTATAACATTTATAATTTCATATTGCGCATTATTTAAAATATGAATCAGGAAAACATATTTCTTATTTCCTATGTCCTTACCTATATGTTTTGGTTTATTTGTAGGCCTACATGAAATAGGTGAAATATTAAATTACATATTATTTTCCAAAACATAAGCACACCCTTGTAATCTAATAAAAAGGGAAGCGTTCAATCAAATTGTCCACAAGTGTTGCCTGAATTATTACTTACAATTTGCCATTTATATTAATTTTCTTTTGAGGCAATAAACCTGTGAATCATCTTGAAATTAAATTGTTTAACTTTATTATTACGAATTTGCTTTAAATTAAATGAAAATACATCCTTCCGAACAAAGTCATTATCTAAATCTAGAAAGGAATTCCAAAAATAAATGACAATTGGTTCATTTGAATTTTTCCGTATTAACAAACGAAAGGAATATTTCCCTTTCATACCAAAAACATTTACCTTATCCCCTGTTTCTATTTCTATAAGATTCGAAATATCACATTCATCTTCAAAATCATTGACATTACTAAATCTATCTAACCAACACTGCGGAATGCTTTCTTTAATTTTGCATATTCAAAATCAAATAAGACCTGTTGCGCGTTCACCTTCTTAATAAATAATGTAGAGTCGTTCCAATTACCATTTGTAATCAAATCAAGAATTTTCAGTAAACCGGTATCTTGCCATTCTCGATAAAACTTTTTTCAAATATTTTTTCTTATGAGGTAATATTTTTTTCCAAATAATTTCATTCGGAATATTTTCTACTTTAAACATATCAATGAATCTTAATTGTGACCAAGTACAAAAAAGATCTACATACAATTTTAGCAAATTATGTTTTAGCATAATAAATTCATATCTGTTATATTTCAATTGAACTCTAAGCAAAGTGAAACGGCAATTCACAAAAAATACTATGCAAGATTTCCCTATCTTGTATAGGGTATCAAATTACTCTAAACTTCGACCCTCGTTTAGGATGCTTTTCATAAATTAATTTACACCATGACGGATGATGTACAGTGCTCAATGTCTAGGGGAGGGGGCATGTTCTAAATGAAAATTAAATTGTCTGTTGCATTGACAATACACATTGACAAAATACAGTTTATACATAAGTGAATTAGTAACATGAATGGTACAGTGTTTCAGCTTTAGATCTACACGAAAACTTTCTAATACGAGTTCAAAACTAAATTTTAGACACATTCACGTAAAAGATTGCACAGAACCCAAAAGGAAAATTATACCATAACATAATTTTTAAATAAAACATGAAGTGGCTGAACAGACTAAGTGCTTAAGCTACAACATAAACGTCATGTGCTTGTAGAGGTACATGTGTATGCGAATTCATAACTTTATTAAAACTGTGGAATGCAAAATAAGAAAAAGAAAACCATTCTCTCTCCCATCCCTTTATTAAAACAATTCTCATTTCTCATTTATACTGTGCATCAACATGCTCAAAGATATGTACATAGAATACACGATTACAAAAATATCAAACAAACAAACATAAAATCAAAATCAATTCGAAATAAAATTGAAAACAATTTGTTGCACGGACAAGGTAAATTGACATAATAATACATTCTATGTTAACTATATATCAATACTGGTTTGATAACAAAAATTCCTCCAATTTCATCCATTCAAACCAAAGTATTCTAGGCACATGTATATATAATGATATACCCAGAAGTATGGAAAGTAATCATACAGATGCTAAAATGCAGTTTTCAAGTTTCAAATAAACAATGAGATTACGCTTAAATACACACCGCCAAAATGACTGAATGAAGTGGGTATTTATAGCTACACGCAGGGTGGTAACATGTACTCAATTCATGTATTTGTAAAAATATGTAATGCGGAATCATAATTCTGTGAAATACAAAAATCACAATAATTAATTATATCCCTCTCCCGTCGCTTCGGGATTCCTTCTATAATCCTGCTTTCTCATTTACATTTTACCTCACCCTCAAAGAAATGTGAATAGTTTTCACTGAATATTTTTGTTGTTGCAAAATTGCCTACAGAAGCATGTGCCAAGCTACATTATTTTGCCTTTGTTGGAGTTGTACATGTAATACTTCCTTATTTTGTATCTCTTGTAAAGACCCATCTATCTATCCTCCCATGGGGAGCACTTTTACCTGATGATACCGATACAAGTTTGAAACCTAACTCAGTAATTTGCATGAAAACATTAACACGATTAAAGGGGAGTAATGGGAATCCTTGCTCTTCGATAACATAATTGTTGTTTTTCAAACATATTGAGATTTTCTTAAGGATTTCAGATTTGCAAAATATTTTCCAGGCTAAACAATTTTGTGCATCAATGGAAAGCTCCAACTCCAGGAATTCTTGCTTCTTTACGCGTTCTTTAGCTCGTTTTTCTTCCTCCCTATCGATGGTAACTTTATTTCTGATCTGAGTCACAGCATCGTTTAATTCCTTGATCTGGTAGTAATCAGCTTCCTGTGCAAGCATGTCGAGCTCTTTGAAGTCTTCGGGTAAGACGAGAATGGACCTCCGTAAGAAATTCAGAACATACCGAAATAAGGAGCCATCCCCGTCAATGAGGTAATTCCCCTTATCATCCTTGATGGAAGGGAGCCGATCACTGAACATTGACCCTAACCTTGAATCCGGAAAACGAGTCAATGTAGCTCGCGATGTCGTGTATATCGTACCTCCGACATTAAGGCTCACAACATCGGCCATATTTCTTGAAAACAATGCTCCGATTTGGAATGGTTCCTTAAAGGTAGTCTGTCCCTTTTGCAAGCTGAAAATATAAAATTATGTAAATCCTACGGTTAACAAGAGATAATACCAACTAAAAACTTACCTTAAAGGTACTATGTCCCATTTGCAGGCCACACAAATGAAAATGTTAAATTCCAACGGCGTTTGAAAGATAATACTAATTTAAAACTTCCCTCAAAACAAAAGGGCTTGAAAACGTCTTTTTGAGGGAAAATAACGACTGTTAGTTGTCGAATTAATTTACCGAGCGCGCTCGTTAAATTAAATAGTCTGATGTTCAAACCATTGTACCGAATGGTCGTACCTTTTGTGCTGCGCAAAGATTCAATCAGTTAATTTTTGGCATGACAAGAAGTGGGTCATTGGTGATTTGGTGTAGACAAATGCTCACGTACCCTTTACAGCTCATTATTTCTATGTATTTTATTACCAAAGAAAAAAAGAAGTCGGTCAGTCAATCAATAGTGTCTGACGGTGAAGTCTAGAAAGTAAACGGGTTTCCTTGCATGGGGGATATATCCCCCCCCCCCAATATTTCAGGTGGGGGGTGGCCTGTACAATCATTCGCCCCAATAATTCACCATCAACAAAAAAAAAATGAAGAGAAAAATTAATGATGAGAGCCCGATGAAAGCAGTTAATAGTTATTACTCGCAAGATGACCATCAATATACACATTTTGCTATCTCATTTTCATAATACAAACGTAAATGAGACAACCGTATATGAAACAAGAATAAATTGAATTTTCGCTCATACGGCTTCATCAGGAATTGATGAATTTATTCAATTCATTCAATCAACAGCATCATAGAAATGCCGCAGTGCGTCAAATGCAAAGTAGAGAGTGGGCGACAGAGATAATGAGAGACAGAGAGGATACAGGCGCGTAGCTAGGGAGGGCGGTTGGGGCGGTCGCCCCCCCCCCCCCCAAAAAAAAAGAGAGAGAGAGAGAGAGAGAGAGAGAGAGAGAAAGAAGAAATGAAGAGGACGTTGGAAGAAAAAGGATTAAGAGTCGAGAACGGCACAACAAATTGTCTTCTTTCTCTAATAATTTAATGAAACGTAAAAGCTTCCGCGCTTCGCGCGGGAAGGGGGGAACTGAATTCAGACAAGGGTTAAGAGTCGAGAATGGTACAACGAATCGTCTTCTTTCTCTAATAATTTAATGAAACGTCAAAAGAAACTGAATTTAGACAAGGATTAAGAGTCGAGAACGGTACAACGAATCGTCTTCTTTCTCTAATAATTTAATGAAACGTCAAAGCTTCCGCGCTTCGCGCGGAAGGGGGGGGGGGACTGAATTCACATAAGGATTAAGAATCGAGAATGGTAAAACGAATCGTCTTCTTTCTTTGATAATTTAATGAAACGTCAAAAGAAACTGAATTTAGACAAGGATTAAGAGTCGAGCACGGTATAGCGAATCGTCCTCTTTCTCTAATAATTTAATGAATCATCAAAGCTTTCGCGCTTCGCGCGGGACGGGGAAAACTCCCTCTGCTCTGTAAGTGATTCGCACGCTTCGCGTGCTCACTACCGCCCCCTAAAAATAAAATCCTTGCTACGCGCTTGAAAAGATTATAACCCAGGTAGCAAGACCATGTGGGACCCAAATGGGTCCCATATTCTCTGAAATGTTATCCTTATTGAGGGTGGCTTGAAAAAGTAAATAAGTTGGAAGGGATGGGGTGCAACCTGCCACACGCTTCTACCTCTTGGTTGCTTTGATCCATTGCCGAAAATATTTTGGCACCTATCATCCCCCCAACGACGGATACAAATCGACACCGTTGGACATACGTGACATATTCATAATTCCTGCAAAATTCTACAGAATTTGATGTTGGCTGCAAAAGGGTTACATCTCATTTAAATAATATTGCTAATAACATTAACAGCAGATCTTGTCTCGATCATCCTCATTTCTTTATCAATATACTAAAGCGGAGGGTCAAAGTCAGAAATGAGAGGTTTGCCTACCACTCCCACACAAACTAAGCATACCTTATTTAATCGAAAGATTTTATCATAATACACAATATTTCAGAGGTGTTTTTGTATTGGAACCTGTAGCGGACAACCCTATATCGGAGGGGGCGTCCAAAAAAGTTGCCATTTTGACGGAAAATAGTATTTTGTTAATAATATATTAAGGAAACCTTGAAACATCATGATTTGGTGTCAGATGAAGGAAAATTAGATTATCTACATTTTGATACCAATTTCAACGGAATCCGGAATAGTAAACATCGAATTTTATCAATAAACGTTATTTTCCATTATATCAAAATCGTTTTTTTTTCTCGTAACTTTCCAGAAATTTGCCAATGTACAAGCATAATACCTTGTGCGAAGGAAAGGCTTGTATCTCTCGTGGAAAATCGTAGTTACCCCAAAACTGATTTGATTTCATTGAAAACGACATTTTGCCCATAGGCCTATGTATATAAACTGTCCACAAATACGTGTATTAGTTTATCAAGGATATGTTTAGTGTGCTTAAATCGAGTTGTATAGATAACTTCGAGGTAAAACCTCTAATCGCCATGGTTTTGATGTCAAATGATGGATAATTTAAATATCTTCTAGTTTTTATCGACCTATCAACTTGTTCGGATCACCTGATTGGTGTCTATTGGATAATCCGTGTATGTGTTTGGATCAGAAGTGTGCACAAATACTGGCACGACGTTGTACTTACCTAATTCACTGATAAATGACCACCTTTCCGTTCCCTAAAACGTATTCATATAACTCTCTTCTCGTCTATTATTGCTGCTTTGAACGCTTTTGCCCAATATTCAATTATATATTGGAGTTCAATACACGGCGTTATGAGAAAAAAAATCGCTGTCTTCTTGCGGTCGACTTACAGCTAGCACTTACAGTTAGAATTCAGGGCCAGGTTTTGTGAAGCGATTCTACAGAAGGTCGACAGATTCTTGTACGTGGCAATAATATCTGCCATTTATATCAAATCAGTCAAGCGCAAAATTTGTATTGTTAGGGGGAAAATAAATATGAATACTCTGTCGAGTACAAGAACGGGTGAGTTGAATCTCGGGTTGAACTAAACATTGACAAGGGTTGTATATGGCCCAAAAATAGACAGGTCTGAACGAAAAGTCTTTCCATCGGCCATGGGAAAAATAATTTTATTAGAATTGACAGAAACAGATACAGCTGTATGTAGAATGGAAAAGACTTGAGCCTTTTTCAATACATACATACATGTACATACTTTTTGATATATAAATACATGTATATACATACTTTTCAATACATACTTACATGTCCATACTTTTCAATACATCCACATGTATTAAAAAGAGAATTTACACCGCATAAACGCTCCGACATTCTGCATGGTCTTCTGAAAAAAATTACTTGAGTATTCACAAAATATGTAACCGGCATGTCAGTTTTATGGGCATTCTGGGAATTTTTCCGAGGGCTCAAAATACCTATATTATAGGTCTCTTGGGCTGTCTATAGTCCCAGCTAGGATTTGTTGTAGCCTACTTATATCTTCCTTTGATTATGTTGAAACATTTTTCTTTACCATCAGATTTTACCAAGCAGATGAAGGGAGGTGTCAAAGAACAGTTGATTGTGTGTGAGTTGAGAGAGAGAGAGAGAGAGAGAGAGAGGGGGGGGGGGGGTCCATGCCCATTCTCACATTATCCATACTAAAAATGGACCTTTTCGGCTCAAAATTTATATTTTACACACTACATAACTCAACTGAAATATATTCTAATTATCCATCATTTGATACCAAACATATGATGCTTACAGATTTAAACTCAAGTTATCTATAAACTCGGTTTAAGCACTCAAAACACATCCTTAATACGCTAATAAGCCAGTTCACGGTTGCAGTCTGAGCATGAGCAGATAAAGGTCATTGCGGAACAAATTGTGAAATACACAGAGACAAAATACTGGATACGTGCTCATGAAAGTTATGTAACATTATTCATTCATGCACATTCAGTGCACTCCATGATACACAGGTGGAAATATTCTTTGAAAAGGGGAAACAAAGGCTATTTATATAGCACCTCCATCGCTGTAGGAGTGATTATTTCAAAATGTACACAGTGGGACCTCTTCTTGTTTTTAAGATCTGTGGATATTCGGGGTCATTGCAGTAATGTGCTAACCGTGAACTGGTCTATACACGTATATGCATACAGTTTATACACATATGGGCAAAACTGTAGTTTTCTATCAAATCAAATCAATAACTTTGGCTAACTCCGACTTTCCACTAAAAATATATACAAGCCTCCCCTTCGCACAAGATTTTATGCTTGTACATTGGCAAATTTCTTAAAAGATACGAAAAAATTACCTGTCCAATTTTGATATAATGGAAAAATAACGTTTTTTGGATAAAAATACTATTTTTCGTCAAAAGGGCCGCTTTTTAGGACACCCTCTTATAAAGGTGTGTTCGCTACAAAACAAAACAAAACTCTGAAATATTGTATATTATGATAAATCTTTCGAATAAACAAGGTGTGCTTAATATGTGAGGTTGTTGCAGGCGCACCCCTCTTTTCTGACTTTGACCCTCCGCTTGTTTGTCTGTTATAGCAAATGTGCATTCCACAATCCACACACTCGCTATCAAACACTGGGGGGGGGGGTCCATATATTTTAATCAATTATTAAACACTCTATTCTTCTCCTTCAAGCGCAGGCATTAATTTTGTTCAAGCTTAGTATACATAAATTTAAAAACAAAAATGTCTCTCTCTCGCTCCCTTCTTCCCTTTCCATCTTTCCCTCTTTTTATTCTCTCTTCTCACTATACTCCTATCTCTCTCTATCTCTCTCTCTCTCTCTCTCTTTCTCTCTCTCTCTTTCTCTCTTTCTCTCTCTCTTTCTCTCTCTCTCTTTCTCTCTTTCTCTCTCTCTCTTTCTCTCATTAATTGTTGTTAATTTAAATGTATCTTTCCTCTCTTTGTACGGTTTCTCTACCCTCTCCCCAATCCCTCTCCCATATCCCTCTCCCCCTCTCTCTCTCCCACTCTATCCCACTCTCTCTCTCTCTCTCACGCGCGCTCGTTTGCTCTCTCTCTCTCTCTCTCTCTCTCTCCCACTTATACCCTCTCCGTCCCCTCTACACTCTAGCAGACGGCACTGGTCCACACGGGATGAGCATGCATCAACACGAAGGCGCCAAACAGAAATTGGTTTAGATAAACAAATCTATAGAGAGGATGGCAAAAGCTAGTATTTCAGAGATCGATTGGATAAACCTTTCCGGGGGTTTGATGTTTAAATGAATAGTAAAGCAAGGTCCAGTACTAAAAGTTATATTAAATGAAACCATGAACATAACCATTCCCACATCATAATCTGTGTATACAGTGGCGTAATGTGCATGGGTGCAGTCAGGTAGGGGGTATAGACATCATTGGGGGGGGGGGGGGGGGGGGGGCACCAGTTTTATGAAATGTTAATCTATACAAAGTCACATGCAAGTGGGATAATGATCACATCTTCTTTTTCCATCCTCTACCTTTCCCTTTCCCTCTTTCTCTTCTTCTTTCCTCTTTGCGATTCAAGTGGTGGCACCTGGCGCCTTATTGTTTCTATACCTCTTTGTGTTTACGTGTGTTTGTGTGTGTGTGTGTGTGTGTGTGTGGGGGGGGGGGGGTGAGTGAGACCACTTTATTACTGCACTAATTTATTTTCATACCGTGTGAGGCGTGCATCCCAAGCAAAATGTGCGTCAAACTAGGGGGGAAAGAATTTACCAGAAAGAGATATTTTGATTTTTTTTTTAACTTGCCGACAAGAATAGTAGTTAATAAACGTGTCGAAAATATCATCCATTTATAAAGAGGGCAACTTCCACGCCAACATATTAACATACAATCTAAAATATTGTGGTTGGATTGTTATAATTTTATAGCTATATCATCTATTAATAAACCGTATCATCGTTGTGTAAACGTAGGCCTAGGCTGTAAGTTTTTATTTGTCCTTCCTCCATTTCATCATCATCCTCCATTTCATCATTATCCTCTTATCTTATCCCTCTTATCATCCTCTGTCTCTATTTCCCTTTCTCTCCCTAAAGTTGCCCAATATCCCAAAGCATTAATACGTTTATAAGATAAGGGGATCGTGCTCCCATGGGCGTTACGTCTCCATCATTTGTTTTAAATACCATAACAAATAATACCGGCGGGGAAATAAACTCTCATCAGTCGATCGAATATCCAATCAATATGAATAAATAATGATTGCAATGGGATCAGAACGCTGCATAAAGCACAGGGATTTATTCGACTGACTTTACAGTGCATCAACATACAGATGAAATGGCCTCAAAAAACATCTTTAAAATTATTCTTAGCTTCTGAGGCTGTCTTTAAGAGCGCATCAGTATTACGAATGTGACAGTCTCTAAAGAACATCTATAACATTAGATGTAAAGGTACTTGTTTCATCGCCATTTGTATTTCTCTTTTTGTGATGCTTTTGTTTTCATCGTCTTCATCAAAGGGCCAAGTGTAAGGCGAACGATTTATTTATCTTGAGAAAATTCCAATTTGAAAGGGGAACCGTATTTTAGAAGAAGAAAAAAGAGTTTCAACGTCGGTGACTTTCTTTAACCATATTTCTGCGATACGCAACTATATTTCAACATGTTTTACATTCTCAAATTTGTCATAGTGGCTACGACTTAGCGTCCTATCGGAGGGACGGATAAAGGAAGGACAGGAGATGGGAATTATTTACCAGTGGAAAGATTCCAGGCCAGCAGGCAAAGTTCCGTTTGTGGCATACTCTGTCTACATCTGTTAAATCAGAAAACGTTTTTGATTTGTAACCATGAAAACTACATCGACATCTATCGTCTTCACAATCTTCTCCATACTGTCATCAATTGGATACAATCATTGTATTCCGGTAAGTACAAAACAAACGGTCATTAAGGTACTGATAATGATGATTTTGGTAATGATGATGATGATGATACTGATGATGATGATGATGATGATGATGATGATGATGATGATGATGATGATGATGCTGATGATGGTAGTGATGCTGATAATGATTATGATAGTAATAATGATAGCGATGATGATATTGATGATGATAGTAATAATGATAGCGATGATGATATTGATGATGATAGCGATGATGATAGTGATGATGATAGTAATAATGGTAGCGATGATGATAGTGATGATGATAGTAATAATGGTAGCGATGATGATAGTGATGATGATAGTAATAATGGTAGCGATAATGATAGTGATGATGGCAGTGATGATGATAGTGGCGATGATAGTGATAAAGATGATGATGACAGACCCCTCTTTTAATCTTCTCTGTACGTACAGCATAATCTGTCGATGAAAAAGGGACAAGCCAACTCCATGAAAATTAAGGCCAAATACAAGATACCTCCGCCTGTTTCCGGTGAGTATTTTATGCATATAAGATGCATTCTATTTGAGGCAAAAATGATGTACTTTCCGGGGGCTGCCCTCTGAACCCCAATCGTTGATTTGTAGTAAATTGCGGGTATATAATCATAATATGCTGTCAACGGTAGCAGTGCTATCCTTCCCAACTCTTCATAATTTTTATTGCTATGATTGTGGATGTTGATTTTACCCTGCAGGTGAGCTTTTAACCCCTCGAGCGGTCGAACTGATGCTGGTTCTACATCACGATCTATCCCGTTACCATGGTGGCGACACGATAAACTACATCACCAATATTTCAAATCAGGTTAGTTTCACAAGGTCAGTCAGTGTACATTGACATGTGATAACATTTCTCAATATTTGACATCCTATTCAAACTGCCACATCGACTCCGAACTCACCGTTAACCGGTTTTTATTCTCCTATCCGGGGTAATGTCGTTCTATGTTCGGTCTAGATGTTGATGGTCTCATGTCGGTCTCACTCGTCGATATAACTGGGATGTAATTCTTACACGATGAAAAACTATCTAGTGCACCAAAATGTTGACCTATATAAGTTTGGACTAAACCAATTCGAAGTTTGCATCGTTCTTATTTGCTTTTGAGGGTCTTCAATTTCGTTGGGGGGGGGGGGCACATGAACACATGCGATTTGGGGGCAAATTTGTGTGTACTTAAGGTATGCAAAAGTTAGTTTTAAAAGGATACGGGTTGGTTGTGCCCCCTCCCCATTTAATCAACGACTGATCAAACCTCGCTATATTTTTAAAATATTTTATAATGAATATTCACATTTTACGGAAATCTTAATATCTGATTATGTCTCCATTTTGTCATATACAGGCAGCGGACTTATGGAGTGATATCCCAAACCTTGGTGTCAATATTACAGTCAGAGTCACCAAGACTGTTTTTCTGAAGGATGATACGGTAATCATTTCTTTCAATGTTTGATTCTATAATTTAATATATCCAAATTCATTATTGCTTTAATAGAGTACTACATTAAAATCACTTTAGACGGGATGGCACAGCCGAAGTATTATGTTTTGCTGATATTATGGTTAAAAGAAGAATAACCTTATTAATCTGCTTGTTTTCTGTTTTTTCTCTTTTCGATTATGGATTTTTACACTGTTTGTTCATCCACCTGACCTGTGCTTTAATTTCAGCCTTATAATCTGAACAATTACAGTTTCATTCAACCACAATTTGTCTTTGTATAATTTCATCACGATCATACAAACGATTGTTAAATATATGTTCAATATGGATCAAAATAATCAAATCAAACCAATCACATATCGGAAGGAATCAAATAGTATCTTGACATTGAATTGATTTAATTAAAAGGAATTAGTATCTTTGACAACCGTGTCCATACCATAACACATATGTTGGGGAAAGTGTGACAATGAAAATTGAATAGAATTCAAAAGTTGGTTGGGGTGAGGTGTTGCTCATTTCGATTTAAAGTTCAAAATAAGATTGCGATTATCGTATTTAAAAATATGAACAAATTGTGATGTATTTTTCTTATAGAACTCCTTACCCATTGAATCAGATGCGAATCAACTTCTAAGACATTTCTGTAATGATTGGCAGAATGAAAATAAATACTGGCATAGGGGCGAGTTCGACGCCATGATTCTTATTACAAGGTAAGATTAATAATCTGTCCAAAATATTTCAAAGATTTTTTTTCAAAAGAGTCTATTGAAATAATTATTTGTGAAGTGTAGTTGTTGTATCTATTTGCCTTTATACAAGTCCTATTATCTTGATATAAAATCTATGTCCATTATTTATTTATCTATTTATTAGATTACGTCATGTACGTTGGAGAAAACAGACAAATTTTAATGAAAATGTTGTGGATTCATGTACCACTGGGTCGAGTATCATGAACGCTTGACCAAAGCTTAAGATTAAATGAAATATACTAATGTTTGAGAGGGGAGGGGGTGGGGTGTACGTAATCTTTTAGGAAAAATTATATGAGAGTGTACGGTCCATTATTTGAAATGTGTTTGGAACGTATTCATTTTTATTTTATTTTGTAAACATTACTAGAGTTGGTAAAAACAAAATTAATAAGAAACATTCAGTATATTCAATATATTATTTTTACATTATAAATGGTCGGATTTGATCAAATTTTATAATCAATTTTACTTACTTTCCAACTTACTTATTTTTTTCAGAGAGGATGTTCACCTCAATAACAACTACAATGCTACGGGGCTAGCCTATATGCATGGGGCATGTGATGAGGGCTACCAGTGTGTCGTGGTACAGGATACTAGCCCGATGGGGACCGCAATAACATTGGCACATGAACTGGGACACTTGTAAGTAAAAAATCATTTTTGCATTTAATAGAGATGTTGGAATTCTAACCCAGGGGCATATTTAGGAGGAAAAGAACAAGGGGCATATGTCCATAGCAAATCAGATAAGTTATCTGATTTGCTATGGACATATGCCATGGACATATGCAAGTTAAACTTGTTTTGACCTGTAAAAGCCTCAGAGTTGTTGTTTTTTTTGTTGAGAAAATTGAATACCCGCGATCAAACAACACGTGATAGCCACTGAAAGTAACCCTGTATACTCATTTGCAAAATTACGAATATATATGAATGTCTATTCTTTATCGATACAGTTGTTTTAAATTGAAGCTGTTTACAATGTTGTATGATTTGTTATTTCTTAGATGCGGATAGTACTATGTTTCAATATTTTTTTCTTCTCATTGCAATCATAATAACAACATACAAAGAAAACCTCAAACAATATGATAAACAATGAACAATAACATCACGACTTGGTTAGCCAGCCAAAACAATTGAAAGGGGCAGAATTACATAATTTCAATCTTCAGTCGCTATCTTTAACACATTATCATTCAATAGACAAGGATGTCTATGAGACTATGACTATGAATTATCATGTTTGTTAGTAAATTTAGAATCTGATAGGACATTTGCCACCGCCTCAATGCTCAGTGAAAATGTAAATGAAGGAATTAGTCCTATGGTAAATCGTTGATATAACGACTTATGAGCTCTTTGAAGGTCTCCAGATATTCTGCTTGATTGCTGATGCGTCTACATGTATTTGTCTGATTGTATATCATGCGTATATATTCAACAATTCATTGTAATTATCTTATCTCCTTTTTTAAAGACTTGGTATGTATCATGACGGTCAGTTCAATGGATGTATAGACCGGACCAACCTGATGAGTGGATACACAGTGAGCGGGGCACAGTCAGTCCGATGGTCTACATGCAGTACCAAGTCCCTTTTGGAATACCTCAAGTAAGATGATTAAAGCGAGAAATGTTACATTGCCTTTAGAATCGGGGATACAGGGGTGGAAGGGGAAGTCGTGCACTTAAAGGTATTACAAAGTTTTGGTATGGGTCATGCATTTGGTTCAAATTAACATATTGGAAGCATATGCGTTCCTACATTATACATTGATCGTTGTCGCGGTTTAAATCGAGTCTAAAGTTATGAAATTATAAATAATAAACTCTTTATGTTGTATAGCTCCCTCTCAAGGTCAAGATATTAATTTAGCTATGAAACAATATTTCTTGACTAAAATCGACTGATTAGATATTCCCGTTTGGAAATTATATATCCAAACTACATATTCTGAGATTTTCATGGTCGCACCTACCATTGTACGGCCGTAGGCGCTATTTGAAATTTATCAAAATTTACCGGGAGCACCGGTAAATTTTTATATTCAATTTTTCTCGAAAACAAAAATGTTTTAGGGGCTAATTTTTTTAGTGCTTATAATACATCCACAGGGGCATCCAAATATATCAAAATTGTAAAGATTCACTATCCATCCAATTTTCAAAATTTCCCAAAACTTTGTATTACCTTTAAAGTTGCCGACAGTTTAGCCAATGTCTAAGCAACAAGCAACACCAACAACAAAACTTATCGAAACGACAAGACTAAAAACAAATAAGTTTTTCAAATAATATACCAAAAAGAACAGTTTGAATGGGGATGGAATGCAATTATGTTTGTTTATGTCGAAATTTAAATAGATAAATTTTTAAGCATGTCTCATTGCAAAAACATTTAGGTATTAATCTTGATCCTTGATGTAACATTATCACCCTTCACACAATAATGATTAACTTCAAGTCTGCAAAGAGTACTTTATGAAACTTCTAAAAATATTCGGTATAAGATATCTTCCTTAAACGTTATCATTTGTTAAGACATCCTACTAAAACTTCAATATTTATTAAGTCATCTTTCTAAACTTCAGTATTTTTTAATTAAAAAAAAAAAAACTCCTTTAGATTGCCGCGATCTCAGTGTCTGCAGAACATCACCTCACCAAGTGCTGTTCGGTTGACCACTCAAACTTTCCCTGGCCAGTATTACGACACAGACCATCAGTGCCGCATCGCACTGGGCAGCAGTGCAAGGACGTGCCCCACGGGAAAGAGAGAGGTAGGCTACAGTTACAGTCATCTCATGAATGTATGATGGTGCACTTCCTCTTTCTCTTGTCCTGTCAATGTACCCCTCTCTCTCTCCATCTGCCCCTTCCTCCCCCGCTCTGAGTGTGTGTATGAGAGAGAGAAAAATGGAGAGGGAGAGAGAGAGAGAGAGAGAGAGAGAGAGAGAGAGAGGGCAGACTGCAGATCAAAATAGAGGGAGTAAAAAAGAAAGGAGAGGGAGCGAGGGAGGGAGAGAGAAGGTGGTGGGGGTAGGAGGGATAGAGAGAGATGGGAGGAATAAAAAGAAAGACCGAGAGAGAGAGAGAGAGAGAGAGAGAGAGAGAGAGAGAGAGAGAGAGAGAGGGAGAGAGAAAGAGAGAGAGGGGGAGAGGGAGAGAGATATTGAAAGAGAGAGGGGGAGGTAGAGGAAGATAGTAAAGATGAAGAGAGAGACAGAGAGCAAGGGGATGGGAGAGGAGGAGGAGAGAGAGAGAGAGAGAGAGAGAGAGAGAGAGAGAAGGGAGGGGGAGGGAGAGGTATGGAAATAGATGAGACATGTGAGGAAACATGTAGGGGGGGGGGAAGTGAGATGCAAGGATTATAACTCGTTCCATTGTGAAAATTATTCATTCAGTTGCATTAGTACCGTTTCCCTTGCAAGTCATTCTAAACATTTTGTTTATAAATCTTTGATGGCTCGGTTATCTTGATTTAATTAAAAGCGACAATTTTTCATGCAATTAATACTCCCATATACCAAAATAGCATCAACGCTTTTATTGCATTTTTACATGTAGCTCTTCCAGAAGCTTTGCCAGCATCTGAAATGTTTACAGCCAGCAAAGAAGAAATGTGTTATGACAAACCGCCCTCCGCTTGATGGGACTCCATGTGCAATAAACAAGGTAATCTACATACCCATGATACTAAATTAATGTTGTCTTCAGTGTTTACACTCTTCTCCCCTTGTGGATATGTTTGTTGCAAGAACTGTTTTTGTCTGGCTCTCTCTCCATCTCTCCCATTCTTTCTCTCCATCACTAACTCTGTATTTCTGTCTTGACCTCCCCCCCCCCCCCCCCCCCCTCTCTCTCTCTCTCTGTCACACACACACACACACACACACACTCTATTTATCTATCTTTCTCTTCACATCCATCTGCTCTTTTTCCATCTTTAAAAAACAAAACAAAACATTGTACAACCTCTTTTTCAATCTCTTCATCTTTCCTTTGTATCATTACCAGTACTCAAATGCTATACTTACATAAAGACATCATTGTAGAAAACTTTCTCAATGAAATGACAAAACATGAACACATATTTTCAAAATGGCAGTAACTAGAACTGCTCTCTTTTGAATTTAATGATCAATTTCCATTATCTTACATTTGACTTATTTTACTTTTTTTGATAATGCTTTAGGGAATACGGGCAATAGATTCTCAAAGTATAATATCATAATGGCCAAGTTGTCAAGGTTGCTTGTTCCTAACAAGTTTGTGCTAATCAAGGGTGTGGCAATTGCACCAGCCCAAACACTGTTTTTTGTGCTGCAGTGAACCTTATCCACAGGCTCTGTTGTTTAAAACCAGTAATCTAAACAACAAGCGAATATGACATTAGCACTTTGGTACTCTGAAGGGAACAGATTGCAGCAATACAACCTTACAACAAACTATCGTAAATATATCCTCTTTTTCTTTGTAATTCATTTTGTTCACAGTGGTGCAACCGCGGACAATGCGTGGAGAAGCCACTTCACCACCAGAGACAGGAACAAAAGTTGGTTGCTATGGAAACAACCACACCCATGATCGGAGACACGCCTTCCATGAAAACGACAGTTGCATCAAAATTATCTACCAAGGCTAGGAAGCGGTCCAAAGAACAACTCTAATTGATTGTCAATCTCATGATTTGGTCCAAGTAAAGACCCTTTCATCGTTTTTTACAATGCAACAAAAATTGTTCAGTTAACAACCAGCAGCTGATTGATATACCGAAGGGGCAACAAAAATATTGATTTAACTGGCTGACTACTGGATTGTGTCATTCCCCTAGGCTTGGTATAGGAACCATTCTGTCCTGTCTGCAATAGATTTATCCATCAGCTTCAACTCTTCCTCTAAGAAGAGCGACTATTGAGGAATAAATCTGCACTAGTATTTTTGATATACTGCGGAAGACCATGATAAATACTTATAACTTAAATAGTTATAAAATAACACCATCATATATAATTTTTATTTAAAGTTCTTTTGAAGTGCTGATGATAAAATTTCCCCATATGGAATTGATAAGTTGGTTTGCACTTTTAACATTCTATCAGCTAATGTGAGGTTGAAATGCTATTTTCACGTTGCAATTGCTCATGAGGAACTATCGTCGTTGAGTACCTTCTGCTCTTCCATTATCCTATCCTGTACTCCTGATATTCTGAAAGGGTTCAAATCTGTCATTTGGGCTTTATTGTCCTGCTTCCATCAAAATATGAGATGTCCCAACACTGTGGTGAAACACTTGCATTCAAAGATAGTTGACACCATGTATGGATTGTTCGGCTTTTACTAATCAAAGTCTTGAGTTCATTTTGAGAATCTGTCCAACGCCGTCTTGTACTGAGGCCTTTCTTGGTTCTTCTTCTTCTGAACAGCTTTGGAAGTTTCTTGTATTTTATCCTGAGAGGAGAGAGAGAAGGGAGGAAAGAGAGATTAGAAAAATGCTAACTTATCCAGCTTCATTTAAAGGTATAGACCAGTTCTGGTCATGCGATTGCATTGTGAAAGAAACCTTGTGGAATTGATCAGAAAAGGTTGATCATCTAGCATATAAGTGTTGGTGTGTACTGCAAGGTTCTGGAATCATCAAAATGATAAGAAATTTGGCCCAGTCTTGGTAAAGTTACAAGCACTGTACATAGAAAGATGTATATGGGACTAAGCGATACCTATCTAGTCTAGAAAGATACAACAATTAACCAAAAATATCAATAAGTAGGCGGTTTCTCGGCAAAATTTGTATCATCACGTATTAGTCAAAACATATTCGATCACATGATTGGTAATAAGAGTTTCCATTTCATTTTTTGAAAGGGGGGGGGGGGGGGGGCTTCCAAAACTGGTCTTAACCTTTAAGTATGTCAAAGAAGAATAAATGGAGAATTTGCAAGAAGGGACGCTTAGCTTTCATATATTTTTGTCTTGATTGACATTATATATCAATATCTATCAATTATATTCAGGCCTGATCTCTACGATTCTTCTTACCCTGTTTCCTTCTTCCCTGACGCCTTGTTTCCTCTTCTCTATCCTACCAGCCTTGCTCCTTCCTTTCATCCTGTGACGAGGCTCAAACTTGGGTGGTGGTACCACGCCCTGGATGCCATAAAAAAAATCAAAGTACAGACAATAATATACCATGTGTAATATCGAGGGGTCAGTGACACAAAGACGTAACTCCATTCAGGCCATTTTGAGAAAAAGTGGTTTATGTGTCACTGAGCACTTTGGGAGTTAAGTCTATGTTTCACTAGCCATCGACTTCAATGGGGTATTGGATGGAGGTAAGTCTTTGTGTTTCCTGGAAAGCCCACATTTTTCTGAACGTTTTGATATCACATACTCATTTTGGCAAAATATGGAGTTACGTCTTTGTGTCACTGAACCCTCGATATACCATATACCATGTAAAGCGATGTGAAACCAATTGTGTGAGACTGCTATATACAGTGCATCCCAGAGTTGAGTCTTTTGTTAATTCCATCTGTTGCTACGGCAGGCTGCCAGTGAAAACGAATATGTTTAATAAAATTATGGAAATGCAAGCACTACTTTAAACAAACAGAACTTTGTTATTCCTGCCTGAGGTGTCATATGAAAGGGCAGAAACTCAGCTTTCTAGAAATGGGATTTTCTTTTTAAAATTCAGATACTGTCCACCAAATGACTTTTTGGTTTCCTCTCTTCAATTTCATTTTAATCACTCATGCGTGAAATATGCATTATATGAGTTGCATCAAATGAAAGTGGAGGATGTAAGCTTTACAAGTATGTGTCATTTATTCATTATAATTGTGAGTAAGTTAAGATAAAACATTAATAATTCTCGGTTTCGTTTTTTTCTGGGACGCACTGTATATATATTTGAACATAATACATATTATTAACATTATTATGAATATTTATTTGTAGAGGAACAAATATGAATCCATTATTCAGTATCCCTTCCATGCTCTGGGCATAAAATTCTGCCTGGAAGCAAAAAGGATAAACATGAATAATGCTAAAAGCGATGTTTTGGTACAATTGCTTTGGGACAAGTGAATGGTATTTTGTCCCATACTGTCATAATAAATTGTAGTAAACCAGACACACCTAACAAGATGATGGTAGCCCTAAAAGAGCTTGGATTAGTCTAATCAAGGCAACTGATACTCTTAATGTTAATTTTTGTTAACTTTTCGTTATTCTTTTGTAACATATGAGACAGCAAATATGAATTTGAAATGAGATCTGAATTGACTTCTGTGGATGCCTCATGAATTTAAGAGTTGAAATAAATCAGGAATCAATAATAAAAGCTCATTTAGATATGAAGCATTATACCTAAGCATTTTGTTTGTCTTTAATGAGTAATTGTATTTTTTGCTCTCTAATTCTAAATTATTTGAATATACTTAGTACTTTTTTTGGGGAGGGGGGGATTTTATTTCTTTTAAGGATACAAACAAATATTTCTTGTTGGTATTATGATTGGACATCTTTAACGACACCATGACAATACAAAAAATACTCACAAATAGCTCCTTCCTCTCAGCTTGTCTCTGATCCAGCGTTGCCTTGTCAATAGCACTGATCTGACTCGGATCTAATGTGATCATCTCTGGTTGAATCTAGATTAGGATGAATAAAAAGATGAGAATGGAATAAAAAATCATATAGAACCCAGCTCTTGGTTACAAACTACGCACGAGCAGACAAAAGTCATGCTTGATGACTTGATGACTTGTGAAATATGAAATGTACTTGAGGATAACATTGAGTACCTGAAAGTTACATTAATTTTCATTTACAAACATTTAGTGTATTCCATGAGAATGAAAAAGTGATACATTTTTGAAAGTTGTAATCACGGGCTCTTCAAATTGGCTGAATCGGTAATGTCTCTGTGATGTAGTGGCTTTCCCATTTGTTCCAACACATAAAATGACTAAAATTTTAATTTTTCAGACATGTTTGACTCAGGAGGGTCTTCTCTCGTTAGCATACTATCCATAATATATTTTTAGTAGAGCCCCAAGGGAAAAGGCACTTAAGAGAAAGACATGAATTAAAGATTTTGGGGGGATACATGACAAACAGGAGAATTATACCCATAATAATAATAATAATAATAATTATCCGCTTCTATATAGCGCTTAATACAAATGTCTCTAAGCGCTTTACAGATTTAGACTTGGTGATCTCGTATTTCAAACATTCATAAGTCCTTTATTATTGGTCCGATTTATTTCAAACTTTCACCATTCTGTGTATCTTATTTTCCTGCTTGCATGTAAATGAACTTAATACAAAGGTTGGATTGCCCTTTAAGCAGTGGGGCTCAAATAACAATAAATACCTTTTCTAGAAGAGCCTTGATCTCATACTCTCTCCTCTGGGTTTTGTTCTGGTATGGGTTGGCCTCCAACGCATCAAAGTTGGCCTCACCAGCACCTGGTCAGAAAAAAAAAACATTATTATATAACTTCACCAAGACAACTGTTGCTTACGAAGCCGAGATAATAAGATATTGCTGCTCAAATAAGGAAGATGAAGGCAATAAGACAAAGACAAGCAGAGGTAAACTAAATACATGTAGAGTACTACAAATATGAAAACATAATCAGTGTGACAGAATTTCCTAATTTGTCATTTTTTTTTAAATATTGTATTTATTCCTTCTATCTCTGTTATGCTGGTGGAACACAAACTTTAATGATTTGCGGACGTGGAGAAGTTATCAATTACCGGTATCCCATCTGCAATTTACTATTTTGGTTTAATGTTTTTCAAAAGAAAAAGTATGCATAAAGTACAATGTACTACAATCAAACCAGTACCAGAGGTTAGGGTTAGGGTTACGTTTAGGGACAACTTGAAAACATAAAATGGCCTATTGTACTACCTGGAATGAGTAAGCTGGAGTAGCCTTGGAAGTGAGAAACCCCTAGTACATCTTCATAAGGACAGAATCCCATGTTGGTTACAGGATAGCGTTGCTCATGGATCATGTAGGGTGCATCTTGAGTCCTCAGGCAACAATCCTTGTAAACCTGCAATTAATCAATGGAGAGAAAGGTTATCATTGATTTGGCTGGAATGCTTCCCAGGGAGTGGAGATTGTGCACAGTGTGTGAGGACAAGCATTGAATCCAATGACCGAGGTAATAGTATATCTGTAAAGCGCTTTATAGGGACATTGTATTACGCTATATAAGCAGCATATTATTATTACTGCTTATCTGTACCCAATGAAGGGGGCGCGTGGCTCAGTGGTAGAGCAGTGGTTTCATAAATGGGAGGTCCAAGGTTCAAAACCAAGTCATGCCCTTTGCCTTTGGTAAGGCATTAAAACGCATTACCAAAGCCCTTAGAGAGGACTTAAAGCTGTCAGTCCCCTGTGTGCTTACTTACAAGCATACATATGTCTTATTAGCAGTCAGGGAAACAATCAATCATCTTCAATAATGTATGCATGTGAAGCCCTTCAAAATGATCAGAAACATATTCTTTTTTTCAAATCTGAAAACATTAACAAAGATGAACTTTAATTCTAGGAGTATTAAGATAAAGTGAAGTGGTTATTGTCAAAATAACCACTTTTATACATGATAGCTGTACACGAGTTATACGTTACTCTACCGAATCATATGAATGATTGCTGCAACATAGTTTTAAAGCCTGTCTGCACTAGTTTGGCCAGGGGGGATTAGACCACCCTGCAAGGTTACTGACAGGTGGTTATCTCATCAAATCAGCTCTCATTTAACAAGAGAAAAAGAGGATCATGGGGGACCAACAGGCACTGATTAGGCATGTTTTGCTATATAGAGGGCGCAAGTAGCTATAAGTAGTGCAGTGGGGCTTTAAATAGCCTCAGTCACTACATCTTCCAAAGTCTGTCTCCCAGTTACTTGTTATTCAGAAGATTGATACATTTGTCAAAATATTCTCATAAAGTATTCTCACATACAAGTATTATCTGTTGAAAGCCAGAAAGATGTTAACTCAATACCACTTTACACAGAGTTCACACCATTCTCACTAGTTCTAAGCAATGATACCTTTATTTAGTAATTGCAATTAAAGACAATCTCTCACGAACCCCCCAAAATCTCTACTCTTTGGAGATATGAGAGAAATTGTACCTCTACTACGTTGTTACAGGCAGCAGCTAGTAGCCCCCTCTGACTGAAGCACAGCTCCCCTGCACCAAACGACACTCGGTATGCCTGCAGGGGCTTGTACGTCCGGAGGTCAAATATCTTGAGTTGCCTGTCCATGCCGCCTGTGGCCATATACCTAGGAAATCATTACAAACAAATTGAGATTATTAATTGATATAAAGTCAAACCTGTCTACAGCGACCGCCCAAGGGAAACATAAAATGTGCTTGTTGTAGACAGCTGGTCTTTGTAGACAGGTTCCTTTAGTACATGTTTCAATGAGAAACTATTTTCAAGGGAAACAAAAAATGTGCTTGTTGTAGACAGGTGGTCACTAAAGCAGGTTTGACTGTACCTATTGTCCACTTATGGATAAGCAAATGCGTGTGAGCGAATCGACTGGTCTATTCAGAAATCACTTTTTAAGAATGCAATATCAGTATCTGAACTTGCAAATGTCTCTTTATAGAAGTAATTTTCAGATCTGATATTTCACATATGCCATAATATTTTCCAGCTGTGAAATTCAAAGCTGATTTTTTTTAATACAGTATACTTGCATTGAACCTTATCCATAAAAAGCAGAATACAGTTTGCCTATTGATTCCCTTTTTGTCTCTCAGAATTGACTAGAATTAATTTCCATACTTACGTTCCCCCTTTATCGATGGCTATAGACCGAACAGCGCCTTTGTGACACAACATCTTAACAAGAGGTTCTCTAGAATTGGGACTCCACATCGTGACGGTGCCTGAAAATGTAAACAAGTAAGCAGACATATCATTACAAAATGAACTTGATACTCCATCGAGGCCCAATGGCTCAGTGGTAGAGCAATGGTCTGGGAGGTCCCAGGCTTGAAACCAAGTCGAAGCACTAGTGCCCTCTGGTAAAGCTTTAATCCTCATTACCAAGTCCCTCGTAGAGGACTTAAAGCTGTCAGTCCCCCGGATGCTTACTTACAAGCATACACATGATTTTTTAGCAGTCAGGTCAAACAAACAAACAAACAATAATAAATGGTGTATTCTGCATACCGGTACATCATGTTACAGTATAATGTGCAAGACATGCTATAAATGCCCTCATAAGTGCTTCCATGTTGGAAAGATAAGATTAGGATTTTGGAATATAAACAAAATTGTTATATTTTCAAACACATTTTAATTCAATTACAAAAAACATGTCTAATGTTGTGAGCTTGACTTTATTTTTCAACTTAAAACAGAGTATGGAACTGTAACATAACATTTCTTTTTAAACGAAAAACTGTAAGTGTACATTGAAATTAAAGTTTTCTTGATCTGTTATGATATCAGTCATATATTAAAGGTCACAGTGTAGAGGAGCAAATATGACTCGTCATATCTATCTAAATCTTTTTGGAGTAAGCAACTTGCATTTTTGGAGACCGAGAACCAACTGGGAGAACAAATAAACCTGGAGTGGAATGACACTGCAAGAGAGTACTAGAATGGCAGGTAATAGAGATGCATGGAAAAAATGTTGTCATCAACTTCCAAGCTGGGAGAAGATAACCAGGGGGTGTTTCACAAAGACTTAGATCGACTTTAAGTTGGATTTAACTATGGCAGGCCGTTCATGCCACTAGTTGCTCTCACCATTGGTCTCTCAATTATGATCTTTAGATACTATTTTGTCCTTTCAATAATGAACTATCAAAAAGGTAAATTCTGTACATTTGTGACCACATTTATACATCCCTTGAGAATCCAATGCCAGGAATGGTTAGAGGAACTAGTGGCATGAACGGCCTGCCATAGTTAAGTTCAACTTAAAGTCAATCTTAGTCTTTGTGAAACACCCCCCAGGATAGATGTATACTCTTGGAGGCACTCACCATTACTATGACCAAGATGGATAACGGCATTCCGTTGGTTCTGTGTCATGACATCAAGCCGGCCGCACTTCGTGGGCATGTCACATACCAGCTTCCCAACTGACACATCTAGATACTGCAAACCTCCATAGGAACTCTGTATGAAAGAAAAACAATAAAGGGTCAATCAGGACTCAAAGGTCATATCTAAAACAGAATAAGAGTTCAAATCAAAATGACATTCAGCCTTCAGGGTTCAAAGGTGAAATGAAACTGACGATCAGGGATCAAAGGTCAACTGAAGACTACATATGAACTCTGTATAAATAGTGTGGTACGGTATGTCACTGAAACAGCTCCCGTAGGACTGTTGTGCCAAAGTTGATTTTTTTTTTGTTGCATTTTTGGATTCATTGGGGTCCAAGCTATCAGAAATTGATGGGGTTCAAATTTCCCTGAAGACACCAAATTTCCCTATGGCGCTTTACATAAGCCATTTTGGCGCCCAACATGGACCCCCCCCCCCCCAGAAGTAAAGGAGGGGTCTGAAATTTGAACCCCATCATTTTTGGCCAATTGGGACCCTTTTGAGGCCAAAACAGCAACAACAAAAATCAACTTCGGCGAGAAAATCCTACGGGATTACATATAGGCCAGGAAAGATATCACATTTTTTAGGTAAACCTCAAACAAATTGCAATACAATATTTTTCACTGCAATGCATTTTAGTAAGGTCCCCCAAATGACATACTAAAAGTCCGAAAAAATCCGTGTAGTGGAAGTGACCCTAATTTGCATAAATCCAATATGGCCGCTATTTCGAGGATTTTCACATAGATTTGTCATATTGTTCAACTTGTATGGGCTGTTGTGGCATTAAACAAATTGCAAACAAATATTTGTTACTGCAATGCATTCTAGTAAGGTCCCCCAAATGACATACTAAAAGTCCGACAAAATCCGTGTAGTGGAAGTGTCCCTAATTTGCATAAATCCAATATGGCCGCTATTTCGAGGATTTTCACATAGATTTGTCATATTGTTCAACTTGTATGGGCTGTTGTGGCATTAAAGAAATTGCAAACAAATATTTTTTTACTGCAATTCTTTCTAGTAAGGTCCCCCAAATGACATACTAAAAGTCCGACGAAATCCGTGTAGTGGAAGTGTCCCTAATTTGCATAAATCCAATATGGCCGCTATTTCAAGGATTTTCACATAGATTTTGTCGTATTGTTCAACTTGTATGGGCTGTTGTGGCACTAAAGGTGTTGAAGAAGTGATCTGCTGTATATTTTTTTTTATCAACTAAAATACCCATATACTACAGGTATATCACACACCTGAAACAAATCTCCCGCACACCCACACCCACACAATCCAACATGTAATTTATGCTCAATTTTTCACCTTTAATAGCAGATGATGTTATTTCATTATGCACTAGACAAATATATTGTAATACGCAACACAAAAATCATGCCATTTTAGTTTGAAAAAACTCAAACAAAAATCTTCAGAAAAACTGGCCCTTATGAGTATCCGTACAAACACAAGAGCTGCTGGTACGTGGTAGGGCTATGTAGGGATACAGCCTGTACCTTACATTATCCTCATGGTCATTTGATTGGTTAAAAGTTGTTCTCATTGCATCAGTTTACTTTAGAGAGGTGACAAACAGAAGCATACATTGCATGCTCATGGCTCATCACAATACAAGCATATTACTGCGGTATTGCGCTCTCTAATTACTATTTCTGTCAAATATTCAACTAAGTTAGACCTGAAAGCGTTTATTAATTGTGTGATATCCAGTGATAAAGCTTAATGCCTCATTCATAGTCATTCATTGTAGAACTTTAAAGTTGAACACCCTATAACAGTTTCATTATAATATCGATGGAAAGCTTATAATGTGCAGAATACAATATATGTTTTTAATAAAAAATATATGACCCCACATAGGCACAATGACTAATCAAAGTTTGTCACTACACCCCACTTCATCTAAGGTAATTCAGATGTCAAATTAAGCCTGTAATTCATGACGTCACAGAATGTACACCTTTCTATGCAGTGCTACAAAGACAAGCCTACACATGAGCCTACATCAATAGGAAGGGGGTTTTAGTTGCTGGTGTGGTACTGGTACTGGTTGTCCTATTACTGTAGCTGTATAGTAGGAATATGCATGAAAAGAAATAATACTTGGTCCTAAAATGTGTCTAGAAGACTTGCATCTTTTAACGATCTTCCCGCAGTTGATGCTGTATACCATAAACAATGAATAGTGAACTTTAAAACTGAAAAACAAATATCAATGTTATACTCTGTGAGCACAAGCACTTCCAAAAAGGCTAAAACTGGCCGACCTAAGGATGAGGTGAAATTTACTGCATTCTTAAAGTAATTAAGTTCCTGGAGGAAAATGATGACGAACAAACAGCAGTAGTTGATCACTAAGATGCAAGAGTATTTACTGGATACAGATCATGAGGCCTACAGTGGGGTATACATGTAAAAGAATATACAGGGGCACTTTGGTGAGAGAATTGTTATAACTGAACTGAACGGAAAGAACAACAAACCAAAGCAGGAGAAAATGAGGATCATAAGGACTGCTGCCTCACCGTATAAAGAATGACGTCAAGCTAAAGAAAATTGCAAGTGACGCGTTTACCCAACTCCTGCTGAAATGTCGTCTACCTTCGGAAGTTCCTATAGTGATCACTATAGGAACTTCCAGAGGTTGTTCAGCACCCAGGTGTTCAATGTGGAGCAGATTCCTGGAATTAATTGTGATGCAGCAGAATTTTAAAGCCACAGTTCTTGTCGGTGATGACACAAACCTTCTCATCTTGCTGATCTTCTACGCTGATCTGAATGCGAAGGACTTTTTGTTTGCACCTGATCAGCCCAAGGCAAACTCCAAGTAGAACCGAAGATGTAATATGAAACAGCTGAAGGAAACTCTAGGAAGGTAGTGTGTGTAACTACTTTCTCTTTGTACATGTGCTTTTGTGCTGCCAGACAACGTCTCACAATAATATTTGGATATAATAAGGCGTGCAGCACTGAAGAAAATCATGAAGAATGACGACTTTTTTGAGCTTGCCATAATGGTACGTCAGCCAGCATCAGACCTGAAGGAGATAATTATTACAGCTGGATAGAAGACACTCGTATGCCTGTATGGTGGTGACTCAACAGAAGTATTGCGTAAAGGTATCATTTAATCTTGTCTGCCTTATTATTAGAAGCAAAGACTTTGCCACCAACTTCAGCAGCAGCAAAGTTCCTCAGTCTGGGTGTGTACTATCAGATATCAGAATAGACAGGAATGGCAGACAACCTGACATCGGGAAACTGAGTTGGCAGGTCATGGATGGGAAATATCTTCCAATAAAAACTGATAAAACACCAGCACCCGCATCACTCCTTAAGGTCATCAGATGTGGATGCAAGAAAGACTGTGCAGCCAAGAAATACATGTGCCGGAAGTATGGCCTCCAATGTTCAACAGCCTGCATTGATTGTCGCGGCACTAGTTGCACCAACTCACCACCATTAGACCTACATGTAGAACTTGATGCTACTACTAATCAGCATGCCACATAAATGTATGTTTGTTGGAGACTACCAATTACTCTAATCAACTTAAAATATGTATACCAAACTGTAGACCTCATGATCTGCATCCTGTAATAACAACTGAACTGGGATTGTACACCAACATTATTATAGCTGCTCTGAAATGCACTATAAGGTGAGAATCAACACAAAATGTATGCAAATTAACCAATTTTTTTGAAAATGTATGTGTATATTATATGCAAATTAAAGAACCAAATTATGATACATTTGAAACATAACAATATTTTACAACATGAATAAGCGTTGTCGCAATTATTCTGAATATAATCAATTCTCTACAAAAATGCTTAATTTGGCAGCCATTTTGAATTCAAGCAGATTGAAACACTCATGCAACTGGGCAGATGAAACCTTGTGCAAACAAAAGCATTCCAGGAAATAACATTTTAGATTTTCAAAGTACACCCAAAGTATGCTAAAAGGTATGTATGGTGAATAATTTAACCAAATCTAGGAAAATTAAACCCTAGAATTGGTAGCCATTTTGGATTTATGTAAATTTGACACACTTCCACTACACGGATTTTGTCGGACTTTTAGTATGTCACTTTGGGGACTTTACTAAAATGCATTGCAGTGAAAAAAATGTTTTTGCAATTTGTTTAGTGCCACAACAGCCCATACAAGTTGAACAATATGACAAAATCTATGTGAAAATCCTCGAAATAGCGGCCATATTGGATTTATGGAAATTAGGGACACTTTCACTACACGGATTTTGTCGGACTTTTAGTATGTCATTTTGGGGACCTTACTAGAATGCATTGCAGTGAAAAATATTTTATTGCAATTTGTTTAGTGCCACAACAGCCCATAAAAGTTGAACAATATGACAAAATCTATGTGAAAATCCTCGAAATAGCGGCCATATTGGATTTATGCAAATTAGGGTCACTTCCACTACACGGATTTTGTCGGACTTTTAGTATGTCATTTGGGGGACCTTACTAGAATGCATTGCAATAACAAATATTTTTTTGCTATTTGTTATGTGCCACAACAGCCCATACAAGTTGAACAGTATGACAAATCTATGTGAAAATCCTCGAAATAGCGGCCATGTTGGATTTATGCAAATTAGGGTCACTTCCACTACACAGACTTTTTCGGACTTTTAGTATGTCATTTGGGGGACCTTACTAAAATGCATTGCAGTGAAAAATATTTTATTGCAATTTGTTTAGTGCCACAACAGCCCATAAAAGTTGAACAATATGACAAAATCTATGTGAAAATCCTCGAAATAGCGGCCATATTGGATTTATGCAAATTAGGGTCACTTCCACTACACGGATTTTGTCAGACTTTTAGTATGTCATTTGGGGGACCTTACTAGAATGCATTGCAATAACAAATATTTTTTTGCTATTTGTTATGTGCCACAACAGCCCATACAGGTTGAACAGTATGACAAATCTATGTGAAAATCCTCGAAATAGCGGCCATATTGGATTTATGCAAATTAGGGTCACTTCCACTACACGGATTTTTTCGGACTTTTAGTATGTCATTTGGGGGACCTTACTAAAATGCATTGCAGTGAAAAATATTGTATTGCAATTTGTTTGACCTCAAACCACAATTTTCCTAGCCTAATACCATACCGCCCTAAAATGAAGCACAACATGACATTGATATAAATTAAGGAAAACAAGCAACACAATGTGATATTTAATCCAAAAATCAATCATGCTAAACACCCTTACATTCAAATACTTTTATTCATTTGATTTGCCAACCTGCACACTGCACATGGTAAAAGCTTGTTCAGATGAGACCGGGCAAAACAGTGTTTTTTTTTAAAGATTTTTTTAAATGATTATGCAAAGTGTAATAAGCTCAACATTACTGTATCTTATAACAAAGAGCTACTTGAATATGGGCAACTCTTTTGTTGCGCACAGTTGCCATTCATTTACATGTTTTTTCAAAAAACATGTGGCATTTTTTAGGGCAGTTTACTGCACCATATCTGAACAAGCCCTTAATATTAAATATGTCCTTCAATACAATACATTTATCCACAGTTGTGTCTCTCTACCCAGGATTTAAACTGGGACATGACAGGAATTATTTCTTCAATAGTGCATTGTGCCTTGATAATGCTGGAACTAAACATAGGTTACTCTGGAACACTGTGGTAGAACATAGAGACTATATATCATATACGATGACCTACGTTAACATGGAAAACATCTGTTATGATTGGACTGATTTTTATGCCATTTTGGACGGTAGACTAATATGATAAGTTTATACTTACACAGCCAGCTAATAGGAAGTGATAAGGAAGGAACTCCATACGGGTGATATTGTGCATTTTCTTAATGCAGTGTATCTCCACCCCATTGTTATCATATATGTACGTCCATTTCTTCTGAGCTACGGCACACATAGTCTCCAAGTGTAACCATCTACATGACAAACACAAAAAGAAAAAAAGTGTGTAAAATTTTGAAGTATAAATATCTCCTAATGGACCCCAAGCAATTTATTCACCTGTTTGCACTTTTCAAAGGAACCTCAAGCTACAAGCATATCAATTTATGGAGTATCGCAACCATTATTAGTGTGTAATACTTGAACAATGATAGAAATCATGACAACAACTTGTGTGTAGGTTATTTTCTTTTACAATGATTGAAAATGATTATAAATGAAATGGGCTGGGAGGGGGGGGGGGGGGGGGGGGGGGGGGGGGGGGGGGGGGGGGGGGTTGGGCAATTGGGTGGTTAACAATTGAAACCTTTGGAGATAGGTTTCAAATATAGAGCTATAACAGTTGTTATAGAGTCTTAAAGACAAGGTAAACTCTCGTCACGGCAGTTATACTTCCAGTTAATAATAATAATAATAATAATAGGCATTTATATAGCGCCATCTATCTAGATAATTCTATTCCAAGGTGCACAAAAAAAATAGAAAGAATGAGAGAGTTTGGATGAGTGTCATAGTGCCAAGTACAGGTATTGTTAAAAAAAGTTTTAGTTCCTAGCGGACCTTTCGGAAGAGACGAACACAAGGTTCAAGGTACATATATTATTAATGATTGGCTACAAAGGCCCGAATTCACAAAGGAGGTTTAGATTTAACCCATGGTTTAAACGCTCATTTACATAACCCATGGTTTAAAATAAGCGTGACACAAGTCAGAGGTCTAATATTAGACATGCGCAAGACAAGGTACGCTTATTTTGCGCTAATTTTTAAACCATGGGTTAAATCTAAACCTCCTTTGTGAATTCGGGCCAAAGAGTTTTCACTTACTGTACATCCTGGATAGCTTCCATAACGTTGGTCTCAAAATGAAGTTTCTTCGTGACCCAGTCGATACTAGCTAGATGACCCCTGCGACCTCCGAGAAGCAGATGTCGACCATTCCTTGTGAAGTCCATCCGGTATGGGCCAAACTGGTCCAATCGAAGCTCAAAGTTCTAGGAGGAAAAGCAAAAGAAGGGTTTTAAAAAGAAGGTGGAGTACCGCTTCAGAGAATTTTTTTGGGACAAGCATTCATTTGAATGAAAGAACTTCCCTTTGCAATATTATGCAATGTTTGTTTAGTCAAATAGAGACAATCTGGATTTATGTCAATTCAATCTGTGATTTCATAAAAATGAATGAATCAAAGTCATGTGCTCAAGGGAGTCACATTCATGTGTGTACACCTCTGTGCATACACTTCTTCAATTGCAGTACAGGCCACCATCAGGTGTTTTGACGAACAGAACGTCAAGCGTTCAGGCGTGTATATCCCAATCTACTGCTCATGGAGCAATAAGCAATTATGTGATTTTAGTTTGTGAGCTCGACTCAGCAAACATTCTGAACAGACTTTGCAAGATCCAAGGCTGTGGTTCATGAAATTTTAAAATGGACTCATGGATTTGGATATCACTGAACGATATGTGCATCCATAGCAACAACAAAAAGAGCATAATGATTGGTGATTTGTCTCATGCTGTTTTAACTGTGAAACATAAACTTAGTGAATTCATCAAATTACAAATTTAACCAATAAGGTATGTACTTACTTTAGTCGCACTCGCGATGTCAACAGATTTTCTGATTTCCTGCTGAGTGACGTCATATGTTTCTTCTCCCTCATCCGCCTCTAAAAACCTTGAATTTCAGAGAGAAATCAGTTCAGAATTTTATACTTTCCAATATTTTTTTCTTTAAATATCAACACATTGACAACTAATCATTAGGAAAGAAAGCTATTTATCTTTGATAACCATATTAATTCTAATATCAGCTCTTCTTTGAGATCTTTGCGCTGGAAGAGGTAAAATAAAGGCTGAATGTCATCAATGCCGAAATACTTTCATTAGCAATGACACTGCCCTACCTGCAGAGGAAACCCAAGCTAGATACACAGAGGTTTAATGTTGGTCATTTAGGCATTAAATAAAGTCTGGATACAAAGCCGAGCCATGTTTTTAGGTGTATGGAGATCGCGCTTTCAGTCGGCCGCTCAAAACAACCTACCACTACACATTAAAAAAGCCTCATCTACTGTTTTTTGCCATAGTTTTGTTGAAGATGCACCTGTTTCGAAGAGCTCTTGGATTTAGTTTCTTTGGGTGGTGTCTGTACATGTCTGTTTGATCACAGCACAGTAAGATTTATTTATATAGTAGCTCAGCTGGCTATATAAATTGATGTAGTTAATATAATTATGACCACTAATCCACCATGTAGACATACCAGTAGAAGTGCAATCATATATGTAGCAGCTTTCTTAGTGGCCAAGGAAAACATATCCTACCTTCTCTTCATGGACCACTACTCATTAACTGACCTGTGACCAACCCTATTGACCTCTCACCTACCCTGTTTCTTCTGGTAGTAGAAGTTCACTCCTAGCAGCTTGCTTGGCAGCAAGGGCAAACCTATCTTCCCTTCTCTTCATGGTTGTCCTGTGTGGAAAGCTTTTGATCTCTTTCTATGGACGAAAAAGGCATAACAATAACAACAGCAATGAAAAATAAAATATGGTGTATCATGTTGAGGGGCTTAAGCAGCCTCATACAGTCAAAACTGGAGAAACATTCTTCAAGATATCAACCAATTTATTCCCATTAATTTCTCTCCTCTTCTTTACTTTTTCACTTTGCTTGTTGACTGGGGCAGCATTTAACTTTCATATGTAATTCATCATATTCACAAGCATTTGGGTAAATAATATCTTATTTTAATTGATTTGGAAAATGTAGGATTAAAAATGGATAAATTATTAGCAAGTATACCTCACAGCATAACATATTTCTCTCCTCTTCATAATAGAGTATAGATGTATATATAATATATATTGTTTTATTATGTCTTCCAAGTTTTGAAAGTAAATCAAATCAAAAACCAAACCAAATGATATCAAATCAATTTACTCACAGCACTACTTTTTTCTCCTCGTCTATGCTTCTTCACGATCTCACCATCGACCGGGGCGGGGCCTGGGAACGGATCTGATTCATCCCTTAATCTTTGCGGGTCTGGCCTCCTCTTCTTAGATTGTTTCTTGGATGTTGATTCTCCTTCATGCTTGTTGGAATCAGCTTGGGACTGGTCTTGAGTTCTATCTTCTCCGTCTTCATCTTGGTTATCAAAGTATCTTGCTGGCTTTTTCTAAAATGAAATAGGGATGAAAATTGTGTGCAATTCTTGGTCATAGCGCTAGCGGGTGAGCGCTTGAATCTCTGAGGCAAAAATTGGCAGTCAAAAAACTTGGGGTCTGTTCCTAGAAACCGTCCCAATCTAACTTCTTGAATATCCCATTGAAATGAGTGTTAATTCTATAACACACGTTTCAATAGGATAGTCAAGAAGTTAGACTCATGAAGGTTTCTAGGAACGGGCCCCTGGTCTCATGCGCTGCAACCGAGAAATGCATAGACCTATACCGTATACGAAACGGCTCTTCGCCAGGATTGACAATTGACCATTCCAACATCATATCGCGATATTATCGGCGAGTTAAATTAATTTTTAGCTTACTGCTATTTATATTCTAGGTGCTATCAACTCTTCCCATTTACTGAAGTGCCGATTTTGAGTGAATACTTGTGAGTTTTGTACAGTGGTGTTTGAAAATTTTGATAATTTTGAATTAAAAAAAAATTTTTTTTAAATCCTGCACAAAATTTAATCTGTAGATCATCTGATCATGTAATCATCTGATCATAGACCTAGATCTACTCATACTAGTCAGTGTCACATACATCAACTTACACAACAAAAGGACAGTTTTAAAGCTACACCCTGCACACGGCAAAAAAGGCACCGCACTAAGTACGAAAATACTCCATTTAAGAGGCCGGTACTCAGGTACTCTACTGGAAAACGAAACACGCACTAATCACACACATCTAACACAGAAACAAGTACGTGGGGGCAATGAACTAACAAGTGTTCATTCATTTTCAATGCATGCCGTCAAAAAGGAATTGTAATACAACCCGATGACATTTTAAATGAACACTGTTGACGTGTAAAATAAACAACTGTAGAAATACAATAAACTTACTTTCTTGTTCTGTGACATCTTTTAGTTTTAGTTAGCTTTCACGCCGATTATAAATCAAAGTGTGATCAAAGTAGCATGCTTTCGATCAACTTCACGTATAACTGTATGGGAACTCTACAGGAGCAAATTAAAAATGAAATAAAAGGGACCAGTGAAAACAAATAATAATGATCCAGTGCCCAATAGAAAATGTGCATTAAAAATAGTACAAAGGACTGCTAGCTTTAAATGTGCGACTTGATGAATCTTTCATGGAAAATTCGAAAATGTTTGGATTTTTCCCCTTTTTTTGTGTGGAAGTTTCTCAGACCATGTGAGATGCGTGGCTAAAGAGATAGCTACAATGAGAAGGGCAAGTACTAATCTTCCAAAATGGTGAACAAAATGAAAAAAAGAGGGGGGATTGAAAGAGTATAAAATGGAAATGGTAAGATCAGAAGGACCCCTCCCAATAAACACTCCCTCCCTTTGGCCTTGTTCTAGCTCTCACCAGTCCAGAACCTGGACAATTTAATGTTGTCAGCAGGCGCAGGCGCGGATCCAGGATTTCTTAGGGGAGGGGGCCCAACTTTTTTTTTTTTTTGCTCCCGAAAATTTGAGAATCGTGCCGGCCGAAAAGTTGCTCAGTGGGGGGGGGGGGGGGGGGGGGGGGGGGGGGGGGGGGGGGTAGTGAGCACATTTTTTTTTTTTTTTTGGTCCTCGAAAATTTTAAAATTTGCACCCCCCAAAAAGGTAAAAATCGCGTGATTTTACATGATTTTTTTTCTCAAGGGGGGGGGGGGGTGGGGCCCGGGCCCCCAGGCCCCCCCCCCCTGGATCCGCCACTGGTTGTCAGTACCTGCTGCAGGCTGAAGATAGCATGCTCCCTGGGCAATTGAACTTGAAGAGAATGATATGTCTTCAGCTGGCAGTACACATTTAGGGTACAGGCAAAGATCACATAGATGGAGAGATTGTTGAAATAAAATCGGCGAGATTGTGGACAGGTAATTCACCTGTGCACCCTCCCCCCCCCCCCCCCCCCCCACCTCCCCTCTCTTCCAAATTGCCTCTCTCAATGGCTGACAGGACAATTGCACAAAGCTCACTGCATTTGCATACATTGATGAGAGAGACACCTGCTAATTAATGAACCAATAATAAATGTCTATCCTGTGCAAATAAACTTGTTCACCAACATTTGCAGAGTATGCATGGCCCCAGATCATGCGAACTGAAACTTCACAAAACAACAACAACACATACATGTAATTGATTGCAAATAAAAAGTTTATACTTGATTCAATTACTTTATTCAAATAACTACATAATCTGTATTAGTAAAAAATATAGATGTGAGCAAAATGTCGAAGGGTCAGTGACACAAAGACATAACTCCATTTTGAGAAAAAGTGGTTTATGTGTCACTGAGCACTTGGTTCTTTATGACTTAAGTCTATGTTTCACTAGCCATTGACTTCAATGGGGAGTTGGGTGGAGTTAAGTCTTTGTGTTTCCTGGAAAGCCCACATTTTTCTGAACATTTAGATATCAAATACTCATTTGGGCAAAATATGGAGTTACTTCTTCGAGTCACTGAACCCTCGATGTGTTAAAAAACAGAGTTGATTTGTACAAAAATAATATTAGACGGGTTCATCACCTGTAGCTAGACTAGCTACTATAGGAAATAGTCAACTGGGCATGAATATGTATTCTGCCTTTTTCTGCGATCCCATTGAAGGCACTCAAGTATACATGGAATTTCTTAAATTTGTAAAGATTACAAAGTGGATAATACTTGGATCAATTTACACAAATTATGTGAAACTGAATGCATTTATTGCAAACACTAAACAAATACTTCTTGGCAGTCGTCACGGCCAAATAGACATTGGTCCCACACTAACATATATTATGTCATCATGGGCCAGAGGTTAGGGAAGGGTTAAAGGGACACCCAACAGTGATAGCAAACTACTCTAAGAGCTCAGTAAAAATGTGCAAGTCCTTTTTTACGCACAGTTGCCATTCATTTTTAGACATTTAAACAAAAACTGATTTTTTTTTCATGGTGGTTAACCACGCCATATCTGAACAAGCTTTGAATCTGGGACTTTTGATTCATAGATCTCAGATCCTCAGATCAAAGCAAATGCACTTGTTATTGTAGCCAATGGCAAACCTGTATTCAAGTCATATTTTAATGTTATAATTTTTTCCATCGTGCCCCGCTATGCAGCACTCTTTAATTGATCCACACATCTGGTTGTGTTCAAAGTTAAGAGGGGATGTAACACACGTAATTGATGCGCATACTGTACTATGGTCTTACTTGGCAAAACAATGTGATGGGTATCATATTTGCAAACAAAATATAACAAGTAATTACTAGATTCTACCTATTGTTCACAATAAATAAATACTACTCACATATCTGAAGATGCAAAATATTTATTGCTTTTTCTTATTGTATCACATAGATATCATTTACCTCTTAATTTTCTTTTCTATAAAAGAAATTGTAACAAAATAATTCTAAGTATGCTATATAAAATTTAGAAATAATATTTTTGATTTATAAATAAAAATGTACATATATATCAAAATATCAGAACTCTAAACTTGGACGCTATACTGATGTATTTTCAAATTATATTGAATTTCTCATAAGAACCTCATGTGAATACAATGTAATTCTCACTGTGTACAAGTAATACAGTACTACTACATGTATAATCATTTATAGTATCAAATTCTACAAATTCAATATAATCTGCATACCTACATGTATCTACATTTTATTACATCAAGAATCAAGTTGTTATAATGTAATTAAACTCGGCAGTGTACATTATGCATATTGAATTCATATTCATATTCCCGTAAATCTCATCCACACATAAAAAATTATTACTTATAATCAGACCCATCGTAAAGACCTTTTCAGCAGTGAAAACCGTACATTCATATTCATAGACCTTTTTTAATAGCTTTTTTTCATTAATTAACTGATTAGACTATTATATTTAACTGCTATTAAACAAAATTATGTTATCATTTTTTGAGCAACCAGAAGGACCCAAAGTTCTAACATTGTGATTATTAAAAGCATTCAGGATTAATATTAAGAATTAAATTGAATATTGTCACACGATATTGTACCAAAGGTCACTAGTACATCAACTTTGTTTGAAACACAGGAACCCCTGATTACGGGGCCACCAACGGTCCACTACAATGTATCATGACATGGAATATAAATTGGATTAGCTGCATTTAGAATAACATTGGTCATGTCTGATTTGCATTAAGCTCCACATGTTGCTCTGCCTCGGGCTGGTCACTCGATGATGGACTCCTACTGGACTCTGGGTTGTTACTTGACAGGTCACTCTCGTTTTCAGTCACTAGTTTTTCATCTTTTTTACCACCTTGATCACAAGAAACTGTTGAATCTGTGATTTTACCATCAGTTTTCTCATCACTTTCATCAGCTTTGTCATTGGGAAATCTTTCACTTTGTTCAGCATTATTTGATGGAGATGAGACTGCCAATGCAGCAGTGGAATTAAGTTTGTCAGAGGAAGCCCCTGGAGGGACAATGGAATCTTCTTTTTCGTTAGGCAGATTCCCTGGGTTATTGCTGGAGACTTGAGCCATTCCATTGTTCTCTGAGGGATTCTTTGTAACCTCCGATTGGTGAGGGACGGTTATTGGCACAGGAGAGGTAGGAGGCGTTTCTTCCGGAATCTCAAATTCCTCAAGACTTTCGACATCCAGTTTGCTGACAAGCTCTTCCAGCTTCTTTGCTTTGCGGAGCTCGTTCTCATGAATGATGGTGCAAAGGTGCTCGGTGAGAAGCTCCTTCATTTCGGACGATTTATGGAGATGAATCTTGGCATCTACAAACTCTGTCTCCGCCCTTTGGTATCGCTGCCTGCAAAAGAAAGAAAATGAAACGGCTTCATAAAAGGTCTTTAATAAGCTTCTCATTAACATTACAAAGTACAAACACTGTTAAAGGATAATCAAACTTTTGTAGTAAATTCTTTCGTATGAAAGCAGAAATATAAAAGAAACACGTTTGGTAAAAGGTTGAAATTAATCGAACCAATGATAAGGGAAAAATATTGATATTTGAAACATGAAATCACAAAGTCTATGTGAATCTAAAATTGGCATATTGGACAATGAATTGTGACGTAGTCATGGATAACTCCCCAATTTGTCATGCACAAAATTATCATTAATGTCTGTTTTTCTCCTAAACGCCTTCTTCTTTCAGGCGTTACTCTTTATATATTATGGCTAGCATAATATTTTAGATCGTATCAAAGGAAAAGACCCTCCTGAGTGATGCATTTTTTTTTTAATGACATTTTAGTCATTTTGGGGTTGGAACAATTGGAAAGTTGTCCGGCACGGTGTCAGAGAATTAAACTTTACTGATTCAGCAAATTTGAAATTTCCATGCGTATAGTGATTAGAAATCCTTAAATTGATAACTTTCTTATTTCTTATTCAATTTTGTTCAAACTTTTACCGTCTGCAACTTGATTTTTCTGCTTTAATTTTTTGTTATTAGGATTGGATTCCCCTTTGAGGGAAGTTTAGAACTTGCCTAGCAATGAACCTTATCTAATTTATATATCATGAACGGAAATCACTGGACTTTCATGTCATTAATCCACAATTACAACCTATATTCAACTTTGATTGGAGACAAAAATGAAAATTTGTCATGTGCCCAGCATATTAGGATAAGGGCACAAATACAATTTTTTTTTTATAGTAACAAAATGTAAGGAATTGAATTTGTGCCCTTATCCTAATATGCTGGGCACATGACAAATTTTCATTTTTTTTTTTTTTCATAAATCATAATGACACATTAACAATGTAGAATATGTAGGGACTAAAATATGTTGTGCAGCTGTGTCCAAAGAAAGAAATAAGGTTTTAAAAATGTAGATTTTTAGAAATTGACATCTGTGCATATGTTAATATCCTTCTGCTAGGCACACATTCAAAAGATGAAATAAAGGTAAATAAATAAAAATAAAGGTACTCACTGCGCATCGTTAAAGTCCCTGCTTACTTCCTCGATCCTGTCTCTGAGTATGCTGACATCATTGGTGAGTAGTGTTTCTATCTTTGCCAGCTCCTTCTGTATGTACAGCAGCCTCTTGGCTTCTGCTTGGGTCTTCTTCTTTCTAGAAAACAAAACAAACATATATAGAGAAAAGAATTTCTTTGAAAAGCATTGTGTGAATAATCCTAACAAAAATATATACATTTATGTGTGGCAAAATAAGAAAAAAACATGGAAAGTGACTCTGTCGGCTTCCTTTTTGAAGCTGTCTGTTTTATTCTACTGATCAAAGAAGAAAAAACTTTTTACATGGAGACATCATTTGGGCCTCATTTCTTCTGTTGCATCTAGCCCATAAAAAGCTGATACAATTTTCCTGAGTCCAAGCGGAAGCCTCTGAGCATCAAGATTATCAGTCCCTACAGACTAAATTTAACAACTAAAATAAAATAATAACAAAAATAAACAAAAATCAAGCTTGTTTGCAACTTACCTGTCAGCTATTGCTCTAAACAGAAGCTTTTTCTTCCTAACATTATCTTCCTCCATCTGTTTTTGTTTTTTCTGAAATTCCCCAAGTTTAAAAGTCTCCCTCCTGTAAAATAAAGGGGAAAAAAGCAGAAAAAACAGGTAAATAGAAGAAAAAAAAACACAGCAAAAGACTGTTATCAAGACTTCAAAAGAATATCGCCTCTCCAATGCTACAGATGTAGAGGTGTCGTAGTCGAGTGGATACGTCACCTGAATGTGGATCACAAGCTCCACGGTTTTTGCCACACTCAACCAAGGTGATGTACATGTAAATAGGTACCTGGCAGGAATAAATTCCTTGAAATGCTAGAGTGCCGTAATGACAGCCGTGCTGAAGCCAGGGTAATAACTGGGAGCGCCAGGAGTGTCAAGTCTGACAGATATAATAGCCCTATACAAGAACCAAATATTAATGTTGGAGCGCCTTGAGGACCTTGCAAGGTTGATACGTGCGCTATATAAGAATCCAATATTATTATTATTATTATAATACAAGTCCATTTTTAATACTTACTCATGCCCTTCTTCCTCATCTAAAATCTTGAACTTCTCCACCTCCTCTTCCTTCACAGCCTCCTGGGACTCCTTCTCGATGTCTTTCACAACCCGTTTAGGATCCATCCCTTCATCTTTAGGTCCATCTTTAGGTCCATCTTTCTGTCTGTCTTCGGCCTTGCCTTGAGCAGGAGGAGGGGCTTTCCTCCTTGCTGGGGTGGCCGTCTTTCAGCGGGCTCATTCAGTTTATTCCAAACATTGTGCTCCGCAGAGGAGACAGGCTTTCCTCGTGGACCCTGCGGCTTTGGTCTGGAGAGCATTTGGTCTTGACTGACTGGCTCTTGGCTCTAGCATCACAACAGAACAAGAAGGAATGATTTGTTTGTATTTAGTATTTATTGTCCATTACTGGAGATCTGATTTTCACTGGTGTAACATATACAGATCAACATTTACTAATGCACTTATCGATTGTAAGACGCACCTAGCGACCTCCAGGAATAGTGCGTATAATTGGTTGGGTCATTTACCAAAATATTTTTGGCGCAGGTACCATCAAATCAACCTTTGGTCCGTCATATAAATGACAAAAATAGTGCGTCATTGTTAGTCAGTTTACCTGTGTGTGTCAATACGTGCTGCCACATGCATCACATAAGTCACCGTATGTACCGTCATGTAGTTGAATGGTCCTCAAAATGTTGACACGGGGGTGCGTCATGGTAATCCAATATCCGACTCACATAGGACCAATGACGCGCCATTCCCGGGGCTCGCTAGGTGCGTCTTGCAATTGATAAGTGCATACCAAAATGAATTTACAAAAAAACTAGACATTAACAGTAATTAAACAAGGTTTACCATATGATTAAGCACAACTAACACAAGGTCTAATGTTTTGTAATAAACACAAATTCAGGACAATATTAGTAAACACAGTAATTAAAGCAAAGCAAGAGCGGGTGTCAGGTGATCAAATGAATGAACAAGATAGTGATTTATAGATGATGATCTATTGACCCAACTGCTAGGAGAGCATGTACAGGCTTGTACATAATAAACCAGAGGAACAGTTTCATGTACATGTATTACAATTTTTCAAAATGATTTAGCTGAACCATACTTATATATATATCTACAGTATGTAGGAACTACTATGGGGATACTATGGTAATAACAGGATCAACTACATTGTATCCATTGAACGGTATAAATTGATTGCATATGAATAGCATTTACAACTTTTCACAAGGTGTTTGAAATCGAATATGAAGGGGAAAAAATAAAGAAACATTACATTTTTTAATCTCTATATAAAATTAGTCCCTGATAGACTTACCACTGACTGGGGTGGACCAGCTCTCCCTCGACCCCTGCTGCCACCAGGCCTTCCCCTTCCCCTCTGATGGTGCTGACCTCGACCTGAAAGAAAACAGAGGATATTGTTTGTTCACAGCCAGTCTGCCAGAAGGACAATTAACTCTGTGTAGAATTTTAACCGTGAATAGTAATAACTTAAAGCCCCACTGCACTACTTATAGCTAATTAGCGCCCTCTATAGCAAACAATGCCTAATCGGTGACCATTGGTGATGACTGATTTGATGAGATAACCACCTATCAGTGACTTTGCAGGGAGGTCTAATCCCCCTGGCCAAACTAGTGCAGACAGGTTTTAAAACAAAATAGTGACAAGCCAAAGATTTAAAAAGAAGTCTCTATAGCTTACATTCATAATATTATCAATAATATAATTATGGTATTTATTCAATAATCGTCATCGCAGCTCGAGAGCTGAATTACAAATGATTTTACACTAACAAGTGCATGAGCTTAATTAATTACAAATTGCGTAAAACAGAAACAAAAATATATCTTCATAATAATAATAAAAATATCACATTAGAGCAGAAAATGTATCTATCCCCTTGAAAGGGAAGTGGAAAAGGAGAGGCTGAGTTCTTTATTAATAATGAAGTATATAAATCGAGGTAAATGTTGTAGATTACAACAATAGTTCAAGGAAGTAACGTATTGTATTGAAAGTGTGACAGTAACAAATTGAAATCATAATACAGAACGTAAACAAAAGAGCATCAAAGGTGACCATTAATAATAGCAACGATTATTTAACTTGTTTTTAAATCATAATACCGAACGTATCATGTATTAATATCTATTACATAAACAATTTTCAAATTGATTTTGGGGGTTTTAATTTAATCTTTAATTTTTGGCCCAAAATTTTGAAGGATTATGTTCGACAATCACCAATATGCTAGTGAACTGTAAATGGAACACTAAAATAAAAGAAAGGCTTTAATTTACTTTCATTTGCCACGATGATTCAGGACCTTTCAACTAATCTATATGTCTTTGGGCTTTCCAAGATAAAAATGAAGTATTTAAATAATTATTTTCCCCTCCTAAAGTTTGACCTGTACCCTGTACTAATGAAGGATAATCCACACAGCACATATTGAAGGAAGTTACACAGGAAAACCTGTGAAGGAGTTTGAGCTACATTAGGTTACCGGTATCTGCTCTTTGATAATCCTACACAAAAGAAGAAGACATTGGCCTTTGGCGAATGATACCTACCACCTCTGGCTGGCTTTTCTTCTTCATCTGAACCTTGTCTCTTCAAAGCATTTAGCTGATCATCTGTAAACCCTGTCCATGCCATCCTTGTTCAAGCTCTCAATAGACTCAATTCATCAGGGACTGCATGAAGGGCGAGAAGAACAAAAACAATTACACATGGATGAAGTTTGCTTTACTTGCCCGCCACCCCCCCCCCCCCCCACCCCCCCCCCCCCCCCCACACATGTGCACCTTACTGCCTTATAAGTTAGATTAAAGGTAATCTGAAGACAAAGCTTCAAAAACAGTACTACCTTTGGAGAGAAAACAAAATAGGCAGTGATTTGAACATGTTTTAATTTCAATAGACCTACACATATTTTTTGTAAGTCAAACATTGATTGAACCTAGCTTTAAGAGTTGGATAAACGTCTTTAGTTAGCCTACTTCTAAAACTTTGTATTTTGATAAATATCAAACAAATATATCTAAGATGTAAGCCACAAAGAGTTTATAGATCTAGGTAAGATTGAAGATGTATATTGTAACCACGAGATATGAGCTAGAATTTAGAAAGTGGTCTCAAATTATTTTATAAAGATAAAATAAAATGTAAAAAAAATGAAAATAATGTGTTCATAGGTCTAGGGCCTAATAGTTAATAAATACTGCCCCTGATCAACATTGATTCTATATTAATGGTAAACTCTATGAATAATTATGAGGTGGTCGTCCACATTCACTTGCCAGGCCAGGCCAGCCGGTAGCTGAAAGCCTACGATTGACAACATTCGCAAGCGGCGGCGCAGCTCTCGGGGGAATCACTGGAGTTACAACACAACATGTTCAACAATACATGGGACCAATATGATGAACTTTAAAATTACAGCGGAAACATCAACATGTCAGACAGCTCTCACAATAAAGCAAATCTTCAATTTTACTATTCAGTTTATTCAAATGATTGAAAGCATAACTTACATAGTCCTATCGATCCACTCTTTTGCTGTAAAATACAATCAAATTAAAATTTCGGGCGATTGTTGACGACGTGTCCATTGGCGAATATGAATATTTATGAGTTATGACGTCATACTTTCCTAGCAGACCACCTTAATATTTGTTTCTGATTTACATGTGCTGTATCACCTTGTATAATGGTAATTTGGAAATCATTTCAATAAACAGACATCTTAAAGAATTGCAAATAATCACTTGCACTAGGTTGTGTGCCTTAGATATGTTTCTACGTCTGGTCTTATTCTCCCCAGTTTTTTATTATACAAAAAGACATCGTAAAAAGAAGATAAAAGAATAAAATTCATAATGCAAAGGGTTCTTTTTAACCAAGATCAATTGTTTCGCCTTGAAGTAAAATCAATATAGTGACAGGGGCGGATCTAGAGGGGGGGGGGGGGGTTAGGGGTCCATGGTTTAACCCCCCCCCCCCCCGAAATATTGATCGGCACTTTTTTGAAATTTTGCTGGGTCAACCCCTCCCCCCCCCCCCCCCCCCCCCTTAGCAAAAAGCTAGATCCGCCCCTGAATGGAACATTTCAGACATGCATAATATATTTATGCTATGTTATTATTAATGACGATGGAGATTATGATCAATAGTCAGTTGCGGATTCAGGGGGGGGGGCACAAGGCGCGCAGCTATATAGCTGACAACAGGCACACGACACGGAGGCTCACGCCCCCGCCGTTCCGCGGGCCCTGTCATGTAGGCATTTCTCTTCTTTTTTTCTTCTCCCCGTTCTCTCCACTTTCCCTTTCCCTTCCCTTCCTTCTCTCTCTTTTAGGTTTGCTGGGGGGGGGGGGGAGTTTCTTCGGCACCCACCCTTCTCGATCCACACGTTTTTTGGCGGGATTAACCGCAAGTGATCTATTTCCCCCTTCTTTTCACCCTTTTTTTTTTTTCCTTCTTCCTCTTTTTCGGTCCCTTTTAGCTCTCCTTTTTTTCCTTTTCATTCTTCTCTTTTTTTAGCGGGGGAGGCAAGGGCCTTTTGCCCCACCCCGATCCACAACTTGTTTAATCAAACTATGGAAATGCAAGGATTTATTTAAACAAATAGAACATTGTTATTCCTGGCTCATTTTTCCAGATTATGAAAGGGCAGAAAATGAACTTTCTAGAAATGTGATTTTCTCTTTGAAATTCAGATACTGCCCGCCTAATAACCTTTTGGTACCCTCTCTTCAAATTGTTTTTAATCATCATATGCGTAGAACATGCATCATATGAGTTGCATCAAAATAATGAAAGGGGATGATCTAAGCTTTACAAATAATTATGTGTCATTTATTATTTATAATTGTGATTAAGTTATGATAAAGCATCGATAATTCTCGGTTTCTTTTTTTTCTGGGACGCACTGCGTATACTCAGTCTTATCTCAATATATTTATGATAACATATTGCAGAATTTAGACTTTGACATTATCGAACATTAGTTTCCTTACATGTTAACTGGTATCAAGTACACGTATAGGTGTATTATACCATGAACCTAATACATTGTATTAGGTTCATGATTATACATACATTAGCTTTGCAAATTGCAACTAGCATTAATGGCAAACTAGCTGGAAATCAAGTTACATTTACTAAGGTAAAAAATCAGTGGGGGGGGGGGGGGGGGGGGGGAGGGGGTGTTAGGCTAGATGGAGATATGGTGCTTGGCTGGATGTAGTTAGTGCAAGTTTAAATGAAATCATGCTAAATAGGAGATAGATATGGAGTCCGGGATGGAGTTAATATTTTTAAGGCTCAATGGAGGGGTATATATACCGCCAGGCGCGTACGCAGGGGGGGGGGGGGGGGGGGGGGGGGGGGGGGGGGGGGGGGTGGTGTTTGGGGGTTAAACCCCCCCTTTGGTATTTTTACGTGTGTAAACCCCTCCTAAAAAAAACCTAAAACCCCCCCCCCTTTGGATTTTCTTTTTCTTTTTTTTCTTTTTTTTTATTATTAAAAAAAAAAAAAATTACCTCCATGGCTGACCTGAGAAAGGTGACCTTACCCCCCCCCCCCAACGAGCAAAATGTCAAATTTTCAAATTTCGAGACCAAAAAAAAAAAAGTGTCCTCTTACCCCCCCCCCCCCCCCCCCCCCCCCCCCCCCCCCCCCCCCCCCACTGAGCGACTTTTCGGCTGGCTGAGTCGTTGCGATTTTTTTTTTGGACTCCCTAAAAAAAAGTGTCCGCTTACCCCCCCCCCCCCCAACTGAGGGACTTTTTGGCCGGCGCAATTTTCAAATTTTCCTGAGTCGTTGCGAAATTTTGGACCTGATTTTAAACCCCCCCCCCCCCCTTGAAAAAATCCTGCGTACGCCACTGTATACCGCCCCTCCCTAAAATAAAATCCTAGCTCCGCGCCTGCATTAAAATATAGAGCTATGAATTTGACTAAGTTGACGAAATAATTCGTTTATTTTTGTCGTCGAGGAAAATGAACATTTGCGCATACGCAAGTACTAGTCCATATGAAAAACAATTTAGCCTTCGGCCCCGGGTTTATAGGGTTAAATGTGTAAATATTGGGACATTTAATTTTGTCGGTAATTGGTGGCTAGTTTTGTCGGTAATCGTTATATAGCCTCATACACCCCCTCCGGCGAATTTTTTTTCCGTACTCGAGAGGGCAAATACCCCATGTGCGCATGCGCGTGGACTTGTGATTTCTCTGCTACTTCCCATACGAAATGTACATGTATTCGCATCTACTGTGCACGATTCGCGTTCTACGAGTAAACGATGGCATAGTAGTCTTCAAACACAGACTCTGATTTGCCAGTTTGACAAAACAATTACGCATATATCGTGCGTAGCAATAGTACTAGTATTCAAGTCTGAGTAGTTGTATGATTCAGACATTTTAGTGCTTACAGAAATGCATCCCAAATTGAATAGCATGGTATAGTAGTCTGCAAGCACAGACGCTAATCGGACAGTTTGACAACATAGTGTCTTGAGTAGTGCTTTATATTCAAATATGTGTAGTTTTATGATTCAGACCTATACTGGAGGGAGGGCTAGAGAGAGAGAGAGAGAGAGAAAGAGAGAGAGATATGGAGAGAGAGAGAGAGAGAGAGAAAGAGTGTGAGAGAGCAGTGGCACAATACATAGGCCTACCATGGGGTCTGGAATCATTAAACTACACAAACTTGCATAAAATCACTACTCATCAATACACAATATATTATTATGTCCTTGCAGACTACTATACTACACTCTACACATTGAGATGCATTTCTAACGCACGCACCAGTAGGGTCTGAATCATACATCTACGCAGACTTGAATAAAGTACTTCTCAGCACACTACTAGTATGTTGTCAAACTGTCAGATTAGCGTCTGTGCTTGCAGACTACTATACCATTCTATACAAGTTGGCGACTTGAATAAAGTACTTCTCAGCACACTACTAGTATGTTGTCAAACTGTCAGATTAGCGTCTGTGCTTGCAGACTACTATACCATTCTATACAACTTGCAAGCTATTTTTATATGCACTACTGGGTCTGAATCATACAACTACACAGACTTGAATAAGCACATCGCGACACATACGCATATTGATTTGTCAAACTGGCAAATCAGAGTCTGTGTTTGAAGACTACTATGCCATCGTTTACTCGTAGAACGCGAATCGTGCACAGTACATGCGAATACATGTACATTTCGTATGGGAAGTAGCAGAGAAATCATAAGTCCACGCGCATGCGCACATGGGATTTTTGCTCTCTCGAGTACGGAAAAAAAATTCGCCTCCGGCCCCCCCCCCCCCCCCGAATAGCCCCTAGCCTAGCTGATAGGAGATATATGGACTGAATAATTAATAGACGAGAATTACACTGACTGAGTTCTTCAAAATGAAACATATTCTTGCTATCATATCTGATAATGGATTGTGTTTCAATTTTAATACACATTTTAGAAATATATCTCTATATGCGCGAGCAAACTTACCAAACTTATCTCTATCATTATCACTATCTCTATGATCATTATACACAGATTGGCGCTTCAAAGATACCGTAGGTACAAAATACGTAATGCAAGTGAATTGGATGGCTTTATTACGCACGTAATATTCTGTCAATATTTCATAATTAATCTTGCCTTTTTATACGCAGGACAAACCACGGAAGTAGTTGCTAGTAGATAAAAAGGTAAGTGCCGATGAGCAATTTTAGAATAAGCAGCTATTAAGTCTATGGTAAACTTGCACTAGGGTACTGCTTTCGAAAAGTCAAGAGAAGTCTGAACTAAATATTAGAATAAAGTTGGTGCCTGGAACTGCCAGTGCAGTTTTGCCCGCGCCTCTGGCCTGGCGAACTGTGCTGTGAGCCGTGTGAGAATGAGATTGAGAAGTGTCGGAGGCCGCGCCCCGAAGGCGAGGGCCGAGGGCGAAGTCCATGCAGTGCCAGGCAGTGTATGAGGCAGACTAATTAAGTAGTAATATATACCGGTATTCATGTTTTATAGAGTACTACTACTAGTGCTACTCCACTACTATGTCCTGATCGTGTGTCCGACTCCTAGCTGATGGCGATGCTTAGTTAGATAAAGAGTTCTGGTAATGCGATTGCATTGTGAAAGAAACGAGGTGGAATCGATCCAAAATTTGACTCCTATTTCCGGCATGGAGATACCCTACTAAAACATACCCAAAATGAAGTAAATATTCGTCAAATGTCCCCCCCCCCCCCCCCTTAATTTTTATTTTTTTTATTTTTTCTTTAAAAAAAGAGAGAAAAAAAAAATATTATGCTAGATCTAATGGGTTACCTAAAAAAATGACCTTGAACCCCCCCCCCCCCCCTTCCCACCAGAACGAAATGTTGATCGGTCAAATTTTCAAATTTCGGGACCAAAAAAATAAAAATATGTCCTCTTACTTGGCCCCGCTTAATCAGCGGCTGGCTGAGAGGTTGCGATATTTTTTTATTTTTTCAGTTAAATATAGTTTTATGGGTTTTTTTAAATTCCCTTTAGAATCAACCATGTCAAAATATTCAGACAACACACCTGAGAATCCGTCACCAATGGATGCAGCTATTCAACAACAAATGAAAGGAGGTCGCTACCAGTTCACAGATGAGGAGAAGCAGGCTTTACGTGAATGTCGCTTTGAGAGTTTCTGGTACCGGTCCCTCCCTATTGCCGCCTTTTCTGGAGGGTCCACACACATGCTTGTTCAGAGAGGATTGCTGAACCCCAGCAAACGCTTCGGTTCTTTCCCCAAGGTGGCCTTTGCCTCACTGTGTGGCTACGTCATTGGCAAGATGCTGTACGTGACGACATGTCGTGAGAAGTTCCTGAAGCTCCAAAACTCTCCCTTTGCAGAGATGATGCGGAAAGGCAGAGGGGGCATGTCGCCTTCCAATTTCGGAGGCATGGGCATACCGGGATATGGCAGCGAACCATCACCCGTGGAGGAAGAAATGTCTGTTGATGATGCCTTTAAACCAGACACACCTTGGAGCGGAGGATACGACCAAAAGTTGAACATGGATATAGACACCAGTCAAGTCAAAGGGATAGACAATACCTTTGATTCTGACCGCACGATTCAGGGTGAGGATGACGCGGCCGCTTCAAAGCGTGAATTTACTGGAACCTACGATGAGCTTCGAAAGCACCACCGAGCGAAGAATGCACAGCAGTACACCCAGGTCCTTCCAGGTCATTATCAGCCTAGGTCTCCACCTGCTGGTGCTCCTCAGCAAGATCAGCCAAGGACAAGGCCACAGCAACCGGTCCGAGATGATTTCAGTCTTGGTGCTCGCAACAGGAATAAAATGCAAAATCAGTATGGAGATTCATGGGAGAAAGAATGATGTTCATGTTATCAATACTGCTTTGATTCAGTACAATTCTCTTGTGAATGTAGAGAATGAGCTTCCATCATTAAATTAGTTGATTCTTTTTCTGCCTTTGTAGATATAAAAGATTGATTTTAAACCATCCATATATACCATTTTACAACTACAAACTAAGCAAAGACAATTCTCACTATCGCCATTTACCCCCAAATGCCCGGATGTTCGACTCTTGATTGGAATTTCGAACCACTTACAGTACTTCTGGTGTACAGTGAATGCACGTGGTGTGCGTATGATTTGTGTATTATGCATGCGCAATATACATGTAGGTATCCAAAAGCTTTTTCTAGATTCCTCTCTTGATGGCTGTATACTGGCTCCCTTTTATTTTTTATAAGTGCATGATTGCTCCAGAATAAATACTGTGGGAATCCCAATGCATGTCCATCATTTTGTAATTGTTCCTTGCCAAAATGTCTCGATCTTGCAGTGATTTCAAACTTGTCTTGCCTTCGGAGCAACTTTTCCAGGTCGCGCGCTGTGATGGATTTGTTCAGAATGTTACCCAAGTGGCAAGTAACGTCTCTCATCCTTGGATATCTCCAAATGTTATTTTTGTTATTTTCATGTGACCAGCACAACCATATTCCAACTGACAATCCAATTTATAAAAAATAGAAAATTGCTCACGGAAAAAAATCCAAAGACATGTACATGTAATTGAAAGGTAGCACCATACAGCAGGTCCATGGTAGCACCATCCAACTATTGCAATGCGTATAAAGACAGCTAGCCCTGTGACTACGGTATCGGCTGGCGTCGCACCGTGCCGCAAGGGCTGAAACCGGATTCGCACAGTACAGCCGCATGAAGTAGACCGAGAGCGACTAAGTCTCCAAGCTATCCCAGAGTGCATTAGAAATAGGAGCATGAGATGAACAATCAGCCTTTAGAGATATTGGCGATAGAGAGAATTTCTTACTTTTATTTCATTATTATTTTTGCCTGTTGTCCTTCAATGCAATTTTCGACCACTGGTTTTGCCGTAGTTTATGTTCATCAGCAAACTCATTATTTTAGAATAAATAGACCTAGAAAGGGCCATTTTGTTCACTATCAAATGCTTGAAATATTTCCAAAAAGTTTTGAGTAACATTGATTGTTCTCGCTAGGAAACTGAAAAGGTAAAGACCTCTCTTTGATGCAACTTTTCTACTATCACTGTTATTGTTCAGACAGTTTATATGAGAAATCAATGCAATATTCCCCTAAATTCATGCTACTTTCAAAAGGTTTGAGTTCTCGAGATATCAAAATGGTTAATTTGTATATTGTCAATTAATACAGAAATGGTGAATCGCAAGCTGAAATTGAATTTCTGTTCATGGCATGATGTCAATAGCAATTTTTGAAGTCTGAGTCCTGATAAAGTGTTAAAACAATATATTTGGTGATATTATCAAACAGGCTTAAAGGTATTCATTGGAAAATTACACTGTGTACTGGGTATTGTTTTTGGAAAGATCTGTCAATGGATTGAAGCTGATATACATGTACTAATGATTCAAATGATAATATAATAACAATATTTAGCTTTTATAAAGCGCTCAATACAAATGTTTCTAAGCGCTTTACAAATATACTATTACCCCGGTCATTGGATTCAGTGCTTGGCCGCTCACACTGTGTGCACAATCTCCACTCCCTGGGGAGCATTCCAGCCGTGCTAATGATAGATCACCTTCAAAACTGTAGCTCAGTGCTGTGACGTCCGTGTACATTGAATCCAAAAATAGGAAAATCTTAGTGAAATCCAGATTACCAAGAAAAATGATTTCTTCTGAAATCTTTACAGGGCCATGCAGCCTATCACAATTTAAGCAGTTGAACAAGATTTGGGTATTATTATATTTCTTTCTTAATGCTTTCAGTTTGAAACATGTTGAATAAAAATTATTATAAACTGTAATTGAACAACAGCAGCACCAACAATCTTTGATAAGATTATGTTGTTATTAATCATTTTTGTTTGGCAGCAGCCAGTCAGGATTGACTTTTATTACATTGTAACAAATAGCTTACATCCATAACATTTTCTTTTAGGGTGTTTGGAACTACATTGTACACATTTATCTACAACACATGTAAGCTAGACTCATCCATACTTTGATTTTCTAGAGATGTGAGTTGATCTAATCATTGGATCCCTGGTCTGGGTAAATGATGATTTGGTTCGATAGAGAGTCAGATATTTCTTTCCCAATCTTTCAGAAAGTGACATCAAGAATAGAATTGGTCCCAGACTTTCATAATCCAATCAGAAACATACAGTGTACATGTATACTCTTGACAGCTTTAAGTATTCGATAGGATAACAAGATAATGCCTAACATCCTTGCGTCTATCTCCTCAATTTATGAGAATTGAATATTAATTATGATGTGGTTACTTCCAGCGGTGTTTTACTCACTATGGTATCAAGCTGCTGCCAGTTGTTGCAGTTTGCAGAAATTAGTTCCCTTTCAAAATATCATCTCCATGTGATATCGATCAAAAACATAGTGAAGGATTGGTTGTAATGTATTCATGCCTATAATGGAAGTATAATTATTGCAGTTGTGATGGAAAAAATATTGAGAAATTATGCAAGATATATATTGTAAGTACTGTATCTCTAGTCTAAGCATAAGATGCTTCTTTATTTGTTGTACACTCATAAGGTTAGAAGAACATATGACCTTTCAGCCTTAAGTGTCTAACATAAACATCATATGAAAATTCAAACATGTTTGAAGTCTTTTATGTCATATTGTTGTATGAATGTATTTAATTTTACAGGATAGTGAAAAAAAGATATAAAATACATGTGCCGAATGGAAAAGATAACGAGATAATGTGATTAAAGAGAGGGAGAGTGAGAGAGAGAGAGAGAGAGAGAGAGAGAAAGAGGTGTGATTTTATGGTGAAGGGTGAGATTATGTCACTAAACTCTACGAGGGAGCATAGCAAACGGGGGAAATGCATTTTTGAAGTATTGAAATTTGATATGGTTATGAATTATAATTACAAGTATGTAATTATCACTTTTTGCACTATTTCAGCAATTTTGCTATGATGGGCAGAAGGTGGGGGGGGGGGGAGTTGTCAGATATTTGATGGGGGGGGGGGGTGAACCTCCCACCCCCGGCTATGCCCCTGGTAATAAGTGAAAGAGAGGAGGAGAAAGAGCAGACAGAGAGCGGAAAAATCTGGTCATTTTGTGGATATTTCGATAAAGGGTTAACAAATTCTCCTTACCGTTTCAAATCCATACTTTGATTTTCATAGTTAATGGAGTCAATTCAAGTCATTTTTCAAATCATTTATTTCATTCTCCAAAGAAACATTGAAAAATACAAAAATGATATACTGTAAAGGATATACAGATAAATTATTGATTACAAGAAAAATACAAAGGGAGGAGCAAATTTTTTTATGGGAATGTGGGGTTAACAAAAAGGGCAATTGGCCTTATAAACGTCAACCCCTTAGAAGGTATACACTGTATTGATTGAGAAAAGAAAAAAAGGGGGGGGGGAAGCAGAGAAAAACCTGAACCTCAATACAAAAGAAAACGAAAGGGAAGGAGAAGGGGAGGGGGAATACATAACAAAGTGCATTTACTAAAGCCTTACGTCATTTAATTTGAGATTTAGTACAATGATAAAAGATAGGATTTATATAATCGTTTAAAAATATTAATTTAATTAGATTTTTTCATATTAAACGGGATATCTTTCCATAAAACTGGACCTTTGAAAAAAACTGTATTTTTTTTAAACATTCGTACGAACTTTAGGAAAATGAAAATTACCAGCATTACGAGTTTCATGAGAATGTATATCATAATTGAATGTAAATTTACATGACATGGACCTTGGCAATAAACCCCTGGAACACATAAACATAAATATAGCAATATTCAAATTATTTATATCATAAACATTTAGAAGCTTTTATTGTTGGAAGATTGGCAAAGTGTGGGCATTGAACGGCGCATCGTAAATTATTTTAACAGCTTTCTTTTGTAGTACAAATAATTTCTTCATAAAATAATCAGAACCATTTGACCATGTAATATTACAATAATTAATGTGTGGAATAATCAAGGCATAATACAACATAATCAAAATATATCGTGAGAAGTGTCTTAATCGATATTTATTGCATTTTCTGTGTTTTTTTTAATTTATGGAAATCTGAATTTCCATCTTATAAGCCAATGATTTTCGTTTCTTTCATTTTTGTTTAAATTGTATTTAATTTTAAATGGGATCTTGTATTCCCGAAAAGTCGCCAACAAATTACTCTATGATGGATTAAAAATGGATAAGCTATAGCTCGTGTTTCTTTTACTAAATTTCTCGGTGTTTACATTGATAATACTATACATTCTCAGATTTTATTGAATAATAATTTGCCAATGTGTGTTTTGCGTGACTGCTAAAGCATGTATATGCTACTATGTTTATCAACTAGGGGACCTATGCCCTTAAGTCATAAATGACAGTAATGAGGATTAATGCCCCACAAAAGTGCACTAATATAGCACATCGACACGGTGTTGATCCTGGGGCCTCACAGTTACGAGGCCATTGCTTTGTCACTGAACCATGACTGTACGCAGCGGGGGCTAGGGTAGGGGGCAGTTTCCATAAATTAAAAAAAAAACAGAAAATGCAATAAATTTTTCAATAATTTATCGCATTCTACCCCGGTCCCCAACATAAAAAATACTTCTGTGTGCCCATGCCTTGAGCCATAATGCATGGCCGTCCAGAGGATTTTTTTAATGTTGGGGACCGGGGTAGAATGCAATAAATTATTGAAAAATTTATTGCATTTTCTGTTTTTTTTTTAATTTATGGAAACTGCCCCCTACCCTAGCCCCCCGCTGCGTACAGTCATGGTTCAGTGACAAAGCAATGGCCTCGTAACTGTGAGGCCACAGGATCAACACCGTGTCGATGTGCTATATTAGTGCCCTTTTGTGGGGCATTAATCCTCATTACTGTCATTTATGACTTAAGGGCATAGGTCCCCTAGTTGATAAGCATAGTAGCCTATACATGCTTTAGCAGTCACGCAAAACACACATTGGCAAATTATTATTCAATAAAATCTGAGAATTATTTTTAAAATAATTCCATAAATTGGGATAAAAAAAATATATTCCACCTTTATGAGCGACAGTGTGTTACAACTGCATGTATTCTGTATTTAAATACTGTTGTAAATAGTTATTATTTTATGATATGAACAAATAAAGTCCCTCGAAAGAGGATAGATAGAAGGAAAAAAATACTTTGATTTTCATAGTTAATGGACTCGATGAGGTTAAGAGTTTACCATTATGACTGAAGATATACAAATGCAATAGATAAACAAATACATTGCAACTTTAGTATTACTGTTGAAAGTAGAATAGTTTATTTCATTTCACTTTCTGCGATAAAGATTTCCGGATATTTCATGGTAAAGACACATAGACAAGACATGCACCTGTTAATACGAATCATCACAACCAAAATAAAATCACATTAACTATCACATTTATTTAAATATTTTGAAACAAATTCTGCATTTTCCGATTGATCTTTGGTGCATAACTGATTTGTTCTCAAATAGAGCAATCTGTACAAAAATCCTTATTTCTATAAGTTTATAAAAAATTGCACAAATAAAATAACCCTCCGATCTGTAATAGAAAATGCTATACACGATAAAACTATTTTTTTAATATTGGTTCTAAAACCTCATATGGAATAACAAACATTGTGACACATTTACATTTCTCATTACTGGTGCAGTTTACATTCATTTTGATACATGTATAATTATTTTATGTACACAGAAAATATTTTTTTTAAAGACACTTTTAATATGATATACTAATGTATAACTTCGGAATGATATTGTAAATCTATAACAAACCATTGGAATAGAAAGACTGTGGTATATATATTTTGGCTACTCGACCACTCTTGCGATGGTACAGAACGAAATAGTACGGGTTCTAGGCCTTAGCTGTTTCACAAAGTCTTTGACAAGTGTCGCAATTCTTTTACAAATCACCACACCGCCAACAATTTAAATGTAACGATTTCAGTAGCTTGTTATGGTAAATTGTTATTGAGAAGAAGTATTAAACGGCGCTCTGGAGATCTAGCCTTCTTCCGGGTGGAGTGGATTTTCACTATTTTGAGTTGTGGTACTAGCAATGAATATAAACATGGCGTAGGTTCACCAATTTCCTACTCATCCTGTCTTTTTAGCGGTACAGTACAACTTCAAGTCATTAACACCACTAAACCCAACCCTGGAGTGTGATGAGCTTGAACTTCAGAGCTCCTGCATGATAAAGTACTTTTGTATAACATCTAACATCAAAATCTAGCTTTCAAAAAGTACATATGTTCATGTATAAGTCTTATGTCTAAATTTAAGATATCAAATATTAAAATAAACATTCATCATTTTATTAGTATACTTAGTATGCATTTGTTAAACAGTGCCATGGGTGCATTCACTTGGCATAAATGAAGTTAAATAATTGTGTATATTGTTAGTAGGAAAATATATCATAACGGGTAGTTTGTTTCAGAGAAAGGCGGAAGAATAAATAAAATCAGCTTTAATTAAATACCAGTATTGAAAGACCACATTAATTTTAAACTGGCACATAGAAATTTTGATGAGCTAACCCAATGCATCATTAAAGAAGCAAACAGGTAGATGATTTCTTGTTCTTCTTTTCAGATGGAAAGGGCGAAGAAGGCTTTTTTACTGGTGATTTATCACTCTGCTTTGGTGGTGGTTGTTCTGCAGGTGGTGCTTCAGCCGGACTGTTTTGCTGCTGTGGAGGAGCTTGTTCATGTGGAGTGGCACTTCTCTCTACGGCTACAGGAACTTCCTCGACCGGCTTGGTGTCACTGTCACTGGCATCAGCAGAAGGTGGTATGTCTTTTGTCACGCTTGTCTCCGCGGTTCCTTCATCTTTTGGCGTAGGTGTTGGCGATTGTTCTTGACTTGTCACCTTCGTTTGATCCTGTTCGCCTGCAGGCACGACCTGAAGCGTCGGTTCCGCATGTTCCTTGATCTTCTCGATGAGTTCCTCAAACTTTTCATCTTCAAAGCTGGCCTGAGTGGTCTCTTTGGTGAAGTCGATGTAGAGAAGCTGGGTGAAGGTCATGCTCATTGGTCCTTCCGGTGGCCATGTCATCTCTTCTAACAACAGGGGAATGATGGGTTTACGGAGTGCGTCAGAGAGACTGACCTCTCTCCTGCAGTTGGCGGAGAGGGAGTACTTAGGAGTGACGCAAGAAACGACAACCTGTCATATAAAATCATATATTCCTTTCATAATTTTAAGATATAGAGACAAATTTTATATTTTGTTTCTTACACTGAAATATTCTCACAATGGAGAAGAGAAGAGAAGATCTGGCCTTTAGGCATTGATAATTTTTGATCAGCATGCTACCGAAGCTCATGTTTTGATTAGGCGCCTATACAATCTAGAAATACATTTAAGTACACTTATGACACGGTTTTTGTAAGAATTAGAACTGAAGTATGCGTCAGTCCAACTGCTCTTAGCCGAAATATTTAATCGGTGACTGCTAGTATGTGAAACCTATGCTTATCAATAGGGAAATGGTTTTACTACCACCCAATCCGTGCGTTCTTTTCCAATTAACACATACGACGTATTTTAGTTTTTGAAGAGGAACACGTGAAAGAGTAGTATTCATCTTTACCACGTGGTAGAGCACTTATACATTACCTTTGCGTTTCTCACTCCTTTATCAATCTTGGAGTAGAGTGGATCCCCACCTCCCATTTGATTGATATCCAGCCAGCAGTGGTATCCCAAACCAGTGAGACGCGAGAACAGTCTCTTAATTTCAGTTTGCTTGTCCCATTGGTAAGAGATGAATATAGATGGAGCTTCGGTTGACTCCTGATATTTTTGTTATGCAGAAGAGAATACAAGAGAAACACATTTAAAAATTATGAGAACAAGTCGATATTTATTCACATGAAGGATTACAACTATGCAAATAGTTAATATAAACAAATTGAAGTAGAACTTCGATTAAGCGACAACACTAATGGACGAAAAAAAAATGAAAATGCAAATATGTAGGCCCAGTCCAACTCTCTGTCTTGAGACTACCCGATTATGTGGTAAACTCATAATCGTCTTAAACCACAGCTCCTATCTTATTCATAGTAAGTAAAAGCTTCTCACCATAGTTTGGTTCTGCTGCGCAGGTGAGCTTTTTGCTTCCTCGGATAATTTCTTAACAGTGACGGGTTTATCTTCCACCTGAGGAATCCAATCACGATATTCTGTATAAAGAAAAACGTTACGTTGATGATTGCTCATGAGTAATGATTCAATCTAATAATTTTTAGATTTGCTGTTTCTTTTGAAGCCTTAGAATTTGGAAATTGCAGTACAATGAGCTTATAACTAGAAACAGGTTCAAGTATGTTTTGGCACATGCTATTATAAAACGGTTTGGTATCTTTTTATTACGTCTTCAACAATTTCCAATGATTCACATGTGTATTGATTAAATAATGCACACACCATACCACACCATATCCACAACCTCATTAGTTCAGAATAGTATTATTTTAATCAATTTGGTTATGAATGGCTTATCTTAAGGTATGGAACGAATGATAGAAGCTGTAAATTACAGTAAAGGCACATCCAAAGATTTAATGGAACTATCTTTTGTTCTCGTACCATCGGATATCATGCTTTCATCAGGATTCGCATGATAAGAAATCTGTCCCAAAAGTTCCGAAAACTTGGCGTCCTCCCAGAATTTCTCTCCTCTCACGTATTCCTTGTCGTTGTAGAACTGGATGTAGAGAAGCTGTGCAAACAGCATACTCATAGCTCCTTGAGGAGGCCACTGGGTATGGTCTATGAGGATAGGGATGATTGGTTTGTTCAGCAGGTTGGCAAGGTTCACCTTTATAACGAGAGAATTAAACCAAAGGAAATGAAAGAGAAGTCAAAGCGATTTGCATTGGTCTTTAATCTAGCTAGCCAATATTTCAATTTGCCAGCTTATTCTCAGTAAGCATATCATGAATATTAAAGTTCTGTGTTTACTTCTGACTCTGAGCAGATTGTGTTCTTTCACTATGAGCACGTTAATCATGGATTTTGTTGAATTTGTGTAATTTCTAACTGTTGTAAAATGGTTTGGCGCGTGAGTTTGTCTCGGTGGCAGCGGTGGGATATACAATATGAATAGTGAGTTCGAAGCATTTGACTCGGTCCCAAATCACCTCTGACGATTCAAATTTCATGTATGGCATTGAATTTCAGAATCTACAATGCCCAGTTGCTGCAATAGATATTCTGTAGGCAGACTAAACCTCATCATTAGTATAAAATATAGCCCTTTAATAAGTTCCAGGGTTCTATTGAATCTAATTAATCATCTTATGACACTGTATTCCATGAGGTATTGGACTGAAAAACTGAAACCATGCAAAATTTGATGCACGATGCCACATGACAAACTTTTCAGCGTTCTCTGTCTTACCTCCTTGTTGCAATTCTCCGAGTTTGAGTATTTCTCCGTCACCATGCAGAGTACCAGTTTGGATGACCTCATACCCTGGCAGATCTTAGCAAACAACTGATCTCCTCCACCCATCTGACCAATGTCCATCCAGCAAGGAAACCCAGCCATCTCTAGGTGCTTCTTGATGGCCTTCACTTCGGGCTGGTGGTCCCACTGGTAGCTCAGGAATACCGTTGGAGGCTTCTCTGACTCATCCGGAGGGGCCTGAGGCACTAGCAGTTCTGGTCAGTAGAAAGTTAATGTTGATTTTAATAATACAAGTTTCTACTCGTGATGTATAAAATTATATTTAGACCATAGAAGTTCGTTCGTCGCCATATTTTCTGTTCCAATAAATGGTACATTCAGTGAAACTGTCATCTCTGGGGATACCACGACAATTCCCATGCATCCGGCGGTGGGCAGATGATCAGTATACGCATATTTCTAAGCTTCCGTTTACAAATGACTGACCACCAAAATGAAAATCAGTTTATACAATCATGCACCTGCAAGGAAATGTGTTGAGAGGACTCTCTCTTGAATCCCTGTCTCTGTAATATATTCCATATATTCTAAAAGGCCTGGGATGAAATTCTGGTAAGGCTACGACGTTTTTTAAATATTCTGGTGTTGAGGTAGGGCCTTGTTCTAATATCAGACAATGAATTTGATCTAGTTTCTCTAAAATTCTATCTAATCTGCAAGTCAATCTTTCGTCTGTGTCCATCAAATTTTGTTCCAGTTGAGTAGTTCTTTGGTGCATCATTCGTTGTTCATTCCGGATGGTTCTAAGGCTTTCTCGTACAAACGTTTCAAATCTTAACTTGGTTCTTGAATCCTGACCAATCCCTGAAATAAATATCAAGTTTATTAGTTACCAAGTATTACGTGTCTAGGGACATTTAAACCTTGGAGTAAACCATTCTTCACCCTCTGAAATGTGAAAATCCTTTTCTATTTTGTTGGTGTCAAAGGGATATTCAACGTTTATTAGAACTTTCACATTGTTTTAATGTTTCTCTTGCATGGATGTATGGCTAGGACAGATGAAGTAGGCCGCATTTGTAGCAGGAAATAGTTTGACTAATCACTTAGAAGATCTAAATATTTCTAGGTCAGTCTTTACTTGTGTTATAAAGCTGCAAATTACTTCTCTCTATGTGAATCAATGTTTCGATAGAGCTAAGCATCGATGAACTGTTACAGATAGTGGTCAGCAGTTTTAGTGAAGATGATACTGTGTATAAGTTGGCCGACGTCTGTTTCAAAATGAATTGAGTAAAATCCAGGAAATGCGCTTCATCGGTTTGGTATATTGCAAATTTTAGAAAGTGTCCGACCATTGCGATTTGGATGGTTTCAGTGAGACATCTAACCCTTTGATCTTTGGAGAACACACAGCCTATATTCTGATTCCCAATTGCCAACTTTAAACAAGTTAGGACAAATCTTTCAAACCTGCTTCTTCTAGAGACTGCGTGATGATTTCTGCCGCATCAGTTCTTCCCATGTCTTCCAGCGCACTGAGTATGGCGTAGGTGGCGTCACTGCTCTTGTGAGTCGTGTACCATTCAGCCAGGATAGCCATGGTAGGATCAGGTGACAGGGCCCAGTTGCGAATGTCTTCACCCGAGTAGCCGAGACGAACGGCCAAGAATCTCCAGTCATGCTCATGCTCGGGGTTTAGCAGCTTTGAGACGTCACGTGACCATTTTGGTGCGTTGGTGATCGTCTGCAATTTTAAGAGAGTTCAAAGATTGCTTACTCCTTCGACAATATATGACATGAATATCAGTATTGTGACTTTTGACACATCAGCACAAATTAATTTGATATGACTCAATGGGAGCTAGAAGTCTGTAAGAGAAAAAAACGTTTTTATCATCATCAACCTTTATTTACCTTGTGGTCAATCTCATCCACTTTCTCCACCGTCTCGTCCACGACCTCCTTCAGCTCATCAAGTCTATCACCCTGATCGTTGACCTCGTTCTTCACGTTCTGAATCTCGTCACCCTGCTGGGCCACGGTCTCGTCGATTCTTGTGACGTCGTTTTCCGTGTTCGTCACGCGAGAATCCAAGTCGTCGATGTCTTCTCGCTGCTCTGCCATTTCTTCACTGAGGCCATGGAGACTAAAAATGAGATTCAAAGGTGTATATCATGATAATGTTTTTTTTTTCTTCTAAATTCCTTGGGAGTTGCTGCAGCCTCTATGGTATGGCAGATAAAAGCATAAATGTCTCTCTGGAAACGTTACAATTCATGTTGATCAAGGGATGCGAAATAAATAATGGCTGCCTCAAGTGCTTGACCATTGCATTGGATCAAATCATTCACCAGTGCCCGTACTGAAAAGCTTGCTAACAATCATCAGAAGTCTTAATCATCTCACAAGTTTTACTCATCATGCTAATCAAGGATCATATTGACGTACCTTCCGTCATCCAGGAAATCTATCATGGACTGGACCATGTCTGGTACGCCCATCTGCTGACATGTCTTCAGTTTCTCAATCTGCGGTCGATATACAGCTAGACATTCCTTGTGTGCCTGACCGATCCTCTTCACCTCCATTAAGATGACGCTTATCCACATTGGATCGTTGCTGTTCATCTTGCCGAAAAAGATCTTTAAACACCTCTCTGCCTCTTTCTGAAGAAAGCAAAATAATACCCACAATCATAAAGAAGTTAGTTTTCTGTGAGCAGGGGGTGTGACTTATTCTCTCAAAATATAATGGATTTTTTTTTGTTAACATGATTTTATTTTCGGCTTACATCATGTACCTAAAACCAAATCTCTCTCACTTCATTTTTGAAAATCATTCTTGTAAACTGAATGTTATTCAGATATCGGGCTGCTTTGTTCAGTATTTTTGATAAACCATTCCATCAAATATAATGAAAACATTTTTTGTTTAAATCGCCTCTATGATCTCAAACCATTTACGTGTCTGCGATAATAAGTTCTTCTGCGATAATGGTTGTTATGCATTCCCGCATTTGTTTGTGTTTTGAGGGGAGGGATTTGGATATTGGTCCATTAAATAATGGTCTATGCCTAGCAGACAGAAAATACAGCAGTTTGTAGAAGTTTTTAAAAAAAAATTGTCTTTTGAGCCCAAACGTTATATCAGGAGAGCAAAATATCCCCAAACGAAATAGACTGATTCCAGGTCTATCGATGACTACCTTGTTAAGTCGGCCAATACTGGCAATAGTCTTGCAAGCGGAGGCTACAGTGTCAGGATTCTGTTCACAGGCTTGAAGACACCTTTCCCAGGCTTTAAGACACCTGTCTAAATGCTTGACAAAGTGTTCTGCGTGATCAACTGAGATGTTGGCCAGAGTCATGAAAGCCATGGTCGTTACAATGGAGTCATAAATATCCTCAAACATCAGGTCAATATGTGGTACCAAAACCTTGAACGAAACAACATGGATATTAGGCAGGGTATTATTTTGTCCTATTATGTATGTTCATAGTATTAATCTTCGAAATGTTCATACATCAACATACGCCTAAAGGGGCTTTCACACCGGGCCTTGCGTAGAGTTGCGTAGAGTTGCGTAGTTTCGAATGCTTTAAAACACCTTTTTTTTTTATTCGTTAAACATGTTTTTCTCTCTCTAAAAAAAAAAAACGGTAAAAAAAACCGACCTTAATTTCAAGACTGTTGGGTCGGTCGCAAAGGGCAATACAACATTTCTTTTTGTTACGCTTAAAGGCGATGCAATAAAGTATTGCAGAAGCCCCTGTCTTACCTCTGCATTTTTCTTGCAAACGTCATCAAACAGCATGTAGAGATACATCTTCTCAATGCTTCCCATATGTTCCATCTTCTCGAAGATGCGGTCTACTCTTGACAAAACCACTTCTGGTTTGTATTGGAATATGCTTTTCAAAGCCACTGTGTACCAAGACATAAAAAACAATTTTTGTTTGTTTGATAACCTAAAAATTTCACTTCCACATTCTTACACTGTGTGATCCACAAACTCCTTATGTTTCATTGAGTGTTTGAAATGGTTTGTATTCCAATAAATTAGAGATACATAACACCATCTAAGCAGCAGTGAACCAAGGCGTGTTGTGGACTCTCCTTACAGGGACTACCGGTGTGACCAGCTGTCAACAAAATACATCGGTTTAGCGCTGAATTACTTATTCGAATTCATAAGTTAGCTTTAAACGTGTTTGCGAACACTCTTTTCACATTCCTTCTAAACAGCTATCATGCAGTTTCTGTTACTCCTGTTGAGACGAACACTGCGCTTGAAATCTCATGGGTTACTCATAATGTTCAATGGTAATTTAAATATTATATTCTTCCTATTGGGAAACTCGCCGGCCGTGTGGTTACCATCCTCTACATTAATGGTACTACTCTGACACCACCCTATGCCCTATTATATCCCTTATCGTAAGATTGTTGCATTAGGTGTGTACACAACAAGAAAAAGAATAGTTTGACTGTAAAAGACGTTTCCTGCCGACTAGATCGAAATAGTTCATTTTTATTGATGACGTCACGCATAGTACCTTTTTTTTCCCTAGGGAAAAAGGGTACTATGCGTGACGTCACAATACAAAAACGCATATTCTTGAACTATGCGTTTTCCCAGCGAGCGCGTACATGATTTCAAATGCCTCTGCGCGGTCAACTCCCGCGGTGTCACGGCGCTAGCTCAATCCATATGCAATTTACACTGTGCGATAACTGCAATTCACTTGCGCCAGCTAAACATTTTTACATCCTTCAATGTTTCATTTGAGCCGTGCAATTTTCTTTATTTCTTTTCGATCTGAATGTAGATGTGAATGTGAGTATAAGGTTCATGTTATTACAGAAGTGTACAAGGAATAATACAGATGGAAGGGATATAAAACAAATATAAATTGACTCATTCTCGGAACAAGCTAAACTATTCGCACTCAGGAACATCATTAGTACTTTTCTCCCTCGGGCTGATGGCCCTCGGGAGAATAGTACTAGTGATGTTCCTTCGATGCGAATAGTTTCAACTAGATCCTCGAGTGTCATTGTATATTTGTATACTATTCCCTCACGCTGAACTTAACCCTAACCATTGTAAGATATCATAAGGGACAGGGGTCATAGGTACTACTGGTCCATTGATGATTTGATGGTTTATTCCACCTGACTGCTCAGAAAGAAAAAGGTGTGTATGCTTGTCCGGACGCTTGTAAACAACCAGGGGACCGATGGCTTGAAGTCCTCTCCAAGGGACTAAGTAATGATGAGTAGTGCCTGACTAAAAAGCACTAGCGAAGCCACTTGAATACGAGACCACTGCTCTAACACTTAGCTGTTTCGCCCCTCAGTTAGATCTTACCAAAACGATGGACCTACGAGATTCTAAGGCGCCAAAGGTAAAAACAAAACGAATACTACTCACTACCAACGTCTGTTTTTTCGCACCAGATATCTTCACTTTCCAGATAGGCATCTGCTATGTCATCACCATACGGAGCCAGTAGTTCACCATTCTCGTAGACAGTTCCTATGGCATACGCGGCCACGTTCTCTAAATCTTTGACGTCACCCAAGAGCAGCTTCACCACGTAAGGCAAAAGGTCCTTGAAGATCTTTAACTTTTCAGTATTCTAAAGAAGATATCGATAAAGCAAAATGTATTTTCATACCAGATTGAATTATTTTACATTTGTGGTAGTCAAGGCTTGTACTTTAATTTATAAACCTATGAATAATGAACAATATAATTGTCACAATTATTTCATGAAATGTGGTAAGGAAAAAAAGATTCAAAGTTTATGGGCCACAGTGTACTCTGAGGTTTATATGCTGAGTACACACTATTTTCAAAAAGACAGCGCGTGGCACATAGAGGCCATAGAGACTCACCATGTTTGAACGCACAAGATTATGACCACAGACGTGATTTTATGGGGATCATGTTCCCATGTGAAAAATACGCACACAGTATGTTCTCATTATCACTGTGGTCTTCGAAAAAATCATAGGCTGAACGCATTACAATGTGGTCACAGAGAAAATTACGAACATTATATGCTTGTAATGTGAGTACACTACATCACGGTATTTTTTTACAGAATTGCTTGCAACACTGTGGCCCTAATTGATAGATCACAGTGCGATAAAATTTGCATTATGATCACAGCGATAGTTGTGAATCTTTGCATAAGATCAAGAATATTATTCACAAATATGTCATGTGTCCACACCTTCACAATATCTTCATTGGGACATGGTATTTGAAAATGTGGATTTGAATGGATTCCCTATCAAGCGCTATTCAAATGTAATTATTATTACAGCGTGCCAACGTGGGTAAGCTTAGTTTGTTTACACTGTATTCATTTCACACATATTCACACTCAAAATCAACTTCATAGACTTACCCTCAAGATGAATCCAAAAATGATGTTACAGAGAATATCCCCATGCACTGAAAGGGACCAAACATGATCGCTTTCAAGCTCCTGGTCCATGCAATATTCCATGAGACTTTTTAAATGAGGCACGCTAGATTTACTGAGGTTAAACAAGATAAAATATATAATTATATGGCATAGATGTTTATACAAACAACTACACCCTCCCCTCCAGACTACATCGACGACATAAAGTTAAAAGGACGATCCCTTTTCTTTCACGGCTTCCTAGATACGACATGATTGTTCCTCCAAAAAACATCCTCTCCGGGACCTAGTTCTTGCCCCTGCCCTCTCTTTCTCCTCTCTAGCTCTTATTTTTCTTTCTCTAGCTCTCTCTTGATTTCATTTCATTTGATTCGTTTTATCTTTCCACAATAATGATAAAAATGTTGGGGATTTATATAGCGCACATATCCACCATACATGGTGCTCAAGGCGCTCCAACTATTACTCCAGCTCTGCAAGCAAGGCAGCCGATTTCGGCGCTCACAGCATTCAAGGAAATCCTGCCTTCGGGTACACATTTAACACCTGGGTGGATAGTGGAAAATGTAGATTAATATCTTGCCAAAGGACATTAGTGCCGTGGCGGGACTCGAACCGCATATACTCGAGATATATTTCGACATAATACAATTATACGTTGTAAATCTGTAAATCAAACGAGCATGATATGAACAAGTCGACGCACAACAGAATGCAATATTAGTATATCACTGTCTTCATGAATTATATGAAAGCGTTAATTACCCAGCATGTTCATGGAGATTACTTATAACGGTCCCTGCTAAGCATTTGTGGTCAAGGTTTTCTTCCAAGTCGATGTCGTCTCGTCGTAGCCACTTGTCAAAGGCTTCGAGGATACCAGGAATCAATTTTTCGTTACCCTGGTTAAAAAAAAACACGAATAGGTCGCCGAGCATGTCAGCGATGAGGACATTAATAGTGCAATTCAAGTGTAGGATGCATGGTTCTGTCCGTACGCAATCGCAACTATTTTCGAAACATTAATTCGGGGACAATTTTAATACCTTATTGTACCGTATTGCCTATACAAATCATATTCGAATTACGTAATGCGTTATTGTCATGTCTGCACATTTCTCAATAGGTGACGCACAAGGCCATTGCATTTTCGAAAGTAGTTGCTATCCTACTCTTAGCTGGGGGAACACTGATAATCACAGTGGTAAAAATTCGTGCCCGATAATTTAAAAAAGTTATTAGTAATTTGGAGCTTTTGAGTAACGGTCAAGTCCCTCAAGTACTGCAATAAAAACCAAAACAATCTATTGAAATTTCACTAAAGGAATATATGTACCAGCATTGATAAAGAATAACAGCGAGGGAAAACACATGATGAATGCTCACGAATATACCATGAATATTTTAGTTAAACAAGCTGGAACATTAGAGTGAGTAATGATGGTAGGCGGGTGAGGAAGTCTTTGCCATAAAATAACAAAATTATACAGAACATCTTGTTCGAAACAGTAAAATTGCCGATAAACAAATAGGTGAAGGAAATTATAAAGCTGTAAATAATTTTATTCTTTAATATTGAGATCTATTTTTGGAGAAAAATGTATGTTATTTACCTCCCATTCCATCTCGCTTGTTTCTACTATGGCGATAGCCACCACAATGTGCATGTCTGAACCGCTCTTGATGGCTGACGAAAGAAGGCGACCGAAAGATGGAGCAACTTTCTTGATCATCTTGTCACGACTGCAGCATTAGTGAAAAAGGGATCAGAGAAGGAAACATAGACATTAAGGAAGAAGAGAGTATTAGAAGAAGGAAAAAGAGAGAATAGATCAGTTTGGAACGGTGGGGAATTTTGATTAAAAAGGGAATAGAGGATAAAAATAAACTTGAAAAAAAAAATTAAGTGACTGAAATAGTGTTTAATCAATGTTTCGTTAGAGTTCTACAGGTCCATTTGATTGATTGTATTTTGTGGTAGAAACAATATGCTACACATATCCTATCAGTATAAAATATAAATGGTGAAGTAGTCTGGACTCAGATTCCAGACGAATCAGGATCATCCGAATTTCGAATTTGAATCCATCGTTGGTTATAATATTGTCGTAAATGTTTGGGAAATTGGCGGCAATGAAACATAATTATTAGCTCCTCTTGCCGTGTAAATATTCCCACGTCGAAGGGGAAAGATTCCCTCTACCAGTGTTTGCCAGATCCTCAAGATTTCTAACCTGCAAGCTTCGATCATCTTCTCGACTGCATCCTTGAGTGCGCGTCCCTGATTGTCCCAAGAGACGTGTTTTTCGTGAATGTTTTCCTTCTCTCGGTCAGTGGGCTCCCATTCTATGGGTTCCTCCAGGATTCGAATCATCTGCTCAATGGCCTCCTCATGACCCTAACAGACACGTGCGGGCAGACCAGTTTTAGTTACTGCATTCTTACACCAACCCTTGTGGCCGATATGTCGTGGTATTAAAGTGGTTCATGCACTTGACTCTTAATCTAATGGTTAATGATTCGATCCTATCCCAACACTAATGTCATTTGACTAGTTATTGATCCACATTTGCCACTCTCCACCCATATGACATTGGTAACCTGATTAATTGCTAGGGTAATAATAACTAATAACTACAAAGCCCGCAGGAAGAGAAGTTTTAATACTGATGTGGGTCGCTTGGGTACAAAAAAATTATAACTTTAATTAATATTATTATTATCATTATTATTATTATGCTTTTCATTAGTTTTTGTTGTATTGTAACCAGTTTCCAGTTTGCACCGGCCGATGTTATGCTACCCCTTCCATTTGAGCTCATAGAGCAAATTCAATAGCATTTGATGAAATAGGTCAACGACTCTTTTGCCCAAAGGACGATTCAGCAGCCCCACTGTTCGTCGGTTTGTCAATTTTTCGATTGAGCCACAAGAGATGAACTAAAGTATAAGAATATCTGTACTTAATAAATAAATGAAGGTGCTTAATGGCTAATGTTTTCTTTCTAAAGGGAATACTTCCTAAGCATGCAATGCAATAATATCAATGTATTTTTTTCGGTCTCTGAGTGGTCTGGTGTCAGTCACGTTGATGTGATTGGGGTATAAAGTGGGCTGGATGAGAAGTTTAAAAGAAATCGTTTACAGGCATCTTAAACATTAACTAGCTAGTGACCGTGTATATAGGAAAGAAATCAGAAAATGATTTTCTTACCTTCCACCTAACCACTGCTTTCTCGTCAAATATTTCCTTGGCCAGTTCGTAGTATTTCTGCGTCTTTTTCTTCATATATTCGATGCATAGTTCAACCATAAGTTTCTCATGCTTGTTTTTCCTGTGAAAAAGTGGAAATTGTATTACTTAATTCGGTGATTGGTGACTTTAAAAAAAAAAAAGTTTATTTAATGGTGCTCCAGAAAAATGATTTGTATGTGATACACAATTCCTTGGTCTGATTCTATTACCTGTTACAATTTATTAATTTGCAAAAGAAGCTAATAGCCTTTTAATCAATCGCAGGTTATGGGATTACCCTCGCTCTAGCTTGGTTTTCGGGCGTTGTTTAGAGGATGCGGGCGTGTGCGTGAGTGTGTTGCGCGTGTGCGTGCGTGCGTGTGTGTGAGGGGCAAGGACGTTTAAATAGGAGGTAGCTGTTGCTGGTCATATTTCGTAACTAGGAGCAGGTGAAGAGCAATTCTTTTCAGGAGACATAATTACGTATGCTACAACAGACTTTCAAATATACTGCCATAAAAAGGATTAAGAAAGCTTACAAATTATTCCTCATCATTACCAGAACTCAACCTTGTCTTCAAAGATTGAAAGACAATACAAATATTAAAGGGAAATCCAAATTTTGAATCACTTTGTTTGCATGAAAGCAGAAAAATAAGAGAAATAGGATAGCGAAAGTTTAAAAAAAATTAATCCGACGAATACTAAGAGTGTTATGAATGTTTGACTATGCGAGTTTCAAATTGGAGTTTATTCAATGGAACGTGACTGGACACGGACAAACCTCCCGTTTGTCGTGTACATTATGATTTTTCTCCTGGGTGCCTTCTCATTTCGGGCACTCATGCTCAAAATACATTATTGATTTCCTATTGTTATAGCTCCTCTAAAAGGAAAGACCCTCATGAGTCTTAACAGCTTTTAAAAAAAAAATCGACATTTAAGTCATTTTGTGTGTTGAACTTTCACAAATGGGAAAGATGTCTGACACTTGAACTGCCCATACGTGATTGCAAATTTCAAAAGTTCTTAACTTTCTTATTTCCCGTTCGCTTTTATTCACACTTTGACCAACCTGCTTCTCCACTTAGTCTTCTTTATTTAGAGTATGGTTGCATGGATTTCCATTTCAAGATTGAAAGATGAAAATTAAAATTATTGACTTACGCTGCCTTGACTCTGTCTATGATGTCGTCCATGAGTTCATACTTGCAGGCCTTGGCGAACTCCTTGCTGTCATCTTTCTTAATTTCCTCACTAACTCGAGGAAGGTACTTGGCAGGGTCCACTGACTTGTCCTTCATCTGTTTCTGCAGCTCGTCATATTTTTCAGCCATGGCTAACTTGAAAAGCAATGTGACAGAAACATGACACACATTAATTATATAGAGAAAAGTAATAACCCTGTGCCTATACTGACGTAACATCAGCAGCAAATAGCGACAGGAGGCAATTCTGCAGTCATTTATTTGTATCACTTTCCGTGATTCTTGAGTCAAATTATGTAGGTATGGTCTTACGTTGGGAGATGGTTTTGAGGGAGCTTGAGCTACCCCACCCCTCCTCCTCCTCCTCCTACCGCAGCCTTATATTCTGGCAGCAGACACTTCATAGTTAGAATCGACCAGGTGAGTTGTTCTTTTATTATTAGGCTATATATTTCGTTATCTAGATAATCCTAGTATATTATTTCGTATAAATTATATCAATTATAAGTGCCAGAATTGTAGGCCTAGGATAAAATGAAGTGTTGAAAATAGACTTACCGATTCCACAATAATGGCGAACGAGGAAAATATATGACCACTTTAACTATCAGTGTTCTTGACAAAGGTCAATAAATGTAGAGTTTAATGCCTGTAAGCTTTATACACTTTAGTTCACCGAACTTCAATACAATCAATATTAATGATAATATTAATGATTTGAGCTTGAAAACACAAGAACTATGGGACAACACAGAGTGGGCTTTTTACATTGTGCCTCAAATAAAAGCAGACTAACCCGGATGTTTGTTTGATTGACCTCCATCAGCAATAATATTCACACGTTATCCCACCATACCGCAGTGAATATTAGACATGAGAAAAATATGAACCCAGAAATAATCAATAACAATAGCAAGGTCAGGTTTCATTGTAAAAACTACGTAAACGAAAATTATTCTAGACTTGGGACATGTGCTATTGTAAGAAACCGGAGTATTTTTGTGTGTCTGTTTTATACTGGTTTGTTTTTGCTTTTTGAAGGAAATTACTTTTGTTCTCATTGCATGCAAACAGGGCTCCCAGTTTGTGACCTGCTCTGTAATACAAAGACTGAAGTATGTTTGCAATTTGAAAGGAAAACAAAATTAAGAAATGTTTATTTGCTCCAAATTATGAGAACAAAATGTTACAGCTTTTCCCCCTTTAAAAACCCAATTTGATGAAGTCATATTGTATTTGTATGCCTAACTGACCAAAGTAATTTAAAAGGAAAATCAATCTAATTTATCTGGTAAAGTATTGTTACTGACATTTACCAAACAAGTATAGAACGGCTGTTTGGAAAAACAGCTTTATAGGCCCAAACAGCTTTTGTACAGTCATTTAGGGCACACTTTTATTAATGCTCGAAATTCCCGGATTCTATCAAATAGATTTTGTTACCAGTATCTTTTAACCAACATGTACAATACCAGCTCGTCAGATATTTTCTCCAAATTCTGTATCAAGTTTGATTTTGGCAAGCTATCAATATTGTCAAATGAGCACTAGATTTCATTTTATGATGCTGTTTTGGGGGATGAGTGAATGATCAGTCGTTTGTTAATATGTTAAGGGCCAGAAGGGCGGTATCTTATATACTCTAGCATAGAGTTATCATCCTTCTGTTTCTCATTGGGTGATATTGTCTTCCTTCCTTCCTGACAATCCGGATGTGTTGAAGAAATTAATACACGTAGTGAAACTATCAGGTCAAGGGCATTGCTAACTGGATAAATTTGTTACTCTCTTGTAAATGTGTGCTTTTTTTAAAACTTAGATTGTACATGATATTTTCTTCTTCTTCTATTTCCTGTATGTGTGTGTTCAGGAGCAGACTTTCATATAAAGAATCCCTCCTTTCTGCCTATCCCAAAATATGCTCTCATAAATTGCCATTGCACTTTTTTATCACTATCTCATTCTTTTGTTATCATTCCATTCTGTATTGTAGGTTTTCAATGTTTTTATGAAGTGTGTTGAATAAACTAATTTAATTTTTAATCGACATGTCGAGGCTAACACGAGTTATTATTAAAAGTGAAACCATGAACGCGTAGCCTTCCAGTCATTACGAGGGTACTGGGGCTGACCGGAGAGGGGTGGAGGAGTGTTGGGGGGGGGGCTTCTGTTCCCGTCCCTTTCGTCATCTTTCACTTTCTGTTCTATCGAACGTGCAATATTACACTCAAAAAGTTAAGTGTTCAGTCTCCATTTAAACAAATGCCAGGAAGCAGGGGCGTAAATCCCGGGGGGATGGGGGGGGGGGCTGCATCCCCCCCCCTGGCTTGAAGGAGGGGGATGGCCTGTACAATCATCCCCCCTGAGATTACCCCCCCCCCCCCCCCAAAAAAAAAAAAAAAAAAAAGAGAGAAAAAAAGGAAGAAGAAGAAGAAAAAAATGTGATGGTTTCACTTTCAGCATTAACTTAACTTAAGGGACGAGGGGATGATATTTTAGGGCTGCAATGCATGTGATGTTTGTGTAGGTCTATGAATGAATTAATATGTTGTTTATATTGAATGAATTGAATTGAATTCAGATAAATAGGGCTTAATAACAGTCGAAAATGGTGCAACGAATCGTCTTCTTTCTATAATATTTAAATTAAACGTCTAAGTTTTTCGCGCGGGAAGGGGAAACTCAATTCAGACGAGAATCAAGAGTAGAGAACAGTACACCCAATCGTCTGCTTTCTCTAATAATTTAAGGAAGCGTCAAGGCTTCCGCGCTTCGCGCGAGAGGGGGAATCTGCATTAGGATAAATAGGGCTTATTAAGAGTCGAAAACGGTACAGCGAATCGTCTGCTTTCTCTAATAATTTAATGAAACGTCAAAACTTCCGCGCTTTGCGCGGGAAGGGGAAACTCAATTCAGACGAGAACTAAGAGTAGAGAACAGTACACCCAATCATCTGCTTTCTCTAATAATTTAAGAAAACGTCAAGGCTACCGCGCTTCGCGCGAGAGGGGGAACTGAATTCAGATAAATAGGGCTTATTGAGAGTCGAAAACGGTGCATCGAATCGTCTTCTTTCTATGATAATTAAATTTAACGTTTAAGCTTTTCGCGCTTCGCGCGGGAATGGGAAACTGAATTCAGACGAGAATCAAGAGTAGAGAACAGTACACCCAATCGTCTGCTTTCTCTAATAATTTAAGGAAACGTCAAGGCTTCCGCGCTTCGCGCGAGAGGAGGAAACTGCATTAAGATAAATATGGCTTATTAAGAGTCGAAAACGGTACAGCGAATCGTCTGCTTTCTCTAATAATTTAATGAAACGTCAAAACTTCCGCGCTTTGCGCGGGAAGGGGAAACTCAATTCAGACGAGAATTAAGAGTAGAGAACAGTACACCCAATCATCTGCTTTCTCTAATAATTTAAGGAAGCGTCAAGGCTTCCGCGCTTCGCGCGAGAGGGGGAAACTGCATTAGGATAAATAGGGCTTATTAAGAGTCGAAAACGGTACAGCGAATCGTCTGCTTTCTCTAATAATTTAATGAAACGTCAAAGCTTTTCGCGCTTTGCGCGGGAAGGGGAAACTAAATTCAGACGAGAATTAAGAGTCGAGAACAGTACACCCAATCGTCTGCTTTCTCTAATAATTAAAGGAAACGTCAAGGCTTCCGCGCTTCGCGCGAGAGGGGGAAACTGAATTCAGATAAATAAGGCTTATTAAGAGTCGAAAACGGTACAGCTAATCGTCTGCTTTCTCTAATAATTTAAGGAAACGTCAAGGCTTCCGCGCTTCGCGCGAGAGGGGAAACTGAATTCAGATAAATAAGGCTTATTAAGAGTCGAAAACGGTACACCCAATCGTCTGCTTTCTCTAATAATTCAAGGAAACGTCAAGGCTTCCGCGCTTCGCGCGAGAGGGGGAAACTGAGTTCGTGTGTGTGTGTGTGTGTGTTGTGTGTTTGTGCGTGCGCGATCGCGCGCGCTTGCGTAAATTAGTGTGGGCGCGCGTGTGCTCGTGCTAGTATGTGATGGCTATCGCCGATCATCCCCCTACCCCTCGGTACGGATTTACGCCCCTGCCAGGAAGTGTCCACTTTTTCCTTCTTCAAAATGACACATAGGCCTAAATACTTTTAACATGCTGAATATAGCATGTGTAATATTGGATCAATCATGTTAAAGTGTAAATCTGCCCTTTTAAAGATAAAAAGGTGGTTTATCCTCAGCACTACATTTGTGGGTTGTATAAAGGTCAATAGTAAATAGACACTAATGAAATATTTAGACACCTCTTCTCGGTATATAATTTATGCAAAACCATAATTTATGAAACCTATATGTGAGAGTGAAATTGGACGAAGGATATCGTATCTATATAACGACGATGCCGCTCCGCTTTAATTATCGTATGTTTGTTCTCATGTCACAAGCACGCAATAATCAATATCATATCTGAGAGTTTAAATGATTGTGTTGTGTTGACCAGTTGAAGCTCTACATTCGGACCACAAATTCCTACTTTTGGATTATATTTTATCATAGTCTCATCTTGACATCATCTGCTATCATGAGAGAACTACTAGAAATCATTTCTTAACCTTTTTGTGCACATGTGAAGTCAACTTTTGATGGAGAATTTGTGATTCATTTTGTAATGGAACTGAATGAACTTTGAGCATGGTCCCATAGGCCCATGTGTTATTTTTTACTGGAGTTTTATCATAGACAACAAGACAGCCGTTTTGACCTTGTAAGTTAGTAATATTAGACTGTATATTCTAATGGAAATATCAATACCTGTGGCATGCACTTATTCTGAAACCTTGTGATAGTCATTTTGCTTTCTTGGAAGGAGAATTTGTGACACATCTTACAAAGAAACTGGATGATTTGAGCACGGTCCCACACACGGTAATTTTTGTTAGAGCTTGGACATGTACAGCTAACTAGCTGCCTTGTAAGTTTTTACATGTACTACTAGACTATATATTGCAGTGTGTCATACACTTAGAAGTAGAACAATCGCAACTCTCATCATGCCTGATATCCAAGAGGAAAACCAAGTGTCCAGGCGGTCAAGGAGAAATCACGGGAATGTAGGTTTCCCAGCCAACAAATTTTCACCAAAGAT